CATCAACTTCAACAATGAATTGTTTGGATGGATCTGGGTGAGACAAAACCGGAGCAGTTATGAAAAGTTGTTTGAGTGTGGAAAAAGCTACTTCAGCGTCATTGGACCACTTGAAAGGGACAAGGGTGGAGGTCAAACAGGTAAGTGGAGCTGCTTTTCTACTGTAATCCTTGATGAATCTTCTGTAGAAATTGGCAAATCCCAGAAAACGCTGGAGTTGTTTGCGTGTCTCGGGTCTAGGCCACTCCGCAACAGCTTTCACTTTAGCTGGATCTGGCTTTAGTTGCCCCTGTTCAATGATAAAACCAAGAAAGTTAACAGTGGTTGCGTGAAATTCACACTTTTCAGCTTTAACAAATAACTTATTTTCTAAGAGTCTTTGCAGGACCATCCTCACATGCTCCACGTGTTCTTCAAGGTCTCTGGAGAAAATCAAAATGTCATCAAGATAAACAAATACAAATTTATTGAGCATGTCACGGAGCACATCATTGACCAGGGCTTGGAATACGGCAGGGGCATTAGTAAGTCCAAACGGCATAACTAAATACTCAAAGTGTCCTATGGGAGTATTAAAAGCAGTCTTCCACTCATCTCCTTGGCGGATGCGGACCAGATGATAGGCATTGCGGAGGTCAAGTTTGGTAAAAATGTTTGCTTGATGGAGAGGCTCGAACGCAGAGTCAATGAGTGGTAGGGGATATTTATTTTTTATGGTAATGTCATTTAATCCACGATAATCAATGCAGGGTCGTAAAGTTTTATCCTTCTTATCCACAAAGAAAAATCCAGCCCCAACTGGGGACGAGGAGGGCCGAATTAAACCAGCTGCCAGAGAGTCTTTAATATACTGCTCCATAGTTTCTCTTTCAGGACGGGTAAGTTTATACAAACGACTAGAAGGTAAAGGAGCTCCAGGGAGTAAGTCTATGGCACAATCATAGGGGCGGTGAGGAGGGAGGGACAGTGCTTTCTCTTTACTGAATACTTGGGCCAAATCATGATACATGGTAGGAACAGAGGTCAAATCAGGAGGACTAGGTGGAGTGGAGTTTGAACCTTTACTCACAGTGATGGCTGACTTGAGGCAATGGGAGTGACAGTGAACACTCCAGCTGTTAACCTTATTGGCTGACCAGTCAATTTGTGGGTTGTGCAACTTTAGCCAAGGTAGACCTAAAACCACTGGAGCTTGAGGAGATGGAATGACCAATAACTGAATTTCCTCTCTGTGGTTGCCAGAAAGAACAAGGGTTAAAGGCATGGTGCGGTGTGTGACTTTGGCTAAGTGACTTCCATTCAGAGCATTGACCTCTCGGGGAAACTCTAATGGTTCGGTAGGAATATTCGCTTGATGAACAAGGTTGGAATCAATAAAATTATCGTCGGCCCCAGAGTCAACAAAACTATGGAAAGAGAGGCACTCACGTAACCACAGCAAGGAGGTCTGAAGGAGAAGCCGGTCCGGAGAAAATTGCGTAGGAGAGGAAACATGGCTCACTAGGACCCCTCCACTCACAGGTGAGCCTGGTCTTTTGGCCGTAAGGGGCAAGCACTGATGAAATGTCCTTCTTGTCCACAGTAAAAGCAAAGGCCCGACCTTTGTCGGCGTTGGCGTTCAGCTGGAGTTAGTCGGGCCCGACCCAGTTGCATAGGTTCCTCTGAATCGACAGTAGGCACAGAAGGCACGGAGGAAACTGGAGAAACCCTCTCCCTGAAGTTCATTCTTCTGGGCTGTGGGGGAAACTGACGGATACGGACTCGCTCCCTCTCAGTCAGTCTTTGGTCAATCTTAGAGGCCAGAGCAATCAAAGCCTCCAACTCAGAGGGTAAATCAAGGGGAGTTAGGTGGTCTTTAATAGTCTCAGAAAGTCCGTTGAAAAAAGCATCCACTAGGGCTAACTGATTCCACCCACTGTCAGCCGAGAGAGTACGAAACTCCAAGGCGTAATCCAGCACGCTGCGTCGTCCTTGTCGTAATGAATGAGACCAAGGCCTTAGCAGCCTCTCGACCGGTGAAACGGTCTGGAAGATTTGGTTGAAAGTCTTGAGGAAAAGAGGAAGGGAATTGCAGATGGTAGAGTGCCGATCCCACTCCGCTGTAGCCCAGGCTCTAGCTCGACCAGTCAAGTAGGAGATTATAAATGCAACTTTAGCACGGTCGGAGGGAAATGAAGCAGGTTGGAATTCGAAATGCAACTCGCATTGAGACAGAAATGGCCGACAATCCCCTGACTCACCGGAAAATCTCTCAGGACTGGACAAACGAATGAGAGAAGATCCAGGAGGAGGAAGGGCAGAAACAACTTCAGGAGTGGGAGGTGGAGTAGCTCGTGCAGGTGGAAACGATGCATCTTCCATTTGCTTGAGTCGCTCAATTATGAAGTTCATCTGAGAGGATATCTGAGAAAATGCCTCTTGGTGACCGTCATTAGCAGATCTGAGTTCTTCTCTGAGGCTACTCACTTGCTTCTCTTGCTGCTGAACTCTCAGTCCTTGGGCTTGGAGTGCTGCTCGAACTGGGTCTGGGGAGTCCATGTCTTGGCCAGATTGTTCTGTTGTGTACCACTGGAGTGGACCCCAAAAACAGACTCAGAACGAGGGCAAAAATGCAAAAAGGAAACAAGGGTTTATTGACGAGGCAGGATAGGCAGTAGAGGAGCGAGGAGCCAGGAACTGGAATGCCGGAGTCTTCCACAGCGGGAACTAGGAAATACAAAAATGCAGGTAAGTAACAGGAAGCGACGTAGAACAAAAACTGAGCTGACTGGTAGATCACCATCAGGTAGACGAAAACAATCTGGCAGAGTCTGGCTGGAGAGCTGGGCCTTTGTAGCAGGCTTGATTGCAGATGGAGAGCAGGTGCTCCCAGCAGACTCCGCCCACATCCACAAGGAAGACTCAGGTCACAGGCAGGGGCGTGACATTAATTTTAGGTTTAAGCTCTAATTTAGGCTCAATTTATCCACCCTGTGCACTTTTCAAATCAATTTTGTAAATTATACCTTGTGTCCTTTTAAAGTTTACAAAATTGCCATAGATTCAAACAAAATGATACAGTATGCGTAGCAAAAACAGAACAGTTCTTTTAAATGTCCTTTAACGTAGAAAACGCTTTTAGTGCTCCTTAGCAACATTCCCCGTCAGTGGCAAAGTGCTCCTCAGTGTCTTTGAGATCCACGGAGAAAACTGTCAATCTCCTACCGCAACCTTGGTGGTGTGTTTGTGGGTGTGAAGGTGCTCTATGCGCCGTCCTTTCCTGCGCTTCCTGGGTAGGCTCGCCTTCCGTGTGTCTGTGTCTCCGTGTCTCTGTGGGAATTCAGGGTCCGGGACCTTCTTCTCCCACGTTTTCCCCGGGGGGAATAAAACCTGGCCTGCAGGACAGGCCATGAAGAAATTAATTATAATTAGATTTTTGCTTTTAGTCCATGAAATAAAACTACTTTAAATAAATAAATAAATCTTAAAAGGCAACGTGACCCAACAAAAACTCAAAATGGCGGTGGCTCGACATCCACACCACTCAGTATTACTAGGAGTTAGCGTGTTCCACACCCAAATATTCACCCAAAATACATAACATAAAATACCTTTACAGTAAAATAAGCTTCACATTTCCCAACAGAAATATAAACAGTAAAGATGTGCCGCTCTCTGCCGTCTGCGGCAAGTCCAATTCGGCCCCACTCACCCTGATATATATATATATATATATATATATATATATATATATATATATATATATATATGAAACTCACCAAAAAAACTCCTAGTAATTGTCGGAAACCGTGTAACTCCAAGTTTTGCTCACACCCCTCCTCCAGCCTGGTTAGACAACAGGTTTACATCTCTGTAGCTTGCGCTAATAGCTGCTCTGCCGTGTGTGCTCGCTCGCTCTGCCGTAACAGGCCTTGCTTCCTGCTATGCAGCCTCTCGTGGGTGGGGGAGGGGCGTTCGAAAAACTTTATCGATAACAAAAAAAGTTTACAATATTCTTTTTAAACAAAAATAAATAAAAAACATGAATTTGTCTTTTAAATGTTATTTATATTTTTATCATGTTATTTATAACTGTTTTAATCAAGTTTTAAATCTAATTATTTATTAGTATTTATTGACCCTTTTTACTTTTTATCAAGTAATGCTCTGTTACTATTGGGTCTATTCGTAACGGGGGTCTATTCGTTAAACTAGGTTCGTTAAACATGTGTGGTTAGTGGTGTGCTTGTTAGGTTCTAGTTTAAACAGTGTGCGTAGGTAAACATCTGGTGGGTAGGATTAAACGTGCTTGTGTGTAGGTTCTACGTTAAATGTGCTTGTGTGTAGGTTTTAGATTATACTTGCTTCTGTGTAAATTCTAGATGAAATGTGCTGGTGTGTAGGTTCTAGTTTAAACGTGCTTGTGTAGCTTCTACGTTAAACGTGCTTGTGTGTAGGTTCTAGATTAAACATGCTTGTGCGTAGGTTCTTCATTAAACATGCTGGTGGGTAGGTTCTAGATTAAACGTGCTTGTGTGTAGGTTCTACGTTAAATGTGCATGTGTGTAGGTTTTAGATTATACTTGCTTCTGTGTAAATTCTAGATTAAATGTGCTGGTGTATAGGTTCTAGTTTAAACGTGCTTGTGCGTACGTTCTATATTAAACATGCTTGTGCATAGTTTCTTGATTAAATGTGCTTGTGTGTAGGTTCTACGTTAAATGTGCTTCTGTGTAGGTTTTAGTTTAAACATGCTTGTGTTCTAGGTTCTATTCTATTAAATTGGTGTTGTAGGTTCTATTAAATGTGCTTGTGTGTGTTCTAGTTAAATGCTAGTAAAATGTGTTTGTGTTTCTAGTTTAAACATGTGCTTGTGCGTAGGTTCTATTAAATATGCTTGTGTTTAAATTCTGTGATTAAATGTGCTGTGTAGGTATAGTAAATTAAATAAATGCTGGTGTATAGGTTTTAGATTAAATGTGCTGGTGTGTAGGTTCTAGGTTAAATGTTCTTGTGTGCAGGTTCCAGGAGAAGGGGAACCTGGAAGTGCTACTCTTCACCATCCAGAGCAAACTGCGCGCCAACAACCAGAAGCCCTATGTGCCTCAGGAGGGCAGGCTGCTTGCTGACATCAACAAGGTGGGCAAAGCGTCCTAGTATATTATATGATTCATCATTTTCGCATATTAAAGTATGTTATATTTACTTACAACTTGCAAGTCAACTTCTCTAATATCTAATATCTAATAATGCCAGATACAATAGCTAATATCCGCTGTTGGGTAAGTTACTTTAAAACTGTAATTTCTTATTTATTACTTATTACTGTCATTTCAAAGTAATTCATTACATTACAATATTATTGCATTTAAAATGTAAGGCATTGCATTACTATTGCATTACTTTTAAGTTACTCTCACTAAAATAATTGCGAAGACTTTTGCGCCATATATGGACTAAACCAGGACTAAACCAAAACTGAACCAGAGCTGAACCCAGACTGAACCGAAGACTAAACCAGGACTAAACCAGGTCTAAACCAGGACGAATTTAGGACTAAACCAGAGCTGAACCAGGACTCAACAAGGTCTAAACCAGAATTGAACCAGGACTAAACCAGGTCTAAACCAGAACTGACCCAGGTCTAAAGCAGGTCTAAAGCAGGTCTAAACCAGGATCAAACCAGGACAACTTGGACTAGAACTTAGAATCTAGGACCGCCCCTGAGAGAACCCCGAGCCCGTGGAGCAGGGTGTCTGCAAAGCGCGATCGGGCGCCAGCTGTGGTTTGCCCCATGGAGCATGGAGTTCTGCGCCGGTCCTTTCGCTCGCGATTACCAGGTGGTCTACGTGGGCCCGTCTCCGGTGTTTCACCTCTGCTAATATCGTGGTGATTTTAGCGAATTTGTATGAAGAAAAATCCACCACTTCACTGAGTACTGAGTCAGATATTAAATTTTTTTTCCCTGTAATGCCGAACATTATTGTGTTACAGCAAAAAGCAATGTATTACAGTAATTTGTTACTTTTATAATGTGTTACTCCCAACACTGCTAATATCTGGCATAGTACATGTTAATCATAGATTTACACCATCTTTTTGGCTGTTTTTGAAGAAAAGTTTGTTTTATTTTAGCAGTATTCAGTGAGAATGACCCAGAATTCAAAGTCAAATAGCCTGATTTTGTAAGATAGACCAGCCTTGCTTAGTTTTAAGGAAATGAGCAGTCACTTAAAGGAGACATATTGTGCCAAATCAACTTTTAATAGCTTTTTTGTTATAAATGATTTCTCTTCTCAATTACCCATTCATATGTATCATATTTAGAGTGATTCATGCATGTTTGAGTAATCCAACATATATGTCCACTACTATTTATTACTTACCTTATTTTGACATTTTTTCAGAGACTGTGATACAAGAATTCTGCAGAGTCAGACTTGTAATGTTGTTTTTAAATTGTGAGTGCATCTGATGGTTACTATGTGCAGGCCTGGGAGAGACTAGAGAAGGCGGAGCATGAAAGAGGCGTAGCCCTGCGAAAAGAGCTGATTCGTCAGGAGAAACTGGAACTGTTGGCCCAGCGTTTCGACCACAAGACCACCATGAGGCAGGCCTGGCTGAATGAGAACCAGCGGCTGGTATCACAGGTTTGCCACACAGGGACACACTTCTCCTGTCACTCACAAACTATTGTTCTTTAAAGTGTCAGTAAACCACATTTTAAATAGAGCAGCTAAACTGGGCAGTTCTTGGATGACTAAAGGGGAGAGTGAAGGGGGAGGAGACATGGGGCCTGGAGCTGTTGGCCATGCGCTTTGACCACAAGAGCAACACGAGGCAGGTGTGGCTCAATGTTACCACTTTCCTAGACTGTCAAACAATATGGCATTAAACGTGTCCATCTTGCATGTTTTTCAATTAGCTGTATTTTACCTTGAAATGCATTCTTACTACAAGTGTGATAAGTTCTCCACAGATCACACCTGGACCTTGGTGTTACAGATGTTACTAAGTTTAGTTTAATGCCATAATGTGGAAAATTTCAGGAAAAACAATAATGTCTTTATCAAGTTTAGTTTTGGTGGTAGAAACTTAGGATTCAAAAAAACTGAAAAAAAAGTCACCTATCTTAGAAACATGAAAAATATAACTTTTTTTTTTCCATTTTAAACAGTTTGCAGTGGTTCAATATAATTTCTCACTTACATTATGCCTTACATTATTACCTTCTGAGCATCCTAATTATTCACCACGATAAGTTTATAAGTGCCTGCCACAACTGTCAGAGACCAGGGTGCTATGAAAGTACAGCTAACTAGCATCAGACAGTAAAAGGCATTTAAATGAGATGCAGACAGCACACAGTGGGCTTATTTTGACCTGAGGAGCTGCTTATACAATATATCTGTACTGGGGAAAGTCACATTTTGCTCAAATACATGCGAAAAATGTGAATGTATGCCCTGAAACCGTAGGATTGGCTCATGGACACAGGTCTCCACAGCTCTGTTGACTGACTGTGTTTTTCTTACAGGACAACTTTGGCTACGACCTGCCGGCTGTGGAGGCCGCCATGAAAAAGCACGAGGCCATTGAGGCAGACATTGCTTCATATGAGGAGCGCATCAGTGTGGTGGTGGAACTGTCCGCAGAGATGGAGGCTGAGTCATACTATGATATCCGCCGCATCCTGGCCCGCAAAGAGAACATCCTGGGCCAGTGGAGCCTGCTCAAGGAGCTGGTGGCAGGGCGCAGGGCCCGGCTAGAGAAGAACCTGGCTCTGCAGAAGACCTTCCAGGACATGGTCTACATGATTGACTGGATGGAGGACACTCAGGTACGTCTGTTGTCAGCGTCTGGACTCTATTCATTCATGTTTACTAGTTACTAGTGTAGGTAAGTAAGGATAAACAGAATCCACAGCTCACAGTAGTTTACTGTCGCTAGATTCAAACCACACTACCATATTTATACCTAAAAGCTGATGTCATAAACATTCCCCTGGAGGGAGGCTGTGCAGAGGCACTGCTCTGTCTGAAGCTTTGTTACTCAAGTTCTATAATCTGAGCTTTGACAGAATGTGAACACAAAGTACTGACTTAATAGGAACAACAAAACTTAATTGGAACAACAAAGGTAAGCTCATTTGGTGCTGTTAAACAAGTCCCCCTCAAAACAACACAATTTAACAAAGGAGGCTAATACCCTAGCAATAAATGTGACTTTTCACAGTTATGGATGGCATTTTATCGACCATTCAAAACTTTGAACACAGCAATGGCTTGAATAATTTATTGCTATGGCAACAGTTCGATTGTAACTTCCACATTGAAACCCATGGACAAAACCTGTCACTTTACATGTTTAAAAAAATGCATTGCATACAAAATTGCATGCAAGCATTGCTCACCTGAGAGCAGACCTATAGAGCCTATGCCCTGCTCAGACCCCTGTGTCTCCCTGTGTTGTCCCTCAGATCCAGCTACTGTCCAGAGATCTAGGGAAGCACCTTCTGGAGGTGGATGATCTGCTGCAGAAGCACAGTCTCCAGGAGGCAGACATCAGCATCCAGGCCGAGAGAGTGGAGCTGCTTAACAACGCTGCGCTCAAGTTCACTACCATAGACGGTATCCCTGTAGTGTGCTTCTGACCAAGGCTGTCCAATCATTTACAGGGAAATGTAGAGTAGCTGGAAAATGAAAGTAGAAACATTACAAAGTAAAGTATGTCACATTGGTCTTAAAAAGTTTTATACTGTGCTAAATTGACTCTTGTGAGTTTTAAGTCATGTTAGAATGTTGTTACCTCTTCAAAAACAGACCTGGAGTTGTGTTCTGTTCCATTCACACATGTTTGAAAAACTCTTTATTACATGTCCATCTACATCTCTAAAGCTCAGAGTGCTCTGTTCCACCTTGTGAGTTTTCAAGTTAACCGACACTTTTTGTTAGTCAGGCTGGCACCACCTAGTGCTTCCTCTCAATTTAATTTCTCTCAACTAGGCAACTAGGTCAAAAATCAGAATACACTAGATGGTTTGCAAAAACCCCGGAAGTGTGAGTCCAGGCACCAGCCAATCAGAGAAGAGCCATATATTCTGTGTTGTCAACAATTCCCGAGATCGAGGATTTAAAGCCAGAATAAAGAGAATGTTTGGTGAATTTTATCAAGGGGAAAGACGTTATTGCCCTTCTTCCTACGGGATTTGGGAAAAGCTTAATATACCAGTTGGCCCTGTTAGCAGCGCATTACATACATCACGACCAAATAGCAGCGATTGCTTAAATGAAAAAAAGTACCCACCTACGGTCGAGCGAACGAATTCTACAGTAATGCTGCGAGGTCAGACAGTTTCTATGAAGTGAAACTGTCTGATGAATCAGGCTAACTTTTAGTTTAGTAGAAATTGGAAATTCCAAATTACTTTAGCGAATGTGTATGGAGTTTAAAAACACAGTAGAGTGTTTTCTGTTTGAGAGATGCAGGGTTTGTGTGTTAAACATGTGTGAATGAAACAAAACACAACAGGGTATGTTTTTGTTGAGGAAACAACATTAAAACGGAGATCAAAAATAGCTTAATATGGGCCCCTTAATAATGTGGAAATCCTGATCCATTCATAATTATGTCCACATTTCAGACCTGTAGCTTTAGACCTACCCTCTCTGACTTGTCTTTTCCCTACATAAACTAAACTCTGAAACTGTCTTTCAGGATACCAGCCATGTGACCCTCAGGTGATCTGTAACCGTGTCAGTCATGTGTCCTCATGCCTGGAGGAGCTCAAACTGCTGGCCTCCAAAAAACGTGAGGATCTGGAGGAGTCCCGGATGCTGTGGGCCTTCTTCCAAGTGAGACATTTGTCCTCACAATTTGCTTTTCATGAGTGGATGTGGGATTTGATCTGAGCCTCTGAGTGTTGTTGTTGTTGTCACAGGAGTTGGAGGAGTCTGAAGTTTGGATCAAGGAGAAGACCTCGATCCTGGCGACACAGGGCTTGGGCAAAGACTTGACCAGTGTGTTACGGCTGCTGCAGAAGCACAAGGGTCTGGCTGGAGAGCTGCTGGCCCACCGCTCCCTGCTGCAGGTGTGTGGCTTCCACCAGCATGGTCAGCACTGACAATGGATCTAGTCTCATTATTCACCTGGATATATCACATACTCCACACTCTTTTATGACATGTAATTACACCACTGCACTGTTACCCTGCTTACCTATTTTGCTTCAGATCCTTCTTCCAGCCTTTAGAATCTGACATATGTTTGTGCCCAGCATAATCTTGCTAAAGATGGCACTTCTTCCATGTCACAGAGCACCATGAAGCAGGGCAAGCAGCTATTGAGTGAGAAGAGCCTGCTAGCTGTGGGAATCCAGGAGCGCATCCTGGAGGTGAAGGAGGAGTGGAAACATCTAGAAGAGCAGGCTGCACAGCGCCTTGGACACCTACAGGAGGCACTTAACTTCTTCCAGTTCTCCACTGAGATGGATGACCAGGTGGCCTGGCTGCAGGATGCCTACCGCCTGGTCTCCAGCGAGGACTTTGGACATGATGAGTACTCCACCCAGTCTCTGCTGAAGAAGCACAAAGGAGTCACCGAAGCTGTGGAAAAGCACCGCATGCATGTAGTGGCCCTTCGTAAGCACATGGTGGCACTGCCCCTGCAATACCGCGAACAGGAGGTAACTGACCCCGTACCTCACCCATTATCAATCACCCTAGTATGACCCTCATACACACACACTGACCCCAGTTTGTGTGTATGAGGTCAGGCTGACCCCAGTGTTTGTGTGTGTAGGAGGTGCAGGTGCGGGTCAGTGACTTGGAGCAGCTTTATACTGAGGTGGTGGAGGTGGCCGTGCTGAGGCAGCAATGGCTCTTAGACGCTCTGGCCGTGTACCGCATGTTCAGTGAGGTCAACGCCTGTGAGCTGTGGATCGATGAAAAGGAGCAATGGCTGGACAAGATGGAGATCCCTGAACGGCTGGAGGAAGTGGAGGTGGTGGCTCACAGGTATTCCATTCTTACACTTCATTTGTGCCAGCAGGACTCATAGATGATCTCAGTTCAGTATTTTGCATACTCACTTCATAATTGCTTCTCATCACCTCTGACCTTCTTGTGTCCTCCCTCCTTTGTGTGAGCAGGTTTGAGAGCCTGGACCAGGAGATGAACAGTCTGATGGGCCGGATCCTGGACGTGAACCAGATGGTGCAGCAGCTCCTGGACGGGGGCCACCCTTCATCTGCAGAAGTCCGGGGCTGCCAAGACCATCTCACCTCCAGGTACTACTGACCATCACATTATATGTGTCACGGGTTCATCCAAAATAAATGTAAAGGAATGATGGTTCAGTCAAAAAAACTTAAGAGCATTTTTATTCACACCACAGCCCAATATGCAGAGCGCAATATTTACAGTGGAAGTACAAAAAAAAAAGAAGTATTTTCAATAATATTTACAGCAACAGCACTTACAGCCAGCACCCACGTAGTCAGGCCAAAGACAGACAGACCAAATGTCTTCTTCTTCTAATAGTTTCTGGCAGGCTACACGCTACAATGTGCAATGCAGCCCTCCACCATCATTAGAAGAGATTGAATTCTCAGATAAAGGTCAGCTTGACGGAGAAAGAACAGATTTGAGTGGGAAGGTTACAAGTCCCAGGTCCGCTAGCTCCTTATAGAGCTGCCTCCTCTCTCTGCTGTAGGTGCTGCATAACAACAATGTGTGGCTCTGGGCTGTTCTTTCTGGGCTGTCACAGTTGCAGAGGCCACCAGGGTGCTTCCCGGTTTTAAATAAACACGCAACCAATCCACAGCACCCCAATCGCAACCTCGTTAAAACCACTTCGTCTCTTCTGTAGCTGAACCCAGCATTCCGACAATTTTGAACTGACGGCCATTTATTAATCAGATATTGTTTACAGACACTGTGGCATTCCTGCTTTGCCAATGTTAAAACCAGATCTATGCTTTCTTTCTGAAGTGCCTTTTTGGTCAGGACATCAGCTTCCTCGTTCTCCAAAATACCAGCATGTCCCGGGATCCAGACAAACAAAACCCTTCATCCCAAATTATCGATTCGATTTAGACAGCACAGGATCTCGAATATTAAATCAGGGCAAGTCTCAGATGACCTGTGATGCTGCAGCAGAATCAGAAGACACTGTATAAAAAGCAGAGGGGAGTTCTCGAATCCACTGTAATGCCCACAAAATAGCAAGAAGCTCAGCTGAGAACACTGAAAGGTCATCTGACACACGCACACTTTGCCTAACCAGTGGCTCAGCGACATACATTCCAAAATCCACCTTATGCTCCTTTTTAGACCCGTAAGTAAAAACTATGAACAGCTTCACTCTCGCTGCTCAAAAATTCCTTAAAGTGAACACAAGCTGTTCTTTTGTCAAGACCAAGTAACTCAGTGCTAACCTTCGGTTCAGGTAGGTTCCACAAAGGTACAGGAGGCCACACCAGACTCACTACCTGAGTTTTCCGCAACCCCATACTTTCTGCCACATTTGCACTGTGTGCAAAAAAACAGGCTTTGTCTGGCCTCTTTTCAAACTCCCAACAATGATCAAACCAACACTTAGATGCTAAATTGCTGTGTGATCCTGCCACCCTAGCCCAATAATGGACCCCTAACTTGTCCCGTCTAAGCCTCAGCCTCAACTTGGAAATAAACATGATAAAAATGACTTAAACATCCCCTCATATGGTTTTCCTTAATTCAACTTAATAACTTAAGAAAACAAAATAAACACACAAATTGACCGAGATTGGTTGAGTCTGAGATCTTGTGACCTCCCGTAGCGTGCCACTGTGCATTATTTAGACCACGACCAGGAAGTGCCTCAGTTTGGCCCCTGAACCAGAGAACGACGCAGATAGAGCTGCAGGTAAGGACCTTATGGCAAGCTGATAATACCACAATTACGCATTAGGCTCTCACTAGTGATGGTGAGATGAAGCCTCATGAGGCATTGAACCACTTGAGCCAACTGGTTCGAGAAAGGGTTCATTTGTCGAAGCTTCATGTGCGCACGAAACCACCTACTGGCCAAGTGTATAATCACAAACAGCTGTATCTGAAACACATCATGTGTGATGCATTGAATTTTTGTGTCTGTTAAAATAAGATAAGGTAAGATAATCCTTTATTGTCCCCATGGGAGAAATTTGTCTTGGGACAGGGGGTAACATGCTTTATCAAAAAAAACAAAAAAAACACAAAAAAAACAGGACAACACAACACAAAGCACCACATAAACAAACACCATAAAACAAAGTAAATATGAGGCCAAGTATGACCACGAGTGATGCACCAGCAGGACCCTTAAATTATCCAGGCAAGCCCTTGCATTCTTCTGTTCTATTAATTATTGCACATTCCCTAAGCCTTTTATAATTATTTTTTAACTGCACTATCTGAGTTTAGCAGATTAACAGCTAGTGGCACAAAAGAATGTTTGAATCTGTTCAGTTTACAGTTTGGGACCCTGTACCTTCTGCCTGATGGCATCAACTCAAACTGACTGTGAAGAACATGGGTTGGGTCATTGATCACCTTCCTGCCGAGCTTCCTAACAGTCTCCTCAAAAATTAGCTGAAGTGAGCTTGGGGCCACACCCATTATTTTACCCTCTCTTTTAGTCAAGGTAAAAATCTGTGATTTAAGTTTGACTGACAGGTTACCAAACCATGTTGACATGCCATAGCGTAAGATAGATTCTATGCATGCTTTGTAAAACATCAGCATTACATTGGTGTCAACTCCATATAACCTAAGCCGTCTTAAAAAATAGACGCTGGCTGATTCTTGAGCAGACAGACTGTACCTGCTGGCTCCATTGGAGCTGAGAATCAAATAACACACCCAAGTACTTATAACATGTCACCTGCTTTATGTCCCTCCCCCTGATATTAACGGGACTGTGGTCCCCGACAGATTTGGGATCAAAAAATATCTCCTTTGTCTTTTCTACGTTTAAGACAAGGTTATGCGCCTCACACCAATGCACCACTTCATCAATTTCTGTCCTGTAGCTGATGACATCTGTACTTTTACTGAGTAAACTAAGAATAGCTGGGTCATCAGAAAATTTAATTATATAGTTGTTTACCTGTCTACTCCTGCACGCATTGGTGTACAGAGTGAAAAGAAGAGGTGAGCTAACACAGCCCTGTGGTGCCCCAGTGCTGACAACCTGAATATCTGACAGCGCTGAATTAACCCTAACTTGTTGCTGTCTCCCTGTAAGGAATGCCCAATACCACTTAATAATATGACTGTTAACACCCAGATCTAGCAGCTTCTTCAACAGAATGCTTGGTAATATTGTATTAAATGCCAAGCTAAAATCCATGAACAATATTCTGGCATATGATGAAGGATCCTCTAAGTGTTTCAGTATTAAGTGGGCAGTAGTTACAAGAGCATCATCAGTACTTCTGTTGCTGCAGTAAGCAAACTGATAGGGATCTACATGTCCCGCTACCTCCTCCCTCAGAAACCCCACCATAACACGCTCAAATGATTTCATGGTCACTGATGTCAAGGCCACAGGCCTGAAGTCATTGTTCTCTTTAGGACAGGTTTTCTTTGGTACAGGGGTGATAATAGACTTTTTCTAGAGCAAAGGTATATCCCTTGTATCTACTGAAATTTGAAATAAGGGACACCATGCTTGGCTCAGTTCATCAGCAAAAGTCTTTAGCAGGAAAGCTGAGATCCCATCTGGCCCGCTGGCCTTTTTGGTGTCAAGTCTTTTAAAAATAGTGGTGACCACCCCGGGATCAACAAGAAGCCTGTGGCTGTTATGTCTGTTGGGAATGACTATGTATTACAAAAAATGTATGAACAAATCATTTCTGTACATATATGATCACATATGTGTATAATAAATTTTTTTGTGTAATCTGTGTGTCTAAATTTTCCTAAAATGATTATATTATATATATATATGGTAGGTTAAGCAGTTTTTCTGAAAATGGCAGCGCAGTCAGGCAGAGGACAGTGAAAGTGCTTGTGGAAGTAGGAAAAGGGCACAGATTATGCTTGTCTAACTTGGGCAATGATGTATAGGACAGGGAAAATTTTATTCATTTTTATTCAGGAACAAGAGTTTCTCAACAGTTTTTGGCTTTAAACAATTTTTAATTTTAATTTTTATTTATTTTTTGACACAACCCCTCCAGCCTTGGAGAAGACCCTTTCACAAGGCACAGAAGATACCAGTGTGCACAAAAAATCATGTATCTTACTCTCCTCACTCTCCTAAATCTCTCTCTCTAAACTCTCCAAACTCCCTCCAAACTCTCTCCAAAATATCTCCAAACTATCTTTAAACTATATAAACGCTATCTAAACTCTAGTATCCAAACTCTCCTAACTCTAGTATCCAAACTCTCCTAACTCTAGTATCCAAACTCTCCTAACTCTAGTATCCAAACTCTAATAACTCTAGGATCCAAACTCTAATAACTCTAGGATCCAAACTCTAATAACTCTAGGATCCAAACTCTAATAACTCTAGGATCCAAACTCTCCTAACTTTAGTATCCAAACTCTCAGCTGACCTCAACTCTCCTTCAAATACTCACATTTTGAATGGAGTCTGAGGGGTCTGTATCGCTGTAATAGCTCGCGGCAAAATCTGAACCACTTCCTGAAGCAATCAGGTGGTACAGCTGGGCAGCGAGGCCTCGGACGTCATCATTTTTGGCTCCTCTCCCAAATGAAGCAAGCCTCGATACGCGCTTCGCGGAACTCCCCCTTCATTTGGGCCTGGCTCCACTGGTGCTCCGTCACAATATGTAAATACATTTGTGTAATATTTGGGGTTTATACAAGTGTTTGTGTTGTTATTTTAAGAATCGATGTGCAGTGTAGTTAGAAATACAGTACAAGCCTGCTGTGGGAGAGGAGAGGCTTGGCTTTAGGTCTGGTCTCTGTGGGACCAGATGGGCTCAGCTGATGCTGGGGCCTTCATGACAAAAGAGGCCTTTTTGTGTGTTTTTATTTCAAAAGCAACACTAAATAATGACACATTTAATGCATTTGCCTGCATGAACATATCTATACCTATTTGAAACATAGAAGCTCTTAATGTGCAAACTGCCTGTGGTCATAGGTGGAACAGCATTGTGGAGCTGGTGGAGCATAAGAAGCACCAGCTGGACTCCATGCTCCGGCTGCAGAACTACCTCCTGGAGTGTGCCGAGATCAAGTCCCACATTCAGGAGAAGAGGAAGGCCATTGATGCCACTCAGTACGTGGGCAGTGACCTAGGTGGGGTCCTGGCCCTGCAGCGTCGCCTCTCCACCATGGAGGGTGCTCTGTCTGTGCTTGAGCCCAAACTACTGCATCTGCAGGTCAGTACACTGCACTAAAGGAGCACAAATTAAACTGTACAATGAGCAGCTAGCCATACTGTTGTCTAGAAGTCCAGATTTTTGCAATGTTAATACAACAGATATTTCTAGTTCAGGTCAGAAGTTACATGGTGTTAGGAAAAATAATTAATCTGTTTTAACCAGTGGGGGGGCGAGAAATGTGGTTTTCCTGAAAAATTAGTTGTCTTCAGGAAGAGGCAGAGCACCTGGCCACAGCCCACCCGGCACGCGCTATGGAGGTTTTGGTGGCGTTTGATGGCCTCAGTGTGGAGTGGGAGGAGCTGAAGAGGACACTGCAGGGCTGTGAAGACTCCCTGATGGTGGCCAGCCGCCTGCAGAGCTTCATCCAGGTATTCCCTTTGTTTAGGAGCTAGGAGACTCACAGGGTGATGTCTCACTTGTCCATGCTCACATCTGTGCCTCCGCCCCTGGGTAGGATCTGGACTCGTTTCTGAGCTGGTTGGTCCAGACACAGACAGCAGCAGCCTCTGAGCAGCTGCCCAACGACCTGCAGGAGGCTGAGACACTGATCAACAAGCATGCCACACTTAAGGAGGAGATCGGACGGTATGACTGCAGCTTCTTGAATGCGGTGTTATGCAAAATATATTTTTTGGAGCTTTCTACCATGTTTTAACATTTAACATGCCTGAATAGGTTTTAGATGTCATCCATGCATGTTTTAGTAATCTAGTGAACTCTCTCAGGGCCCTGTTTGAGCACTCATTATGGTTGGCAGTACGATCCAGTGCTCAGCCCCACAAGCTTACATAACTATGCTAGCAATTTTTCATAAATATAACAAAAGCAGAACACAAAACAATACACCTTCACAAACTTGATGCTGTCTGCCGTAGTTTCATTAGTGGACTGCACGTCGATTGTAACGTGATAGTGCTTTGAAAAGGGAGCAAAGGGAGGGGGACTTGGAGCACCAAAACCAAGCTAAAAGTGAAACATAAAATATGTCAGTAAGTTGTTTTCTGTGAAAATGGCATTTTCAAAATAATAAAATATAATATGCTAAATATGTTATATTAACATTTCATACCCCATAATGTAATACCCCCTCTTTCAGGAGTTCAAATATACAATGCTCCCCTTTTTATTACCCTGTACCACAAAGCTAAAGACAGCTGGCTGAACACTGGTGTTTTGTGTGCTGTATGCTTCTGGGGTGTACTCTGCAGGTATGAGGAGGACTATGAGCGACTGCAGAGCATGAACGAGCTGCTGGAGTCAGAGGAGGCCCCTCTGCCTCAGGTTGCGCTGCAGCAGTGGCTCCACAAATTGGATGTGGGCTGGAACAAGCTGCTGGAGATGTGGGAGAGCCGACGTGATGTGCTGGTGCAGGCTCACATCTTCCACCTGTTTTTGAGGGATGTTAAACAAGCTGAGTCCTTCCTCAACAACCAGGTATGTCACAGCAGAAGAGAAGCAAGAGGAGGGAGAGGGGGACGCAGGGTAGGGAGGAACTAAAGCCCAGATCTTTTCTAAGTGGGTCTATATCAAGATTAGGTTAAAAAGACCATATTATGCAATTTTCTAAGCTATGTTGTAAAGTTGTTTCCTCATCTAAAATACATATACCGGGAGTTGTGTTTTGTTTCATTCACACAAAGCCTGCATATTTAGGCTGAGTTCTTTTTTAAACGGAAAACAAGGGTTACACGTTGTGATGTCATTTGGTAATACAGGAAGAGCTACACTCTGTTTTTAACCTCTATACACCTTTGCTAGAGTCATTTGGATCATTTGGAGGGGTCCTACACCTTGTCACCATGGAGATATTATCACTTATATGCCTTGAATTACTTTAATTGCAGATGCTTGTTGTGCCTTTAAAAACATGAATTTTTACTGTGAGTGAGCTTGCCTCTCCATAGGTCTGATCCTGCAATATGATATAAGTGGTGTCACCTGGTGATCTCCAAGGATACAGATGAGTTTAATGTCACACTGTTGAACATTGCAGGCAAATCAATATCATCTCCATAGGCAGGCAGGTAGCACACCCTCTACTAGATTACATTGTGCATTGTACATTAAGATAGATAGAAATAAATATTTCTTTATTTATCCCAGAGGAAATTCATTTTTTGGCAGCAATAATACATAATAAATAATAAGAATAAGAATAATACAGCAGTAATTCATCATAGATTATAGGCATTATAGAGATACGTTGTTCCATACGTCTTGTGGAACAAATGACTTCTAGAGTCTGTGTCTGTGGAACAGGACAGGGACAACAGCCTGTCCCCAAATGTGATCTCCTGTCCAGTGATGGTGCTGTGAAGGTGATACTGGGGGTTCTCCACGATGGACAGGAGCTTGTTTAGGGCCCTTTTCTCGGCCACAGATGTGAGTGAGTCAAACTTTGCACCTTCTTCATCAGCTTATCCAACCGCACAGTGTCTTTCCTGAGACTTCCTCCCCAGAGGTCACAGCGCTGAAGAGAACACTGGGGATGACTGTCTGGCAGAACATCAGCAGGAGCTTCTGGCAGATGTTAAAGGACTTCAGCCTTCTGAGAAAGTACAGCCTGCTCTGTCCCTTTCTGTAGAGCAGGTCTGTATTCTCACACCCATCTAGTCTGTGGTTAAGCTTTAGGCCCAAATACTTACAAATCTCTACAACCTCCACAGTGTCCCCCTCAATAGTTAAAGGTTGCAGCTGTGGTCTGCTCCTCCACAAGTCCACCACCATCTCTTTTGTCTTTGCAGTGTTCAGCTGAAGGTGGTTAGCCTTGCACCAAACCACAAAGCTTCAGTGAGCTGCCCTTCATCACCGTTCCTGATACATCCCACAATGGCTGTGTCATCAGAGTACTTCTACAGGTGACACAGCTCTGAGTTGCATCTAAAGTCTGGTGTGTACAAGGTAAACAGAACTGGTGACAGTACAGTCCCCTGTGGAGCTCTGATGTTGCAGACAGTGTCAGAGGTGCTGTCCCCCAGTTGGACATACTGAGGTCACCTAGTGAGTTAATCTGTAATCCAGCTAACCAGAGAAGTATCCACTCTCATCTCAATTTGTTTGTTTTTGAGCAGCAGAGGTTGGATGGTGTTAAATGCGCTTGAGAAATCAAAAAAGGTCATTCTCACAGCACAACTGCCTTTGTCAAGATGAGAGAGGGACCTGTGGAGCTGGTAGAACATGACATCATCCACTCCCACTTTCTTCCAATAAGCAACCTGCAGAGGGTGGAGAGTGTGGCTGGCCTGGGGTCTCAGCTGGTGTTGTAGCACCAGCCACTCCATGGTCTTCATCACGTGTCATGTCAGTGGGACTGGCCTGTTGTCATCCAGCTGTTTGGGATGAGACTTTTTGGGACAGTGACAATACAGTATGTCTTCTATTGAGTAGGAACTCTCTTCAGACACAAACTCATATTAAAAACATACTGCAGTGTCTCCCTCAGCTCAGCAGCATAAGCCTTCAGGAGTCTTGGAGATATTTCATCTGGCCCTGCTGCTTTACTGACACGGATTCTTCTAAGATGACCAGTCATCTGCAAGGCTGTGATGCTTGTGTGAGGACACCATTTCAAAAGAATTGAGAGGTGTCACTGTTATTAAGGAATGACACTGAAATAGCAACGCCAGTGGAGAATGTGATAGCACAATCAAATCTATCCTCTATGAGTATCAGCTAGTAATGGTCTTCATACCATCCCACACCTCCCCGATGTTACTTTGCAGATGTTAGAACATCTGCTCCAGCATCCTACTGTAGGATTCTTGAGCTTCTCTTAAACTGACCTTCAGTTCCTGCTGTACCTGCTTCAGCTTCACCTGGTCACGGTCTCTAAATGCACTTTTCTTGGCATTGAGAATCCCTTTGACATCACTTGTGATCTAGAGCTTGTTGTTGAGAAGGCAACATCCTTGCAGAACTGAATGTATTCTGTAATGCAATTTGTGAGCCCCTCAATGTCCTCACCCCAGCTTTACTGGAATACTGCCAACTCCAAACAGTCTCTCAGAGCCACCTCGGCCTCAAGAGACCACTTTGAAAGAGCAGGTGGTGGTAGGTTGTCTCATCACCACCCGCTGCACTGTGGCTGTAACAGTATTAAGCTGTGATCAGATCTTCCCAATGGAGGCAGAGGAGTGGCCTTATAAGCATCTCTCCATAAACTGGAAAAAGAAAAGCAAAGAAAAGTCAAGTGCCACATGATTGAAATCCCCCAGTTTAAACTGAAATGTAAATTAAATATGATTTTCACAAATTAATGTTTTCTTGCTATGTTAAATGTAAACCTAAAAGCCTTGTGTACTGTGTGTTCAGGAGTCAGCACTGGCACACGTGGAGCTGCCCACCACAGTAGAGACGGTCGAAGCTGCCATAAAGAAACACAAGGACTTCACCAACACTATGGAGCTCAACCTGCACCGCATCAAAGCCGTGATCGAGGCTGGAGAGAGTCTGATCAGCCAGAACAACATCTACAGCGAACGCATTCAGGAGCGCATCGATGCACTGGCCTACAGGTGCTTACCTCCACCCTCACCTGTGTCCCATACCCCTCAACTGTGTGTCCCTCACCTGTGTATCCCTCACCTGTTTGTCCCTCACCTATGTCCTATGTATCCTTCACCCATCACCTGTGTGTCCCTCACCCCTCACCTTTCTGTCCCTCACCCCTCACCTATGTGTCCCTCACCCCTCACCTGTGTGTCCCTCACCCATCACCTGTGTGTCCCGCACCCCTCACCTGTGTGTCCTTCACCCCTCACCTGTGTGTCCTTCACCCCTCACCTGTGTGTCCTGCACCCCTCACCTGTGTGTCCTTCACCCCTCACCTGTGTGTCCCTCACGCCTCATCTGTGTGTCCCTCACCTATGTGTCCTTCACCCCTCACCTATGTAACCCTCACCTTTCACCTGTGTGTCCCTCGCCTGTGTGTTCCTCACCTGTGTCTCCCTCACCTTTGTGTATCTTGCCTCTGTGTTCATCAAAATCAATAGTTGACAGCTAGACTAAATTGTCTTGGTAAATGTGTGATATTAAAATATGTGGGTTGTTCTTTCAGGGGCACTCAGAACAGAGAGATGGCGCAGTGTTGGCTGGAACGACTCAACGATCAGTGGGAGCTGCAGAGGTTCCTACAGGACTGCCACGAGGTAACAGTCACTAACAGTCATGGTTTTCTTTTCTTTTGTCTTCATTGACAGACATTGACAGACAGAACAAAAGATTAACTTCTTGGGTTCTTTTTAAAGACAATGCAGTAAAGTGTGTTTACCTTGTTGACATGTTTCGGCTGCTAGCTGCAAGCCATCTTCAGAACTGTCACCGGTGTTGGTGGTGACGTGTCGTATATCAGCTGTTGTTACTTCCTGTAGGCGTGGTCAGTCTGAACGACCTGCCAGGTCCATCAGGCTGACACACTTTACTGCATTGCCTTTAAAAAAAAAACAAGAAGTTAAAGTATATAGACAAAATGAACATCTTTTGCAGAACAAAAGCTGTACAGGACAATATATCACTCAGACCTATTGTAAAAATGTATGACATCTAAAATCTATTGTTAAAATCTATGACAGTTGTGGATCATTATGTTATAATTTGGACAATGTTCATCTATAACAACTGAATAAAAGAAATAAGTCAGCTACTTCCGTGTTGGAGCTCTCAATGGAGAGAGCTGTGCAGCTGTTGGCACCTCTGATGGATAGCTGCACATCATGGTAGTGAGTGGCCGAATTTTTTATTTTTTTTTCATTTGTATCAGAATGAATATGCGACACTGGCAAATCCTTTGTATATCACAGATTAAGGAAGTAAAATTGGAGAATAAAGTAAGCAGAGAGCAGTGGCTGTATGCCTGTGGTACTGAAAAAGGGTTGTTGGGCAAAAGAGGGTCTTAAAAGTAAGAAATTAAAGATTACTCAAACATGCACGGATCACTCCAAATACAACTTTGGGTGAGTAAATGATGAGGTAAAACAACTATAACATGATCCAAAGCTCTGAAACGTAAAGTTTGCAGAATAAGTTTATTTTAATAAGCTGGTTATGAACAAGTTTTTATTTTTATGTTGCTTTTACATAAGGGAACTCTTTTCTTTAGTCAGACTGCTTGTTAGCTTAATTTGTTATCTTAACTTGTATCTTATTAGCTTGTCACTGACTTAGTAGTGGCACACCATCACCAAGATGAGTGACAAATGGAATAACAGTAACACATGAGCTCATATTGTGTGTAGAGCACGTGAAGGGAAAGCTCTCACCAATGATGGTTATTCTTTTATTTATGTATTTATTTTGGCAAGTAAGAGATTTACATTCTTTACTATATATATATATATATATATATATATATATATATATATATATATATATATATATATATATATATATATATATATACACACACACACACACACACACACACAATATATATAGCATTAGTGAATTAGTGAAATCATAATAGAAATAACGACAAGGAAAACATTTGCCCAGAAAGGAGTGGGAAGAAGAAAATGTATTTAATCCCAACCCCACTCTTCTAATCTAACACAATGAGGTATCTTTTGCATGGTTTTGAACAGTTTTGGACTGATCACAGATGGCCGTGGGGCAGTCAGAGTGACATACCCATGATCTTTCGAGCCAGTTTCACCCGTTGAAGAATCTGCATTTATATTTGTCAGTCAGTCTTCCAAACCAGCTGACTGTTCTATACAGTAGCAAAGACTCTACACTAGCTCTATAGAGAGCAGCATGTTATTTTGGCTGATTCCAAACAGCCTTAATCTCCTAAAGTCTCTCTGAATCTCTTAAAGTCCAGATGCTGGTGTACCTTGCACACAGTGGTCCCTCATTGAAACCATACATGTTTATATGAGACCTCTTTATGGGCTCTTATTGACCTGGGCTCCATTACAACCTCTTTAGTTTTATTGATGAACCTCTGAGAGTGAGATGTTCTGAGGAGAGTGAGATGTTCTGAGGAGAGTGAGATGTTCTGTGGAGAGTGAGATGTTCTGAGGAGCGTGAGATGTTCTGAGGAGAGTGAGATGTTCTGAGGAGAGTGAGATGTTCTGAGGAGAGTGAGATGTTCTGAGGAGAGTGAGTTGTTCTGAGGAGAGTGAGATGTTCTGAGGAGAGTGAGATGTTCTGAGGAGAGTGAGTTGTTCTGAGGAGAGTGAGATGTTCTGAGGAGCGTGAGATGTTCTGAGGAGAGTGAGATGTTCTGAGGAGAGTGAGATGTTCTGAGGAGCGTGAGATGTTCTGAGGAGAGTGAGATGTTCTGAGGAGAGTGAGATGTTCTGAGGAGAGTGAGATGTTCTGAGGAGAGTGAGATGTTCTGAGGAGAGTGAGATGTTCTGAGGAGAGTGAGATGTTCTGAGGAGAGTGAGTTGTTCTGAGGAGAGTGAGATGTTCTGAGGAGGTGCGTGCATATGCATTTTATTAAAAGGGGGGTATTTCATTTCTATGGGATATTCATTACAAACACAATCACAACACAATCATTGTACAATAATAAAACTACTGCACATTGCATCAGGTTTGTGAAATTGTTGTGTACAGTTTTATATCATATATATATTTCTGGAGAATGCATAATATTTACATAATACCACTAGCATGTGGTCACTTATATTGGTAGGCAAGCAGACTTGCGATGGACAACAGTATTTAGTCCATAACAATTTAATTAAGAAACACTTTTTCTGCAAACTACATTGCAAATGAGTGTATTTATTTTTACTCACATTCATTGCATGTATACTGAGCCATTTTGGAGTTGGAGAAGCCTAGTCCATATAGTTTATTAATATTTGTATTGGACTGTATTTAACAGGCTATCTGTGGGTTATTTGTTAATACTTTATTTGTTAACACTTACCTATGCAGCTGAGCCTTCAGTATTATTATCTATTATTATTATCTATGTAATTATTATTATGCATCTAACCATGTGAGTGACATATGACAGCTCTACACATGTGTAATGCACTTAACTGCACAAAATGTACGTTCATGAAGAGATACTAAGAATAACAGTGCACTGGTCAGGCAAATGCAGTTATAAAAGAGCCTTATGTGTCACAAACACTCCCCTAAACACAGCCCTGCATTAGAACAGTGCGGCATCACTCACCTCTCACAGATGCAAATCAAAACCATGTCTTTCCTGTATGTTCTGTATTTCCCTGAGCCAGAGTAGGTTCAGAATAGACCTCCTCCACATGTGTATAGTAGTGCTGTAATTCTACTGACACTGTCACTCCTTCGTAAACACAGAGAGGAGGCAGGCCAGTTCCTCACTCCACTGCTCTATCCAGATCCGCCATTTCACACAAACTAGCCGTGAAGCCTGACAGAGCTGAGGTTACTGCAGTCTGCTCACTGATAAGTAGATGTTATTGTTCAACAACTGCTTGCCTTAAAAACAAATAAGTATTTATATTTGAAGTAGCTGAGAGTTAAGTGAAGAGGCATGATGCTGGAGTTCTATCACAGACGTTTATTTACATCAGTACAGACCCTGCACCATGGACACAGAAATGCAATTTCTCTACCTGTAGGATAGTCAATAACAAGTATAATTTATTGTGTGAAATTATGATAATTAGGGAGAGACAAATTAGGGTGAGAGTGGCTCAAGTTGTGTAGATTGGCTGCCTTGCGTTTGTCAGTCTGTGCCAGGGCAGCTGTGACTACAGTAGTAGTGTGAAGTGAACGAATAATGCAATGTAAAACGCTTTGTGTGGGTCAGTGACCGGTATTAACAATTAGAGCTCAATGAACTCGGAAAAAAGTTCCAAGAAAAAATAATGAAAGATAACTTAATAGCCCCACCTCAAACATAGATTTTCATTGGGCTAATGGGCACCCGTACTGGAAAAAATCAACATAAAAATCTGAAACTCGCCAATAAAATAAAATGTCAGAAAAAATATATATTTTGAACTCACCATAACCTCAACAGGAAGTTGACCATATTGGATCAAACCCGTGAATGACAGAAGCACACACCGTCGTACTTTGGATGTCTCCTCACACAGTTCTCTTCTCAAACACTTAAAATTTTGCCAAAATACACCAGACTCATGCGATTAAAGATTAACACACTTTTTAATGTGAATTTGGGTGTGGTCATGGTGAATTTTCAACAGGTTTGCAATTTGGAAAATATCAAAAACAATATTTCTGTTACTCCCCTGGAGTTTAAACAAGGCTCAATATTGTTCTTTGGTTTTAACAAGCATTTATTCAGACAGGAGTCTTTCATATGTCTTCACATGTAAATGAACCTTAATACCGACGCATGCTGTCAGAACTATAGAAAAGAAAAAAAAACTAAACTTAAAATTAACCCTCAGATAGAAAACACAGTCAGAAAAGTAATCACACAATAAAATAACACAAAATTTACCTCATTGGCCACATCCACTCAAAGGGAATAAACTCTTGTTCTTTTGAAAACTTTCAACTTAAACAAAAAACGCCCTTTTGGCTCAGAGGTCAGAGTGCAGTTCCTCGTGTGTCTCTCAATTAAGAAAGTGCACCCGTAAAAACTTCCCCTCGAAACAATATGTAATTGGAAGTGGAAGAAATTAAACCAAAATAAAATGAAATGAATTAACATGAACTTACAGAAAAAAATAGCTTATTTATGCTATATTGCTTTTTAAATATTTTACTATATGTCGATATGAATATTATAAAACATGAATTTATATGTATGACAGTTGCCACTGACAGTAGCAATAATTTCTTTTAGACACATTTTTTGTTTGGAAAAAGCTGATGGAGTGTTTGTGCAGGCGAATGTAATGATATGCAAATCAAGACAAAATGGCTCTCTAGCGCCCTCTTAAAATTGCATTTAAAAAGAATTCATACAAGATCTGTTTGTTATGGACTACACAGGGAGCTTACTTGTGATGGAGCACAATGTGACAATGTCACAAATGGTCACATTGAATTGAATGGAGTTGTAACATACTGTATAGATGCTAATTTTGGGGGGAGGGGATGAGTTAGGCTTACTGCTGTTTGCATTTTTTTACGATGGCAACGTCTAACATTTGTCATAGAAATGCATGGATTTTGGTTAACTGGAATAAAAAAATTAAAATAAAATTGTTCGGTACATGTATTCCACACAGTTGCGATGTAAAGCCGGCCATAATCAAGGAGCATTCACGGTGCAGGAGCATTTACGATGCAGGGATGTTCACAATGTAGGAGGTCGCAAAGTGGGGACAAGAGTCAGGATCTTTGTGCTGGCACGGGGTGGTGAAGGCCTGAAATGCTGTGTTCTGCTATAATTATTCACATGTGTGTGTGAGCTTTACATTTTAGATCTTCATATTACTCCTTATATAATAATAATAATCAATAATGATCTGTGTGTGGGGAAATATAACACATTAGTACTGGAATTGTGTGGCTGTAGTACCAAAGATCGCCACTGTGTGAATTCAACACAAATGCCATAAGAGAATTTTAAATGAAACTGGTAAAAAAAAATGTATCTTTAATTGATTTGTCAATATGATACCTCCTTCACTGCAGACACCATTCCCTCTACTCCCCAGTTCTAGCATCATTATGTATTAGCCTGTTCCCCAACCCCCCACTATCAGACCCCAACCCCCAGTGCTCTGCTCACGTGCTCTTGAGCAGGACCTTGTGTGCGCGTGCGGAGGCTAGTGGGAGGGGCCAGAACATCTTTGTGCTGTTCTGCTTTCATTGCTCCAGCTCCTCCCCTTGCCCAGCCCGAGAGGAGGGAGGAAGAGGATAGAGAGAGGGAGAGGAGGAGTGCGCAGACACAGGAGAGGAGAGAGGGTGGACCGGCGCAGGCTCAGTCTGATCTGCTTCCTTCTGTTACCCCATGAAAGCAGGCTTCCTCACATGAATCGGGATGTTTTTTTCCTGCGTTCTTCACCGCGTTGTCTGGATCTCCTCTTTGGTCATGTGAGCAGGAAGAACGAGGGAGTCTGCTGCAGCCCTCAGCTGCCAGAAGAAGCCATGTTGTCCTTTGTATCTTGGTGAACACCGCTAGCTTCCATCGGGGAGCAGGTGCAGGTAAAATGCTAGTGCACTGCGCAAACATGTGACCTGGATTCTGTGGCATCAGTGCGGACGATTCTGGGGCTGTGGTGTTTGGTTTGGTGTGCTACTCTTGCGTGGTTTAGCATGGTTTTGTCCAGTTTGGTTGCATGGTTTGGTCCAGTTGGGTGCAGTGGGTGTGTGGGTGGAGGTAGAGAAGGAGCAGAGCTGTGTTTGAGGGTCATGCTGCTGCTACATGTGGCTTGTTTGCTCCATCAAACATATCTCCTGGATACTTGGGAGCTTTATCAAACCAGTGAAGTGTTATGAAATATGGTGGTGATTGGACATGTTGGACATGTTAGACTGTCTTACAGTGTCTCAGTCCCCATGGAGATGTCATTGCTTTGCACTGAATGTTCCACATTATGACAATAGTTATTAAGTGCAATGTCACTTCTGGGTTCAAGGCAGGCAAGCACTGTTGCCAAATTACAAAAAAAAAAAAATACAAAATTAGAAATCATATGTGAAGTTAGCCCGGACATGACATCATCTTTATAAATCTATAAACATTTCCATCAAGCATTACTCAGGTAGGTGTTTTTATTGCTAAAACACTTGCACTTGAACTGCATCTATACAGATACAGACCTGTGACCTGACCTGGTAGCATCACCTGCTTGTCTCCATGGAGAAGGACAGACACAAACACAAATGAAAGAACAGATAAACAGGAGATGCAGTTATTTAAAGGCAGTTTGGAACAGGTGAGTTTTTAGGGCTTTTTTGAAGATAATGAGTGTGGATGAGTCTCTGATGTGTTTGGGCAGTTCCAGAGGGTGGGGGCAGCAGCAGTGGAGAAGGCCCTGTCCTCCCAGGTTTTGAGTTTACAGGAGGTTGGCGTCATCTGATCGGAGGGCACAGGTGGGGGTGTGGTGGTGGAGCAGCTCAGAGAGGTAGGTGGGGGCCAGGTTATGGAGGGACTTGTACACGATTTTGAGGACCTTGAATTGGATGTGCAGAGGGACGGGGAGAAAGTGAACATCTCTGAGGATAGGGGTGATGTGTTCACGGGAGGAGGTGCAGGTGAGGAGGTGTGCAGCAGAGTTCTGGATGTACTGGAGTCTGTTGAAGAGTTTGGAGGCTGAACCATAGAGCAGCTATTGCAGTCATCAAGGCGGGAGATGACAAAGGTGTGGATGAGGGTTTCACCAGACTGAGGGGAGAGAGAAGGGCGAAGGTGAGCGATGTTCCAGAGGTGATAGAACACAGTTTTGGTGATGTGTTCACTGTGGTGTTCATAGGAAAGGGTGTGATCAAAGATGATGCCAAGATAAAGGAGTTGGGAGAGGGAGAGGGTGAGGTTATTGCTGGTTTTGGTGAGTGTTTTGGGGCTGATGATTATTTCTGTTTAGTCGCAGTTGAGTTGGAGGTAGTTTGATTGGAGCCAGAATTTTATTTCAGAGATATAGTGTGTGAGTGTGGAGTGTGTGGCTGGCGTTATGGATTTGGTGGACAGGTAAATTTGAATGTCGACACTGGAATTGAATATCACCATGGAGACAAGCAGGTGATGGATCCTCCCACAGGAAAAGTTGCCTAGTGCTCCTTTAAAATCATTGTGTAATGAACCACCAAGGAGAGTGATTCTGAGGGGCAGGTGAGGGGTTGGGCCTGAGAATTTTAGACACTGTCTACCTACACTGGGCACTTACCACACTTTGCACTAAGGAGGACTGTGCAGTTTGTTAAATTTTCATCAAATCAAGATCCAGTCATTTCTAATGGTCAATGATTATCTTAGATCTTTTTTCGTGGAGAGAGGCTCTGTCAGTAAAATCATATTGTTTGGAGCACGTAGAATAAGGTTTGGATAAGCAAATTGATTAAAGACTGCACTGTTTATATTTAGGAAATCAGTAATGAAAGAAAATGTATTTCAAACAAGATCACATCAAAAATCAGCCAGTCTACAGCAGGTCAAGGAACCAAATAGGTGCAAACACGGGCTATGAGATGTTCATTGGTGTCTCGTAATTTAGCATTAGCAGTGAAACTGTGCTGCTGATATATACATAATCAAACTGTTGACTTTTGAGTTTCAGTCATGAGGAACTTGTGTTACGTGTTACTTGTGATTTGCTGTCTGCAGAACAAATAAACACTGAAGCTCCAGTTTTACTTTCATTTTAACATAGTGTCGACCAAAACGAAACGTGCTGGGTGAAGTGACTGTATTTTTTCATCTCTGCTGGTTTAAAACTTGTGAGTTATGTCAAAACACCTCTGACGTTTCCTGTTTTTACCTCGTGCAGTTGAATGCCTCTCCTAGTCTGCTCCTAATGTAAATCAGATTATGCTGTTACATGCAGCAGGTATCCCAGTACTAATCAGCTTTTCCGTGTGTTATTGGGACCTTTGAAATTTAAATCACAACACCTCAGTCTTGGGCTGTGTTCAGACTGCAGCCTGAAGTGACCCAAATCCGATTTTTTGGCTTCTATGTGACCTGTATCCAATCTTTTAATGACAGTCTGAACGGCACAGATCCGAATTTTTCAAATGCGACCCAGGCCACTTGGATATGTGGTCCTGAATCCGATACATATCCGATCTTTTGACATGCGACTTTAGTCTGAACGGCCAAAGCGCATCCATCCGACCTATACGTCATTAACAAGCGACAAACGTCACTATTCTGCGCTGAAGCAGGCGGAAACCGGAACTGTAAAATCGCCAGGTGCTCAATGCTCGCGACCATATTTGGACAACTTCCGTAAACACAGAACACGCTCGCTGCGGTTGACGCATGGGGTTGACGTCTTCGTGTCCTCCAGTGCGCATGCGGGACACTTTCGGGCAGTTTACCGTTCACACTGAAGTCACAGACAAGTCGCATTTAATTGGAAATGTGAACGACCTCGCAAAAACATCGGATTTCACAAAAAAATCGGAATTGAGCATTAAGCCCTGCAGTCTGAACGTAGCCTTAGTTCCTGGGTTTACTGCGTTTTGATAGGTCGGTTTCAGTTGGACAAGGCCGGTTCTTTGATTTCAGAATCAGCCTCCACTGATGTCCATGCCTGTGTTTCTTTACAATTTGGGGTTTGGGTGTGTGATAATGCTGATGTCTTTGTGTTTCTTGTCTCTTGCTGGGGTAATGGGTGGGTCTCATGTCTCTTGTCTCTCTGCAGCTGGGAGACTGGGTGTGTGAGAAGATGCTGATGGCGAGGGACAGCAGCAGAGACGAGACCCAGAAACTGCATAAGAAATGGCTGAAGCAGCAGGCCTTCATGGCGGAGCTTGCCCAGAACCGAGAGTGGCTGGACAAGATTGAGAGGGTGAGTTCACACAGGGGACAGAGAACTCATGGACAGGGGGCAGAGGGACACTATAGATGAGGACAGGGTGTGAGTGCCCTAAAATGGAGTTGGGTGAACCTTAAAAGGCCTATATTACACTATTTTCTGATCAATGTTATAACTGTATTATTGTTTCCTCATCACAAACATACCATGACTTTTTTGTATAACAGTTTAATACGCAAACCCTGCATATTTATATATATTTACAGAAAACAATCCCACCTTGTGTTGTAATATGGTGTGTTTTTAAACTCAACACACATTCACTAGAATCATTTGGATCATTTCAGTTGTGGAATTGCTCATCTCTACTGAACTGAAGATAAAAGGAGCTGTAAACTCAAGGTGGAACAGAGCATTTTGAGCTTTGGTGATGTAGACACACTAATAATAAAGAGTTACTCAAACATGTGTGAATGAAACAAAACACGCAAACACAAAAAACTCTGTGTATGTTTTTGAGAAGGTAACAATATGGCTAAAAGCTCACAAGAGAAAATTTAGAACCTTTAATGATAAAACATGATTTTGTACATACAGTTTTGAGAATGCATGCTTTTACTTGACTAAATGTGCTAGGGAGCATTGGCAACCTGAAAGCTGCAGGGAGATGAGACACATATAGGTTACACTCGACATTGTGGTCATTGGCTGATTAAAAGTCTTGTTTATGTTCATATTGAAAGACAGTTATTTCTTTAGAATTTAGACATATCTAATCATGATCTCCTTAGGGTGGACTATTTTGATAGCAGTATCAGCCAAACAGAATTATCCACTGCCCTAAAGTCCCTAAATCTATAGTCCACTTCCTGCACATCAGCTGAGCAGAGAGCGCCTCCTCTGGCTCAGGAGAGTGTCTCTCTATGGGAGCCTGTGAGAAAACTGCTGGAGAAGTGTGGTAAAGAGGAGGGGCTTAACTGGGCCCCACAGCGATGTCGGTTACCGGGCAACCTCCAATCATAGCTCAGCATGGCCCTGTGTGCTACACTCATGTGTGAAGGTCACCTCTCCATGCTTCCAGTGTTGTGAGTGTGTTGTTCACCGTGCTGGCCCGCCTGGGCTGATCTGGCCTGGGCTGACGCTGAGCTCTAACTCAGCACTGACACTGAGTCCATCGATAGCTCTCCTCCTGTCAGTCAGGACCTGACTTGCACTGCATTAACTCTGAGGAGGAGTCACTTAAACTGGTCACAAAAATAACACCATGTGCAGGTGCTTAGAGTTTGTATTGGGTTGGGTTCTTATGTAAATGCATACACAACCATAATTAAATGTTGCTGACATATTTTTATTGGTGCAGAACAGTCATCAAAGTTGTGTCATCAAAAGGATAAGCTCTGATTGTCTGAGGAGTGTGAGGGGTGGGGGAGTCTGAAGAGCTGGGGGAGCAGGTGTGGAGGTGGGTCCCAACATATTCAATGAGCACATGACAACAGTCTATGAAAATCAGTGTAACTGTGTGTGTACATGCGTGTACATGCGTGTGTGTGCGCGCGTGTGCGCATGTATGCACGTGTATGCATGTGTGTGCGTGCACAGGGGGGAAGGGGGGGTTGACTGATTGGTCGTAGCATCACAACAGAGGAACAAGGTGAGAAATGAAACTTTTGCTGAATGTGGTTTTAAGAGAGTTTTCCCTCCACAAACGCACCAAGCACATCTCTCTCTTTTAGAAATGGAACATGAACAGAACATGGGAATTACTGAGGCTTATGATTGTTGCTGTGTGCTTATGTGCAGGAGGGCCAACAGCTGATGCAGGAGAAGCCGGAGCTGAGCGCAGGCGTGCAGAGAAAGCTGGAGGAGATGAGGGAGTGCTGGCAGGAGCTGGAGAGCACCACCCAGGCCCGGGCCAGGCAGCTGTTTGAGGCCAACAAGGCCGAGCTCCTGGTGCAGAGCTACGAGAGCCTGGACCATCGTCTGGGACAGCTGGAGGAGCAGCTGGCCTACGTGGACCAGGGACAGGACCTGACCAGCGTCAACAAGCAGCTCAAGAAGCTGCAGGTACATGGCCAGTCCACAGTGCTCCTGACAGGACGCTCTTTACAGGGTACGCCTGGCAGGGTGTTCCTCACAGGGTCTTCCTCACAGATGCCCCTGACAGGGTGCTACAGATTCTGGCTGATGACTATAAAAACGATATTACTCAATCCCAAGCCTGTTCAAAGACACTTTTAGCATATGGCTTTATTCAGTAACAGTTACAGGGTTGTCCATAACCTTGCACAATGTAAACAGAACCCTCTGAATGTGCTCTTCAACATTTGTCCTGCTGGGCTGCCGTACACTATCACCATTTCACTGTATTTTCATGTTTGAAGTGATGTTTATTTTTGCTCTGATTTTGTTCCCAGTGTTTGAGCTCATTTGTGGGATGTTTCTGTTTCATTTTTCTTTGTTTTGATGCTTCTTAGAAAGTCATCTGCACTCATGTCCACCCATCCCACGCTCGCAGTGAAGGCAGAGGGCTCCTCGACTCTGCTCCACAGCATGCTGCTTTTGCTTCTTTAGCACGGCTTTGGTGCACTGCCCCCTGCTGACCAGGGTACAGTACTGTGCACTGCCTGCTCTCAGGCCAGGACCATGTGCTCACGGTTTCTCACATATCACACATTTCACTGTTATAATGCTCATCGTGCAATTGTGTCACAGTATTATAAAACAAATCAAACCACACACAGGAAATGTAGTATGCTTTTTTCTTTGTGAAAACTTTAAATGATGCTCCACTCTTCTAGTATCAAGCATCACTCATTTTCAACCTTTAAAGGGCTTACATTATGCTATTTTCAGATCTATGTTGTTGCTGCATATTTAGGCTATTTTCTCAAACAAAACACTCATGTGTGATGTCATGTGATAATACCACATGACAAAATGACTCACTAGAAACATTTCGATGATTTCAGCCTTGGAATTGCCTTTCTCTACTTAAAGGTAAAAGGTGACATGACTTCATTTTATGACATCACAACACAAAGACAGATGTAGACAGACTTATAACCAGGGTTACTCAAATGTGTGAATGGAACAAAACACAGTTCCAGGTCTGTTTTGATGAGATAACAAAATGAGCTTAAAACTCACAATAATCCATTTTGTGTACCATAATGTATGACTTTCAAGAAACAAGATTTTACAATTTTACCTAAAAGTGTTTGGGATTGGAATCAGCAGGCCTTCCTGTAGTTTGGACATTTATGCAGATTTAAACCGTATTTTTAGGACAGCTTTAAAAGAAAAAAAAAAGTTTGATAATGTATATTCTGCCTGTATCTGTATCCTAACTGCATGCTCTGGTCCTGTCCCCTGGTCATGTGTCCCATGGCAGGGCATGGAGAGCCAGGTGGAGCAGTGGTGCCTGGAGGCCGGTCAGCTGCAGAGCCAGACGTGCTCCCTCCCCGAGCAGGGCCACACCAAAGGCAGCGTGGAGCAGCGGCAGGCGGCTGTGGAGGCCCGCATGGTGCGCCTCATCCAGCCACTCAAGGAGAGACGCCGTCTTCTACTGGCCTCCAAAGAACTGCATCAAGTGGGCCGTGACCTGGAGGATGAGATTGTGAGTTTCATTCTGACTTCACAAAGTCCTTTATGCAGCACAGTGACATAATGCTGTAGTCAACTAAAGAAATTAAAGAAGAAAAAATATTATGTTCTGTCGACTAAAAAGGAGGTGTGCGGCACTCCCTAACTTTACCTAAATAAAAAAATTTTATTTTGTATTAGGCTACTTAATATTTTGTTTAAAATTGAACATGTATCTGCATAGACATATTTATATCATGTTAAATATACTTACATCACTTTATTTGGTTCATGTGTTTCCCCATTGAGTGAGCTGGGTCTGGGAGGTCTATGGAAGAACCTGAAGTTTGAGAAAATGTGATGTCATTACTTTGCACCTGCCCATTACTTTACATTGCAGCCCTGAAGTATTTCTTGGGGGCGCAGGGTGGGGGTGACCTGAAATCAAGTGATTAAGTGATCACACACCCGACCTATTGTGACTCAGCTACCCGCTCTCCCACCCATCCCCACTTCTCCACTGGCACCATGTTACTGCTATAGGCTAATGAATGGATAACTACAGAGCTGTGTACTGTACAGTTATGGAGAGTTCAACTTCAAGTCAAAGGGCGTCCGAGGAAGAGTTTTTAAGGAGTAATATATCTTCTCTTCAGGAGACCCATCTGCCAAGTAAGAAAAGAAGCATTAAGCTGAAATGAGTGCATTGGCTGGAGTGATATCCTACAGTTCTAATTTTGATTCACACACTGGCTAATGGTGGCTAGTTACTTACACTTAAACCTCCACACAGGAGACACACAGGTGAGGGAGAGACACCGCTAATCAGACCCACAGCAGAGCACAGAGGGGCACTCAATGCTGCTGCCACTGGTACTAATGTTGCTACGTAAACTTTGCATTTGTGTGCTATGTTCTAATTGTGATAGCAATTGCATCACAGTGCAAGCGTAGGACAGGGGACTGATGTAATATGAGCAAATTATTTCCACATGTGTTCAAATTGTTGGTACTCTTCTGGTAATGAAAGAAAAATCGACAGTCATCACTGAAATAACTTGAAACTGATAAAAGCAATAATAAATAAAAAAAAATACTGAAAATGGTCCTACAAAATTCAAACATTGTTTTTCACCTGTGGTTCAACAGAATTATTAGAAAAAACAAAATAATGAAACTGGCCTGAACAAAAATGATGGTTCCCTTAACTTAATATTTTGTTGCACAACCTTTTGATGCAAACTCTGCAAACAAATGATTTCTGTAACTGTCAATGAGACTTCTGCTCTGGTCAACAGGTATTTTGACCCATTTCTCATGAGCAAACTGCTCTAGTTGTCTCAGGTTTGAAGGGTTCCTTCACCAGACAGCATGTTTCAGCTCCTTTCACAGATGTTCAGTAGGATTGAGATCTGGGCTCACAGAAGAACACTCCAGAACAGTCCAGTGTTTTGTTCTTAGTCATTCTTGTGTGTTTTTAGTTGTGTGTTTTGGGTCATTATCCTGTTGGAAGACCCATGATCTACAACTGAGACCAAGCTTTCTGACACTAGGCAACACATATCGGTCCAAAATACCTTGATAGTTTTCAGATTTTGTTGTACCCTGCACAGATTCAAGACACCCTGTGCCAGATGCAGCAAAACAGCCCCAGAACAAAACCAAGTCTCCTCCATGTTTCACAGTAGGAACAGTGTTCTTTTCTTGGTGTGTTTCATTTTTGCGTCTGTGAACATAGAGCTGATGTGTCTTGCCAAAGAGCTTAGTTTTGCCTCATCTGTCCAAAGGACATTCTCCCAGAAGCTTTGTGACTTGTTAATATGCACTGTGACAAATTCCAGTCTCACTTTTTTATGATTTGCTCTCAGCAGTGGTGTCCTCACATGAACTGCACTTTGGTTCAAACACAGATGGATGGTGTGATCTGACACTGATGTACTTTGCCCTTCAAGTTCACATTTAATTTCTTTGGAGGTTGTTTTGAGCTCTTTGGTTCCATTTGTATGATCTATCTCTTGAATTTGTCATAAATCTTCCTCTTTTGTCACATCCAGGGAGGTTGGCTTCAGTCCTATGAACCTTAAACTTGTGAAGAACATGTGTAACTGTAATCACAGGAACATCAGCTGCTTGGAGATGGTCTTATTGTCTTTATCTTTAACCTGCTTGTCTATTATTTTCTTTCTAGTCTCCTGACACAGTTCTCTTCTTCTCTTTCTCTGCTCCATGTTCAGTGTTGTGTCCATCATGTCTCCAAACAGCACAATGACACATGTCCCCCTTTAAACAGACAGACTGACTGAGGACAAGTTTGAAGAACCTGTGATGCAGATTAGAGACACACCAAAATTTAACATGGCCCTATTGTCCAAATATTTACAATCTTTTCTAGGGGAACATCATTTTTGTCCAGGCCAGTTTCATTAGGGTTTTTTTTTCTGTTGACCAATAATTCAAAAGCAGTGTCTGATTTTCATTGGTTATAAAAAAAAAAAAGTATGTGTTATTGTTTTTCTTTGTTTGAAGTCATTTCAGTGACCATTGCTGATTTTTCTGTCATTACCAGAGGGGTACCAACAATTTTGAACATATCTGTATATTAATTCAATATATAGTTCAACCAATAGTGACTAAATGTCTGTTTCTGGCATTCGTTATAATACTATATAGCCTATATATAATACATAAATTCATATATTTATAATATATAATTTTGATCTAGGCACCCACATTATACCACCAGCCACTGCTGCGTATCTCTATGTATCTGCCTCAAAGTGCACTCACCAGACTACTACAAAACAATATATTATATATAAAAGGCTGATTAAACTTTGATTGAAATGATTCATTTCCAAATCTTCAAACAACTCATATCACATATCTTCTCTCCTCTGCTGTTGTCCTATACATATCCTTAAAATGAAAATCAAAACAGTTTGGTTGAATTTTGGTTGATATTCAGAGCTCATTTATACATGTGCGCCCCCTCGTGAGGCTGGGAAAACATACTGTATTTTTACAGTATTTTTAGTTTGAAAAGTGAGAGGTGCCATACATACTGGAACATTAGTCAGACTGGGGACAGTGATGCTCATGTGACAGTGATGCTCATGACAGTGATACTGTGACAGTGATGCTCATGAGTACTGTTCTCTCTTCATATGTCTCTTGATGTGTCTGATGTGTGTGCTGCAGCTGTGGGTACAAGAGCGCCTCCCTCTGGCCATGTCTCAGGAGCACGGAGGGAGTCTGCAGGCAGTGCAACAGCTCATGAAGAAGAATCAGGTGCTGTGCTGCACACAGATCCCTGTAGGCCGCCTGTGTATAGCTTTATTTAACATGTCATGTTTGTGCAGACCCTACAGAGGGAGCTGGAGGGCCACCGTGGCAGAGTGGACGATGTGTTGGAGCGGGCAGCAGTCATTGCCTCTCTACGGAGCCCCCAGGCAGACAGCGCCAGGGCCGGCCTGGAGCAGCTGTCCCAGCTCTGGTCTCTGCTGTGGGCAGAGACGGAACGCAGGCAGCTGGTGCTGGACGCCATGTACCAGGCACAGCAGTACTACTTCGACACAGCCGAGGTGGAGGCCTGGCTCAGCGAACAGGAGCTGCACATGATGAATGAGGAAAAGGGCAAGGTGCTCCACTGCTCACACAGCTTGTACAAACATGTCCATACACACATGTGCTCACACAGAGCTGACATAAACATGTCCACACACATGTGACTGTGCCCTGTGCCCAGGATGAGCCTAGCACCCTGCAGCTGCTCAAGAAGCATCTGGTCCTGGAGCAGACCATCGAGGACTACGCCGAGACCATCGGCCTGCTGTCCCAGCAGTGCAGGCAGCTGCTGGAGATGGGACACCCGGACTGGTGCGCAGCAATACACCTCATATTACTATTAACATTCTGTGTATTTACTGCAGTCAAAGTGAAGCAAATCTCAAGTAACAGATGCAAGTATATTTTCATTTTGAAAAGTATTCCAAATACATGTTTTCAATATTAAAAAAAGTCTGACTTTAAAAGCTTTACATCCTCAGTATGGCCCCTGACATGTTGTGCTCTTGGTGCAGTGAGCGCATCAGTAAGCGGCAGGCGCAGGTGGACCGTCTTTACGTGTCTCTGAAGGACCTGGTGGAGGAGAGGAAGAGCCGCCTGGAGCAGCAGTACTGGCTCTACCAGCTCAACCGTGAGGTGGATGAGTTGGAGCAGTGGATCGCTCAGAGGGAGGTGGTGGCCAGTTCCCCGGAGCTGGGCCAGGACTACGAGCACGTCACTGTGAGATATGATTATGTGCAGACTGTTTATGACAATAATTTGACACATCATGATATATATCTGGCACCTCTAGTCTTGATCAAACTTATAGCCAGGCAAAATAACAACCACTGCCACACGCACCACCCAGACACACACCATTTGCATTAGCATCTCTTCCATGCATGTTCATGTTAACCAAAGTGTGCCATCACTCTGAAAGCTTATTCTCTTTGAGCAGGTGTTACAGGAGAAGTTCACTGCCTTTGCCTCCGAGACGGGCAGTATTGGGCTGGAGCGCGTGTCTGCTGTGAACCAGATGGTGGACGAGCTGATCGACTATGGGCACGCGGAGGCAGCCACCATCGCAGAGTGGAAGGATGCGGTGAATGAGGCCTGGGCCGACCTGCTGGAGCTGATGGAGACACGTGCTCAGATGCTGTCTGCCTCACACCAGCTGCACAAGTTCTTCTCCGACTGCAGAGAGGTCAAACACACACACACACCTGCACACTCAAACATGCATACTGGGTTTCCATGCTTTTTTATTTACCTGGGAAAGATCCTATGTGCATGACAGATTTTGATGATATACTTGAAGGGATTTGTTTTTTACTGACCTGCTCACTTTGCCCCCTTATTGTGTAGGTTCTAAACCAGATCTCAGATAAACACCGGCGGCTTCCAGAGGTCCAGGCACGACAGGGCACCAACAGTAGCACCCTGCAGAGACTGCTGCACACGTTTGAGCAGGACATACAGCACCTGGTCACACAGGTACACACACATATGTACACACACACGCAAACTTTAACACACATACAAACACACACATTTGAACAGGACATACAGCACCTGGTCACACAGGTACACACATGCACACGCACGCACACACACACACATGCACACACACACACATCCAATCCAATCCAACTTTATTTGTATAGCACATTTTATAAGCAAGACAGTTTCCAAAGTGCTTCACATCTCACGCAATGTCATGTTTACTTAAAAAAATCTGTAGAATTATGTTTCAACCATGGGGAAACTAATCAGTCAATAAAGCAATAAATCAATAAATAAAATAATAATAAAATCAATGAACAAAAATAATAAAATCAATACATAAAAGCAGTACTAAAAAAATAAAATAGATAAAAAAAATAATACATAAATAAATAAATGCAATAAAATGTTATGTGTCAACCAAGCCTTGACGTCACTCAAGCACTGCAGGAGGGGTGTCAAGGTGCTGCTGCCATTTTTTCTGAGTGGCATGTAAATTTGACAGTCATCTGCATAAAAATGGTAAGATATCCTATGCTTTTGGAAAATTTGGCTCCGGGGGAGAATATAAAGTGCAAACAGCACAGGCACGAGAATGAAGCCCCAGTTTAACACAGAAAGACCTCCCTGACAAGTAGGACCTGAACCAGTCCAAGGCAGATCCCCTGACACAGTTTTCAAGATGATTTAAAAGAGTTGCATGGTCCACTGTGTCAAAAGCAGCAGTCAAGCCTAAAAGCACTAAAATGGCATTTAAAACCTTTTAAAGTGCTGACTCATATATATTCTCTGCATTTAAAAATTACTGCAATTGAACTAAAACACTCTTTTCAAGTATCTTGGACAAAAAAGGAAGCTTTGAGATGAGTCAGTAATTTGAAAGGACACTAGTGTCAAGACAGTTTTTTTTAGTGTTTCAACCACAGCTTGCTTACAAAAACTGGGCACTGTCTCTGAGATGAGGCTGCCATTTACAATTTGCTGGAGACAAGGGCCAACAGTTGACCCGACGTCTTTGAGGAAGCATTGGGGGACAGGATCTGTAAAACTAGATGAGTGTTTGAGTTTAGTGGCAATATTTGTTAGAAAGGGTAAGGAAACTGGTTCAAACTGTTGTAAATCAGATGTGCAGTACATGGCTATTGACAGATTAGGAAAACAGATTGAAATTCTGGCCCTAATGGCAGCCACTTTCTTACTAAAGTAGTTAAAAAAAATCTCTCTCAAGCCTCCCAGGAAGATTCTAAAATGGTGGATTGGAAAGGATTCAATACAGAATCTATTGTTTTAAAAAGCACCCAGGGCTTATTAAGATTTTGAGAAACTATTTCTGATAAGTATTTTGTTCTGCATTAACAATTTTTTTGATAATTTCGCCAGCAATTGCAAAGAAACTGATAAGACACCTGGAGCCTGTCTTTTATCATTGAGCCAAGGCTCCAACTTTGACCTGGGACGCACAGCTCTTTGTTGGGCAATGGCATCCAACACATTGGTACAAGTGGATAAAAAAACGCGATGTCAACTGTTCAATGTTTAAAACGCCTGTAGACTCACTGTTTGACTGAACAATAGTGTCAAAAAGAGATGAGAAAAGAGCCACACAACTGGGCTTGAAAACTCGACTATAGCGCACAGGAGCCCCTGTTTTATTGCACTCATTTACACTAACATCAAACATTACAGGAGTGAGATTACACCATCACCTTGAATCTACAAAATCTTTTATTTTTAGTAGGTCCTGGCGATCATAAACCAGCAGTGAGTCAATGGTCCTTGTGAAAGTTGTTAAAATTAGAGCCAAATAAAGTAGATACAGGAGAGTCAAGTGGCGTACCAAGCACACCGGCGCCATCTTGACCCCCCACTGCTACTACAACTACCACTCAGTGTGGTACGTGCATTTAAACAGGACATACAGAACCTGGTTGCACAGGCACACATGCACGCACACACTCAAACACATACATACACACACATTTGAACAGGACATACAGAACCTGGTCCCACAGGTAAACATGCACACATCCCCTAAGGGGGGCAGTCACCAAAAAGCATTATTCTGAAAAGCTCAGCTCCAGTAGTGTGGCTCAGCTGATCAGGAACATAACTCCTAACTGTGTTTTATAAGCATATGTATGAGAATAACGACCCATCTGGCAGGTTCGGCATGTGCAGGAGAGTGCGGCACAGCTCCGGGCTGTGTATGCAGGGGAGAAAGCCGAGGCCATCGCGTGTCGGGAGCATGAAGTAATGATGTGCTGGAAGGAGCTGCTGAGCTGCTGTGAGGAGTGCCGTGTACACATCACCACAGAGGCAGACAAACTGCGCTTCTTCAGCCTGGTAAGGGACCAGCTCATGTGGATGGACTCCATCATTTGCCAGATCGGCACCGGAGAAAAGCCCAGGTACACACACACACTCCATCTGCTCTGCTTTGAGCCTTGCCTTACTGTGACCCCTGCATGTATGTGAGCTGAACACTGTGTACCTGCAGGGATGTGTCCTCTGTGGAGGTCCTCATGAACTATCACCAGAGTTTAAAGAGTGAGGTGGAGGCACGTAGAAACAGCATGGTAGAGTGTGTGGAAATGGGGAAAACCCTGCTGGCCGCCCGCAATCCTGCAGCCCCAGAGGTGAGATCTGACCACTGTTCATTACACCTTTGGTATGGATGCAGTTCTTAACATGTGATATCTTCAGATCAAGGAGAAACTGGACAAGGTGCTCTCTAAGCAGCATGAGCTCTCAGAGAAGTGGGACAAACATTGGGAGGTGCTACAGCAGTGTGAGTAATCCTCCTTCTCTCAAACCTGCTGCAGTGTTATGGTTCTAATAGACAGGTGTCATCTCACAGTGTTGGAGGTGCACCAGTTTGCCCAGGAAGCAGTGGTGGCAGAGGCTTGGCTCACTGCACAGGAGCCCCTGCTGAACAGCTCTGAGCTTGGCACCAGTGTGGACGAGGTGGAGCAGCTGATCCGGCGTCATGAGGCCTTCCGTAAAGCAGCCGCTAGTTGGGAGGAGCGTTTTAGCTCTCTGCGCCGCCTCACCTCTGTAAGCCCCACCCACAGCTCCCTCTACACAGAGCTAAACATAAGCTTCATTCTCTCTCTGTGATGTGTGTGCAGGTAGAGAAACTGAAGGCAGAGCAGGGGAAGCTCCCCCCCACGCCCTTGCTAGGCCGAAAGGTCTTCCTGGAGCCCCAGGACCCTCCAGGTCAACCCCCTGTGTCTCCTGTCATGAGACAGACCATCTATGAGCAGACGGAGCCCAGCTCCCCCCCTTCTTCCGCAGGGCGCCGCCTCTCCTCTTTGGCCCCTAACTACAGTCCTGTGATGAACTGTTATCGCGGCACCTCTGACCCGCAGCAGAGTGGGGCTGTGGTGGGCGTGGCTGCTGGAGTGGGCCAACCAACTCTATCATCTATTGCTTCCATTGCCACTGCCGCCATGCTGGTGTCAGCCAATCAGGCACGGGAAGGCGCGAGTGCTGTCAGAAGCAAGGCTTCAAAAACTTTGAGCCCTCTCCAGAGTGGGCAAGCTCCTGAGGAACCAGAGCCCAAGTCACAGTACCTACGGCAGCCCAAGATCAAGCACCTGGACGATGTTGTGACCCCACTGCTGGTGGCCAGTCGCCTGGAGAAGTCTCGTGAGAGAGGGCGCGAGAGGGAGTCGGGTCCAGATAGAGACGTCAACATCATGGCTGAAGTGGTGCTACAAGACCCCTGTCGAGAAAGGCTGCACAGTGAACCCACTAGAGGGCCCCGAGGGTCCCGAACAGAAGTCCCAGGCCATGCCCAGCCCCAGGCCTACCACAAAGAACACAAGATGGAGCGCCCCCTTTCCAGTGAGCAGCTGATCCAGGCCCGCAGAGACGAGCTGCCGCAGGAGGTGTGGAGAGAGCAGGAACGCAGGCGCACTCTGGAGAGGCAGACGTCCAGTGAACACGAGGGCCCAGGAGGCCATGAGGCCCGGCGCAGAGAGAGAGACCGGCACAAGCCGGAGCGTCAGGAGTCTAGTGAGCCAGATAGGGAGCACTCTGACCGCCGTTCAGCTGGAGGGTCAGTGTGCCAAATAGTACTGGTCAAACACTACCACACACACCCCAATACAGCTGCTTTGTTTTCTGTTCAGGGAGAAGAGGTCCACCATGGCTGAGATAGTAGAGCAGATCCAGGAGAGAGAAGCAGCTCAGGTCAGAACTGAAACTGTGTTGTGTATTAAGACTGGAGGTGCTGGTTCGGTAAGGTTGATGATAACACACGTGTGTTTGATGTTCCTAGGCTCGGGGAGAGGTGCCTCGCCTGCCCAATGGTCTCCCGGAAAAGTCTTCCCGCCCCGAACGCCCGCGAGCTCGGGACAGGCCTAAACCTCGACGCCGACCCAGACCCAAAGAGGGAGGGGAGCCCAGCAGGAGGTCTAGGTCTGCCCCGGCTCAGAGCCCAGCTACACCCCAGCCTCCCACACACACAGCCCATCAGGAGGGTTTCTTGTTCCGCAAGCTGGACATTGAGAGCATGAAGAAGAGCACTAACAGGTGGGTGTCCTGCATGTAGACGGCCATGTGCCTGCGATACAGACCCAGTCAAATAGTATGTTCACCAGAGTGGCCAGTTGGACCCACTCTGAACACCTAACATGGTACTATTTGAGTCCCACTGGGCGGAGGCTGCTGATGCATGCTAAGCTACTCCTGGAGCTGTGAATGGAGCGATGCAAGCCCATCACTGCCCCCTGGTGTGTAAACCTGTGCAGGTCACCGGGATGTGGACCCAGGTATCTGGGAGCTCATCACAGTGCTGCTGCTTTACATTGCACCACACCTGTCTATGCTCGCTGCTTCTATGAAAACAGTGAAATGATCATCTAGGATTAGCAAATGATCACAGATCTGGAGTTGGTACAGTCTGGAACCCCTGAGTCCAGCTCCATGTGAACCAGTACTGATCTTACCATTTATATTTTGTCTTGTTAATTTTGCTCAAAAATCCTCTAACAGTCATCAATATCAAAACTGTTATCAGAATTGTTTTGTCCCTCGCATAGAGTAGCTTCTTCCCTTACACCATCTCTATCTTTCTATTGTATTGCATTGATTGTGCAACTTGAGATATCCAGTGTCTTTTACCACTACATGGTCCTAATGTTATGCTTTTACACAGACGTATAGGACTGTTCATGGACATAGGAACTTTAGGGTTATTTCATATTTAGTATACAAAATGATGTACAGCTTTTTATTTGAAAATACAATTTGAATAATAGGATTGGATTCAGTAGCATGTATAGTGTATTTTATTGTCAGATAGATATATTGGGAATACTAACAGTATGGCCAAAGCCTGGATAAGAGACCCCTTCTCTGATGTAGGCCTAAAACAGCATGTGCAGCAGCTGCATGTTGGACTGGTGAGCCAAAGCCTAATGGTGAGCCAGACAAGCTACCCTGTAGAGCTCTTACCCAGCCCAGCGCTAAAGCCTGATCTGGGGCTATAGTCTGCTCATGAACCTGGCTCATCTGCTCCTCTGAATGAGTGAGCACAGTGCAATGTGGCTCAGGTACAGGACTGAGTTGACAGGACTGTGAGTGGACATGGTGAATGTGAATGTGACTGAGTGGACATGACAAAGTGGACATGATTAAGGGGACATAACTGAGGGTACATGATTGAGTGGACATGCCTCAGTGGACATGAGAGAGTGGACATGAGTAAGGAGTCATGACTAAGTCAGCACCACTGTGCGGGCCTAACTGAGGGGACATGACGGAATGGACATGACTTAGGGGACAAAAGGTAACATTACTGTGTATTGGCCTGGCTGTTCCTCTGTCAGCACCGCTCCTCCTCCACAGTAAAGCATTCTGTCTGCCCATGTCTCAGTTCAATGTGCTACAATATCAATAGCATTCTGGTACCAATAACATAAAGATATCACCATATGGAAAGTCTATTGGTGTGACCTTCTTGGACAATTGTAGCGAAATAAAATTTTTTGAATTTATCAGACCAGTGCATAGGTATCCAGAAACAGGCGTCAGCAGAACATTTGGCCTTTACATAGCCACAACATGATGAGCGCATTCATGATGTTCAGCCCTTAGACAGAACATGGCTGCAGACCGGATACGCCTGTGGAGTCCCAGCCCACTGCATGTTTCCTGGGTGTCATTTAGTGCTCCTGCTGGGGTCGGATCAGGACTGGGGTTAAGGCTGGAGTCAGGGATGGGGTTTAGGTGTGAATAGCTATCAGTTGAATTGCAATTGCAGATTTAGATGAGCATGAATGGGGTTATGTCTTTGTCTCTAATAGCAGGGTGGGGTGTCATGTCTGTTCTTTAAGATGTACTGTCCCAATCAATCAAATAAATAAATAAACTAGAAAAGCACTCAGAGAGCGCAGACCTCCGACAAGGACTACCCCCATTTTTTATATAAATTGCGATAAAATCAGTCTTCTGGATCAGATCCGGATCAGCCTTTGGAATATGAAAGAGGATCCCATTGTCCATCCCTGAGTCAAATTTCATGGGGTTTGGTCAGTAATTAACCGAGATATTGAGAAACAAAATGTTTGGCCCCATTTACCACAATGTTAACTAAAATTTCAAAGTGATCCAGAATCCAGGATTTCTTCCGGATCACCCCCAAAATGAAATCAGTTCTTCCTTTTCACATTTCCAACAAATCCTGAAAATTTCATCAAAATCGGTCCATAACTTTTTGAGTTATGTTGCTAACAGACAAACAAACAAACAAACAGACAAACGCCGGCAAAAACATAACCTCCTTGGTGGAGGTAATAAATAAGTGTATGAGGGAGTGGGAGGACTCAGTGATGCCCATGTGTGAATGATTTGTCAAGGTTGCATGCACTGTCCTGAGGATTTGTTCAAATGGGACTTAACCAATTGTGTGCTGTGTTGTGTCCTCTCCTGTGCACACTGCGGGCTGTCCCTTGGCTCCTCTTTAAGGTAAGTGTGGTGTCCCTGTCCTCTCTGTCTTTCCCCGTCTGTCCCTGCCTGTCTCTGTCTCTGTCCGTGTATGTGTCGTGGTGTTCCAGTGTTATGGCCGCGGCCCATGGCACCTATCTGCTAGGCTCAGGTGAGTGTTGTCTCACAGGTAGCCCCGCCCCTGACCCCGCCGTCTCTCCTCTCACAGCAGGTCCTGGGTGAACCTGTACTGCGTGCTCAATAAAGGCGAGCTGGGCTTCTTCAAGGATGCCAAGAGCACTGGCACGCCTTACAACAACGAGGCTGCCCTTAGCCTGGGCCACTGCCAATGTGATGTCACCAACGGCTACAAGAAGAAGAAGAACGTTTTCACACTCAAGTGAGACACAGGCCCACAAGCTTTTAGGAGAGGAATAATGCACATATGCTATGCTCATTTATTACATAATTTAAGCTAATTTAATTTAAGTGGAATTCTGCTGCTGTAAAGTCATTACAGTCATGTCTTTGGTGTGTTACAGGACAAAAGACGGCAGTGAGTACCTATTTCATGCAAAAGATGAGGTGAGACATTTTTCACAGTCATCTTAAAACACAGTGCATAGTTGATTTTCACCACTCTTCTGTTCAACGGTAGGACGACCTGAAGGCCTGGGTGGGCAGTATCTCCACCAGTATCTCGGAGCATGAGGAAATTGGCAAATGGGGCCAGCCTCAACCCACTACCTCATCCACAGACGAGGGCACGCGGCGGGAAGGCAGTAAGGCCGACAACCGCTCTGACAGGGGTCCAGACCGGGGGTCTGACCGGGGCCCCGATCGGGGACCTGATCGGGGACCTGAGAAAGAAAAAGACAGAGTTGAGCGCTCTGAGAAAACTGTAAAATCTGACTCAAAACGCTCTGAAAAATCAAGCAAGAAGAAGTGAGCAGAGAAAATTCTGTTGCTACTGTAGAGCCTCCTCTGTCCAGGATGGACTGCATAGGACAGCGGAGGACAGTGGGGAAGCAGAAGAATACAGCTCCAGAGAGCTCTCCAGCACTGTTGAGTAAACCAAGCGTAGCCCTAATGTTTTCTGTTTGTTTTGTGTGAAATGAGCAGTGTCTGTCTGAGTCCATCTGTGTCTCTGAATATGAAGATGTCTCATGTCTTTATTTTGTTGGAGTTGGACACCTGAGGACACCTGGAAGACACTTGAAAGACACTTGGAGGTAGACTCCTGGCTTGGTCCGGAGCCTGACCATAATGCATTTTGAGCAGATAAAAGGACACATCTTGACTTAACTTGACTTGAATCAAGTCCCACAGAAGTTCATCTTTCAGAAGCACATGCTAATCTTTTCTTTAGTCTTGGGTCTTCCTCTGGGCTTCTAGTTTGGCATTTCTAACCTCAGATATCCCTCCTTTGTATGTGTGCAAAGCATCTCCATTCCACAGAACATATCAGCTGTCTCTGAATACTCCCTCTTAATGTCAGTTAGTCAGTCATCCTAAAAGTACAGTAGTTTTATATTGACTCTCCATGTTTCTTTTTAAATTGAATTTTTAATTTACAAGAGGGAACCATGTGTACTTCTCACGGAACTTCGCAAAAATGCTCCTCCGTCACTTCCTCAGAACATCTCACTGTACTCCTTCATTTCCTTAGAACATCACACTCTTCCTAGAACATCTCACTCATCTTAGAATATCTCACTTGCCTTTCTATACAATTTTTGTTGTTTTCTTAAGAAATAACTTTATTTTGAAGACTGAAGCCATAGTCTGTGACAGAGATTTACAAATGTGTCTGTAGGAACTACGGTTTTGTCCCGTTGGGAATTCTGTCCTTGGACCGATCTTGGTTGTGAGTACCTTAGCTTGGAGGATTAGCTGTGCATGTAATTGGTTAGTGACATTTCAGAATCCACTCGCCTTTAGTAAAAAGCACAAGTCCACATGTTCCTTCCCAAAGCCATGTTCCAGCAGGACCTTCAGCATCTTCAGAAGGGTGTAAACATTTGCTGTGAACTGACTGTTAAAAATAGCAGGGCTGCTTCTAGTTTGTGGGGAACTATACAAGATGTTGTTTGGGGGGGGCTCCATTCACCTGAACTGACCAACCAACTGAAAGAGATTGCCATGATGATTTATGTGAATTTCTTTGCTTGTACCTAAAAGCGAACTGCAATGGATGAAATGTTCTGGTTTGATGCTAGTTTAGTTTTGATGTAGACTTTGGTTTGATTGTGCTCTAGTCCTGCTTTAGCCAGTCCCTTCTACATTCTCTTCAAAGCTAGAAGGATCTGGAATCGTGACAAACCTGCCTCCCAACATGGACAGTCCAACCACAGCCACTAATTTGTAGCATGTGTCTCTCAAAGGCAGGAGACAGACAATATTCCATCATATTTTTCTGTATTGGCACAGATATTGGTGCATCCCTATTCAGAACAAAATCACTTCTTTTACCTGATATAAATAAGAATTCTGTGCTTCCATTGATTTTTCTACAGAAATCCATGTTTTTTCTCACTCCTCTTTTAATGTAAGCCGCCATGTTTATTTTTACCAGACCCTGATTGGTTAAGCTGCCTGTCAATCACACACCCCCGAATAATGGCGATAGGATATGGTTTCACACTCACTCATCTTTGTAAGGTCATGTCTAGGTTTGGTTCAGAGTTTAGTCCTGGGTGTGAATGCAACCTAAATATATGATGAAAATAAACAGACACACTTAGATGTGCTCAGTTCTGGTGGCCCATGTGTACAATCTGGTTTTGGCTAGAAATGGCCCTGCCCCTGTCTTCCAAACACGCCCCCAACCCTCCCCCTTCCCAGTCCTTTGCCGCACCCTCATCCCCATGAGCGCATGTGTACCTGTGCAGTCGTCCAGTTTCTCTTCACCTGCACCCAATGAGGAGGTCATCCCCCAATGCTCTCCACCTATTTTTCTATGGAATGAAGCTCTGACCAAAATGTCTTCATTCTAAAGCCCAGTCTGCCTTATGTCCACACTACACACATCTTTCAAATGCACCTTTTTTGATTTCTTTATTAATGACGTGTATTACAGACCATTTCCACTGGCCCCGTCAGCACTGCACAGCTCTGCTTTCTCAGATTTTTGGTATTTTGACTTGGGGCTAAAAACTTTTTTGGTCAAAAGACAGAATTAAAATTGGTAGTCAAAATCTGGACTAAGCACGTCAATTCCACTCTTAACCACATTTCAAATAGAGCTGGTAACACCTCTAAAATGGTGTTCATCTCACGGCCCCAGTTATACTGAGCTGAATAATCACCATTAGTGATTATTAATTAATTGAGGAATCACCACATCCCAAATTCAAAGTACGTAAAACAGAGCTGTGTAAACCATGCTAGAGCCATCTTCTGGGCAGTGGGAAAGCAGCTAGTGGCTATGGCCAGGGTTCCCAACAGAAAAGACCTTTTCTTTGACAATTTTGTATAATTTTTGTAACAAATGTAATGCATCTCAGCTAGGTGTGAATGCCAGATCAATGCAATTAATGATTTGCATGTTGGACATAATCAGAGCAAAGAGGACACAAGGCACAGGTCCTTGGATACGCAGAGACTCGAAGCTCCTCCTGTTCTGTTCCTACATCAGCCATCAAACCAATAAATACCTTTGGCTTTTGCTCTGTGCACTGTCCATTTCCTGGGATTACTCTGTGGAGAAGTGTGAATAGGCCTACAGGTGGCCCTCATAAAATGCATTTAAAGCAGTTAAAAGCAGATTTTGAAATGAGGGTGCAGAAGACTTATCTGGAACCCAAACCATAAAAGACACTAGCCTATACAGTATATAAGTGTGTGTGTGTGTATATATATATATATATATAAGTGCTGTCATGCGATTAAAAAAATTGAGAGATTAATTAATTATGATCTGTAATTAATTAATCTAATTAATCTCTTTTTAATCTCACCTAAAAATTGCTGAGAAAAGCCTTCAATTTGAGGTATTTTCATTTAAATTCTTTATTACATTATTGTGGCAGATCAAAAGACTGATATAGAACAAAAAAAGTGACTTTATAAAGTCATTTATTGTTTAACAAACTTTAACAGATGCAGTCACTTACATTCCACAGTATCATCATTATTATTACTATTACTAATCTGCAGTGTTGGGAAGGTTACTTTTAAAATGTATTCCCCTACAGATTACAGATTACATATCCCAAAATGTAGTTTGTAACTTAATCCATTTAATTACTTAAAGTGAGTAATTTGAATACTTTGGATTACTTGATATTGTCATGCTTTTTAAAACTACATGAATGTAGCAACCACATCCTGCAAATGTTGTTCTTGTTTGTTCTCTTCAAATTGGTTGTTGAGCCCAAGTCTCCATGAATAAGAAACTGTTTGCTGTAAAGTAGCAAAGACGAGGAAATCTGAACATAATAACTTTTGTCTACTTAAAGACAATAAAAAGTCCAGTCTTTCCTTAACCATATTAAAAATATTATTGATAGAGAAATGCTTTATATATGAGATCACTGGTTTTAGTCCTGGTTTTAGTTCTGGTTTAGTCCTACTTTAGTCCTAGTTTAGTCCTGGAATGGGTTAGTCCTGATTTTAGACCTGGTTTTAGTTCTGGTTTTAGTTCTGGTTTAGTCCTGGTTTAGACCTGGTTTAGACCTGGTTTTAGTTCTGGTTTAGTCCTGGTTTAGTCCTGGTTTAGACGTGGTTTAGACCTGGTTTTAGTTCTGGTTTTAGTTCTGGTTTAGTCCTGGTTTAGACCTGGTTTAGACCTGGTTTTAGTTCTGGTTTAGTCCTGGTTTAGACCTGGTTTAGACCTGGTTTAGTCCTGGTTTAGTCCTCGACTAGGTTAGTCCCGGTTTTAGTCTTGGGGTTAGTTCTGGTTTAGAGGCGCACAGGAGGAAGCGCGGTTTACACAGCGTACGCGAGAAAACGTACGCGGCGCACGGGAGGACAGCAGTGTCCGCGCAGTAACGGAAACGTGGTCCGCGCGTTCTCAGGTTAATGACGATGATGAAGGTGTGTGTTTGTGTGTGTTTGTATTTGTGTGTGTTTGTGTGTGTTTGTGTTTGTGTGTGTGTGTTTGTGTGTGTGTCCCCTCATGTGGCAGGTCACTATAGGACAGTAGTGCAGACATGAGTCTATGCAGGTTGTTTTCACCAGTGACATTTAAGTTGTAGGCGATTTTATATTTGTTATTTTCTTTTATATTTCACGTCGGGAGAATAATTTCCAAGATACGAATGTGTTTTTACCTGTGCACTGCTGCCTCTGTTCTACTGGCTCTTCGACCTCCTCCATTGTGCGACTGACGCCGCCAACGTGATCATGACGTTTACATCGCTCTTACTGCGCGCGTTTTGTGTGGGTTTCCGGCAATGAGTGGAATTACCGAAATTTAAAAAAATTGTAAAAGTGTTTTTTGTGTGTGTGTTTTTATGTGTTGTTGGGACAACAACACATAAAAACAGATTTTATAATAAAGCAACTCACATACAGAAACAGTAAAGTTAGAGATTAAAAATTAGATTAACGTGATTAAAAAACATAACACGCTAAATATGACTGTAATTAATTAATCGCAATTAACGCGCTAATTTGACACCCCTAATATATATATATATATATATATATATATATATATATATATATATATATATATATATATATACACACACACACACGAGATAGTATCTCGTAATTACGAGATAATCCCCCTCCCCTCCCCCCTAAAGATTTTTTTTTTTTCACTGACTACAATGCTCTTTCGTAGTTTTTACCTTCACTGGCATTAAAAAAAAATGTCGTAAAAACAAAATAAACTATCTCGTAATTACGAGATAATCCCCCCTCCCCCCTCCAATTTTTTTTTTTTTTTCACTGACTACTATGCTCTTTCGTAAAAAACACACACATAAATGTAAAGTATTGAGGGGACTTGAAGGGATCTGTACCTGTATTGTACAGCTGTACAATTGTTAAAAGGCATTATAATGCCAGTTATCAGTGCTCAGACTTCACTAGGCTTATGTGTTCATGGAAGTTAATTAGTTAGTTGTTGATTAATTTCAGGGGCTTGCATGTTTCTGTGTGCATATGTATCAGCAGTTCAATATGACAGAGTTAGTTCAATGTAAATATGACAGAGGGCTATTTTTCATCTGTAGTCCCTAGACAGATGCTGAGTGTTATTCAGCCTGTTCCTACAGGGAGTGAAGAGATTCATATTTTCAAAACACAAAGCACACTCCGCGGCGATAGGGGGCGAAACCACGCGAAGAGGGCTGCTCCGTGTCCGGTTTAGAGGTGACTGCGGGCTCAATCAGACGCGGAAGCACAACTTTGTTGGTAAATTCGCTAATCCCGAACGATCCATGGGTATATTATAATAACGATTCTGCGGTGTAAACCTGTCCCTTTTCACTTCAGTTCTATCACATGTTGAGTGTGAGCGAGGCCTGCGGTGTGCTGCATCTCCAAATGCGCGTGTGAGCTACGGACGGCCGCGCTTCGTCCACAAAACCTCTCAGGACATGGAGCAGAACATGGAGCAGAAGTTTGTGACTGCGGTGGGGACATTGGTGGAAGCCGCCGTCCAGGCCACGATGCTGGCGTGCCGGCAGGCCTGGGGACGTGAGGGGCCGCTGCCGGACATGGAAGAGGCCCACGCGCAGAGCTTTCGGAGCATCCAGAGCTCTCTGGTGCTGGACATCCACGCCGTGTACACCGAGCTGCTGGGGGAGGTGGAGTCTCTGCGGGCCCGTGTGCAGCAGCTGGAGGGGGCGCTGCAGCGGAGGCCTAAAGCGGGACACCGGGGAGATGATGAGGGAAACCCGGAGACGATGCTCCAGAGCTTGGGTGAAAATGCCGAGAACGTGCTTCTACAGGACGGCTTTCTGCTGGGTGAGTGTAGTCTCAGTGTACCGCTCTTTAACACGACTCACTATAAAGGATCACTAAGGAACTTTTCTTGTGGAAGGTTCGCCTCCTGCTTTTCATAATGGGAATGTTGTTGCTTTTCCTGGTCTGGAAAGTTACTACTACCCCTCTCACAGCAAGAATGTGTGCTTTTTAAATGGGCAGTTTGGCAGTGAAGGCACTTGTGATTGGGAATGTAACGATATCCAAATCTCACGGTACGATATTTATTCCGATCCTTTGGTGAGGCTAATAGAATTGTAGATAGGTTACTTTTTGTTTTTACAATTCCTTCACAAGACTTGAGAATCATAATAACACAAATTAAAGTTTAAAAAAACAGCACAGAAATGAATCATGGTCAGTGTAGTTCCCTATGTTTACTAGCTCTTGCTACTATAAAACAATGCATTTAAGCAAAGCAACTTGTAAGTCAGTAGATTGCAACCGCCCCCAATATTGTTGTGAGACCCTTGACAATAAGATATCATGATATTTTGGTTGTTATATTGTTACATCACTGCCTGTGATTGAGTAAAGGCCAGACTCACTGTAACATTCCGTGAGAAGCAAAGCAATAACATCTTCATGGAGACAAGTGGACCCACCAGAAAAATTACATTGTGTTCCTTTAAAATGTTGCATGTTCATTCATTTAAACATGTGTCCCTGTCTTTCCAGAGGCTCCTGTGCTGTTCGTATCCACTGATCCAGAGCCGCTGGTTCTGGAGGCCCCCCACAGCCCAGACAGCCCAGTGAGTGCAGCACACTCTCAGCCACACGGGTCGGGTTTGAGTCAAAATGTGTTGCAGTGTAATGTAGTGTTGTCACAATACTGAAATTTCAAACTCTTTTTTGATACTAAGGAATAGACTCAATACTCAGTACAGATCCTATTACCATGAATTAAAAAACATTATTTATTTAGGCCATTGTTTCCCAAAGATAGGGTCACAGCCCTCAGGTGCATCGCAGATTTTTTTGGGGGTCGCCTTGTCATGATCTGCATGTAGGTCTGCAAAATAAAGGTTGTGTCACTGATCTGCTGCTGTGCTCTCCTTCTGCACCACGGAATCGAACATGTTACAAAAACGCAGACAGGCCCACCTATCTCATTAGATATGTTGAAATGCAAAAACATGTTTTGTATAATTTCAAATCTTTTTCTAATTGACTGATTGATTTTCTAATGACTGCTGGTTCAATTGAATGTTGAAAAGAAAAAGAAATGGGCTAAATTTAATACGCCACTTACTTGGTTTAAAATGTGAGTAATAGTAATTGTTCAGAGAGACACAATCACTCAGTAACATATCCTCATTAATGTTCAGTAATGGTCAAATAAACCATTATTTTGTGATTTGCAAATAATGTTTATTGACTTGGTTCGTGAAGATTTGTGACTTTTAAAATATGGGTCCCCAGAAAACAAATTTTGGGAAACACTGATTTAGACAATAATTTAATGTAATTCCAGCATAGTGCACACAGCAACACAATAGTACTTTAATACTTAATAGTATTTTCTATTTCCATGTGGTCTTATATGTGTATAATCCCTCAGTGGTCCATGTAGGTTCCATAGTGGTCCCTGGGTGTATACTAGTCTATGTGCTCTTGTACTGATACAGCTCAAGATCATTCTAAAGACATTCAGGAAAGGTTCGTTTCTGCCCTGTGAATGCGACTTTTTTAGTGTCAATACCTAGTCAAAAATCTGATTTGGAAAATGACCATGAGCACACAAACTCATAACTTGGGAGGAATTGGCTAAAGATAGGTACCAGTCAGAAGTCTGGACACACCCTGTCCTTCAGTGTTTTAATCTTCATGTTTACTACTTTCTACATTGTATGCGCACACAGAAGACATCAAATATATGATGTAAAAGTTAAATAACTCAGCTAAACCGTAGACTGTATAAAGAAGCGGACTAAGTAAGTGTGACATCACCCACAGCGTTCAGCTCCACTTAAATGAAGCTCTTGTTGCAGGAGGAGCAGTTACAAGAGCAAATTTGGAGCCAGGCTCTATAATAGGAATAAAAGTTTTTTGACAGACAAAATAGTAAAAAGCAAACAAACAAACAAACAAAGAAAAACACCAGGATCATGTAGAGCGGGTGAATACAAACATTTTAAGACCAAAATGATAAGGCTTATAGAGAGAGGGGTCACAATATTCCAATGTAAGTCAATGGGAGCCAGAGTCAGAAGGAGCTGGAAGAGCCACATGCGATCCTCCTATTTGGAATATGGCGACTAGCACGTTAGCTATGTCAATTTATATATTATATAGTATATGTCCATTTATATTTATATAAACTTTTGACTCATATGATCTGGTTTGTCTGTGCTGAAATATTAATAAATGTATTGTGTTGAATTGTATTGTTTTGTTTTATTTAATTTTTTGTTATTGTTTATTTTTTTATTTTTTTACAGAATGTACTTGATGGCTCAGCTGCTGAGAGATCAAAAAGGAAGAGAGGACCCAATTCAAAAAGATATAAATGTTAGTATGACTATTGTACAGTGAGGAAAATAAGTATTTGAAAACCCTGCTATTTTGTAAGTTCTCCCACTTAGAAATCATTGAGGGGTCTGAAATTTTCATCGTAGGTGCATGTCCACTGTGAGAGACATAATCTGAAAAAAAAAATCCAGAAATCACAATGTATGATTTTTTTAACTATTTATTTGTATGATACAGCTGCAAATAAGTATTTGAACACCTGAGAAAATAAATGTTAATATTTGTTACAGTAGCCTTTGTTTGAAATTACAGAGGTCAAACGTTTCCTGTAGTTTTTCCACCAGGTTTGCACACACTGCAGGAGCGATTTTGGCCCACTCCTCTACACAGATCTTCTCTAGATCAGTCAGGTTTCTGGGCTGTCGCTGAGAAACATGGAGTTTGTGCTCCCTCCAAAGATTTTCTATTGGGTTTAGGTCTGGAGACTGGCTAGGCCGTGCCAGACCCTTGATGTGCTTCTTACAGAGCCACTCCTTGGTTATCCTGGCTGTGTGCTTCAGGTCATTGTCATGTTGGAAGACCCAGCCTCGACCCATCTTCAATGCTCTAACTGAAGGAAGGAGGTCGTTCCCCAAAATCTCGCAATACATGGCCCCGGTCATCCTCTCCTTAATACAGTGCAGCCGCCCTGTCCCATGTGCAGAAAAACACCTCACCTTTCTTAGGATCATTGAGACCCCATGAGGTGAGATCTTGGGTGGAGCCCCAGTTTGAGGGAGATTGACAGTCATGTTTAGCTTCTTCCATTTTCTAATGATTGCTCCAACAGTGGACCTTTTTTCACCAAGCTGCTTGGCAATTTCCCCGTAGCCCTTTCCAGCCTTGTGGAGGTGTACAATTTTGTCTCTGGTGTCTTTGGACAGCTCTTTGGTCTTGGCCATGTTAGTAGTTGGAGTCTTACTGATTGTATGGGGTGGACAGTTGTCTTTATGCAGCTAACAACCTCAAACAGTTGCATCTGATTTAGGATAATAAATGGAGTGGAGGTGGGCTTTTTAAAGGTGGACTAACAGGTCTTTGAGGGTCAGAATTCTAGCTGATAGACAGGTGTTCAAATACTTATTTGCAGCTGTATCATACAAATAAATAATAAAAATATCATAAATTGTGATTTCTGGATTTTTCTTTTTAGATGATGTCTCTCACAGTGGACATGCACCTACGATGAAAATTTCAGATCCCTCCATTATTTCTAAGTGGGAGAACTTGCAAAATAGCAGGGTGTTCAAATACTTATTTTCCTCACTGTATATGGAAAGCATTGGTAAGAATCCCCTCCTTGAGTACAAACTGTGGTCTGTTTTAGGTGCTGGTGAGGAGGAGGAGGACACGGGCCCTGTGGAGGTGCTGGCCAGTCGAGTCTCAGGCAGAACCTTGAAGCCTTTGAAGCGATACTTCTGTGACTTTTGTAACATGGGCTTTCACTGGAAAGGAGACCTGAACAAGCATATGAAGGTGCACTTCAAAGCCTTTCCCTGTGAGCAGTGTGAGCGCACTTTTACTGACGAGGCAGCTCTGGAGAAACATGCCCAGAGTCATGAGGAGAAGGAGCCATTGCCCTTTCCCTGCCCACACTGTAAGAGGGCTTTCAGGAAGGAGCTATCCCTGCACAACCACATGGCCCGCCACCAGCAGAATCCCCCCAAAGCCTTCACCTGTGACCAGTGTGGGCGCAGTTTCAGGCTGGAGCAGTCCCTGGAGAACCATCGAGTGCGTCACCAGAAAGAGGCTCTGACCTTTCAGTGTTCACTCTGTGATAAGACGTGCAAGAGCTCTGTGCAGCTACGCTGCCACATGGTGGTCCACTCGGAGGACCGGCCCTACAGCTGTGCAACCTGCGGCAAAGAGTTCAAGAGTAAAGACACCCTCCGATTCCACCAGATGGTCCACACCAACACCAAGAAGTACAAGTGCTCTGAGTGTGAAGAGAGCTTCAAGTACGCCCACTCCCTGACAGTACATCGCAGAAAGCACACAGGCATTAGCCCATTCGTCTGCTCTGTTTGTAACCGCTCCTATCGCACTGGCACTGCCTTAAAGCGCCACAGTGTGGTGCACACTGGAGAAAAGCCTTTTACGTGCCACATCTGTGGAGCTCGCTTTAGCCTCAACAACAACCTGAAGAGACACATCCGTATCCACACAGGTGAAAAGCCCTTCAGCTGTCAGGATTGTGGCAAAAGTTTCTCTGACAACAACAAGCTCAAGTCGCACATGCTCATCCATGGCGCTAGCAAGCCCTTCATGTGCGACCTGTGTGGAAAGACCTTCCTGTTCAACTGCAGGCTGCGGGCGCACCAAAAGTTTGTACATGCTAACCGCGAGGAGTCAGATGGGCAGCAGGGTCCTGGGCTGCGCCGGAGAAACAGAGCTGTGGACAAGCCTTTCAGCTGTAAAATCTGCCTGCGAGGCTTCTCGGCCGCCTGGTCCCTCAAATTGCACGAGAAGGGCCACAGTGAGAACAAGGAGTTCACCTGTGAAGTGTGTGACAAGTCCTTCCACAACAAGTACTCGTTTAGCTACCACCAGCGCAGCCACACAGGCGACAAGCCCTTTGTGTGCGACGTGTGTGGAAACAGGTTCTTCCAGGCCAGCAGCCTGAAGCAGCATGAGCGCATCCACACAGGAGAGAAGCCCTACAAGTGTGACCAGTGCGGCAAAGCCTTCCGTACCGACGGCAACTTCTACAGACACATGCGCATCCACAGCGGAGATAAGCCCTTTCAGTGCATGTACTGCGAGAAGAAGTTCCACCAGTCCAACCAGCTGAAGGCCCACATGCAGCTGCACACAGGACAGAAGCTGTACTCCTGTCCCACCTGTGGACGAGGCTTTTCAGACTCCCGACAGCTCAAGAAACATAGCTGCCACGGCTCATGATGAAGGTCCTCTTCTATCAAACTTTATCATGACAAAACTGACTCTGCCTTGTCAACGGACAAGGTGGATGCTGCTTTTATGTGATCTCGGGAATACTAAAGATCCAAGTTCCGGAAAAGGGACTCAAGTTGGAATTTAAATGGGAAACTAATGTGGGAAAGTTGAAACAACTATCTCCTCACAGAAACTGTCCTGTAACCACAATAAGCGTTTCTACATATTTTTCCAATGAAACAACTAATAGATAACTAATAATCATTGTATTAACGTATGTTACTACTGGCTGTTAAACAGGTCTTTTCAGAGCTGTGATAGATCTGATATTTTTAGGTCTGATAAATAAAGTTGTATCAGCGGTTCTGAGATCACATGAATGCAGCATAATTTCACACAGTGTAAACATGCTCAGGAGTGGCTTCTGGAAATATGAAGTACAACCCCCGGAAATGTCAGCTGTAACAAAATTTTATTTGAGTTTTATTTGAGCAATATAATGAGCCACAGCTTTTTTGGGGTTTTAACTTTTCTCTGCACTGACCCAGCACAGCTTTGGTAATGAGGGCCACTGTGTTTAAGTCATAGACTGTAGTCTATGGTTCAGTTCTGTGCCTTATGTTTCTAATAAAGTCACGTTGCTGTACTGTTCTGCACCACTTTTAATAATGAGTAGGGTATGGATTCCATAAATATAGAAAAAGTTTAACCTGGATTATTTGAAAGCCTAGACTGGTATACAATAATACAATGTTTATTACAAAATGTTTAAATCCTAATTAGATTTTTTTCTTTATGATCAGTTTCCAGCTCAAGGAAACATCTCTTGACAGTTTAGTGTTTGCTGTTTTCTTACTTACAGGAGATATATTATTTATTTCATTTTTTTGGTGTCCCGTTATTATAGACTGTGCTCGTTACGCCTTTGATTCGAATGCAGGGAGATGCCACCTTGAGGCCAGCCCCGCCCCCCGCTCACGCACACGCACACGCAGGTGTCTGACGCCAGGCAAACTCCTTCTCACACACTGAAAACACATTATACTGGTAGTTTTGATGCCTTTGGACAAGTGCGGAGGTGATATGGATGCCGCGGCTTACAGTGCCACTAGGGCCGTCATAGACACTGCCATAAACACGGCTCTTCAGCTGTTCTGTCCACCTGGAAAGCCTCTAACAAAGGTGAGTCTCACTGTTCATTTCACAACCTCAACACTCGTTAAAGCTGTTCTTATAGATCCATGCATTGACCCATAGGCACCGGGCTGTATCAAAGACTGTTCAGGGAGGAGATCACAGGCAGCAGCGGCTAACAAAGATGGCGGATTAGCTGCTGGGCTACTCCAGTTTTTCATAAGCTTTAGCTGAAAAGTACCGTGGTTTTCCTCTGTATCCTGACCACCCTGAGCCAGACAACACAAGTCGCTATAAGTTAATTCAATTGCAAAACTTCTTTGCAAAGTTTTCGGTTATTTTTGTCCAGACGTGTCCTGTTAGAGATTCCTGGACTATTTTAACCAACTTCTTTATTTACGTTATTGAGTGAATATGAGTTATTAATAAAGTCAATGTGTTTGTCCAGTTTAGCAGTTAATTTGGACCTCGGTATGGGGTGGAGTTTTATTTAGTTCCTTAACTTTATTTATCAGAGACAATTCATATAAAAGTGACCTGCACACAAAGGCCATATTATGTTTGTGCAGGTTAGAGCGAAACTGGTCATTTCTACCTGCAGTCTCTGGACAAGCTGATGTCATAAATGGGGCACATGCCAATAATAAAATACTATGTATATTAATGCAGTGATAATCAATCAATAATCAAACTATAACCCCGTTCAGTCACCACATCCATGCACTATGAACATATTTGCAGCTCATGTTGCTGCATTCTTACAAGTCAGGTTCATGTGTACAAGATTGTTTGTTTAAAAGTCATTGTTTGGTCAGGCATGTGAACATTTTATCATTTATACATGACATGATTTCATGTGGGAGGCTTTCCCGGAGGCTTATGGCTTTGGAGCAGACCAAAAGAGGCTCTGCATCTTAGAACCCTGCGCTTATATAATAAATAAATAAATAATAATAAATAAAACATAGTACATGGTCACTGTTTACTTGTGTTATTGTGTCTTGCACTATGACCGAAACCTCAAAAGCGAGAATGTTCAAGATACAATAAAAAATTTAAGAAGCTTCATAAAATACATATGTTTGGTACCATATGAAAGGTCTTTCAGGAAAAAAATTATTCCACCTTTTTTTTTACAACCCACATGCAATAAATTACATGTGAAAATCGGACCATGTTGCGTTTCCTTGTTTTTAACAGGACCCTCACACATAACCTATTTCAAATTTTCATAATTTGGCAATTTTTTTTAACAGTTCTAGTACATATCTTGATTCTCAAAAAAATTCAAGGGTCTCCGACACCTACAACTAGGTTTAAAAAGGGGCTAAAAATGGTACGCCACGGAAATGAACAAGTTTTTTTTTTATTTTTAAGTTCATATAAAATGACAATGAGTTGAGATACTAAACTTTTGATAGATGTTATTTGAACACAGAGTAGAGAACTACAAGCCTACAAAATGTCAGCCCTCTGTGTGTGATACTTATGGAGATATCGACCTGTGAAAACGGCTGAGAAAAAATTATGTGATTTTGGGCCCGTAAATGGACACATACCCTCCTCATAAAATGAGCTGTAACTTATAAAGTAATGACTAAAATTTCACAGGGTTGGTACATGATAGTCAAGGACTATTTGGTAATTTTTTCAAAATTGTTTGAGATTGAAGTGCGTGGGCCATTTGTTGAAATGGCGTGGAATGACCCTTATATTATTTATAACCTAAGCATCTTCAGGTTTAAAACAACACACAACCATGACTAGCCTAAATCTAGGAAATCATTATCTTTCATATAATGAAAACAAGTGCTTGTATTTGTAAATAAAACTATATTACACATCAGCATTTATCATTCAAATCAATTCATGATTTTAATACAGGCCTATGGTTCAAGATTGGGCATGGTCATGCCCTAAGTGTACTTAAACACTGTTGTTTTCTCACAGCCAGTGTCACAGGGAGCAGTGGTGATAATGGTGGCTCAAGAGGCCACCAGAAAAATCCACAGTATCTTTGTGCAGCTGCTGAGGCGTGAGACCCAGGCCCTGCAGAACAGACTGAGCCTAGAGGAGACCCACAGGGGGAGCCAGAGAAGCAAACTGAGGCTAGATGAGAGCCACAGGAGGAGCATCCCAGAGGAGGGTCAGAGCACCTTGCAGGAGAGGGTCTGTGTAAGGAGCACTACTGAGCAAGCACCAGAGAAGACTTCTTCTGAGAAGCAAAGCCCACAAAATCCTGGTAATCATGAACAGTTTTCCTAATATTAATATTAATTTAAACATCAGATAAAGAGTAAACCACTATGTGATGACTGGATTGAAGACAAAAAAGAGGGTCTAGAGTCCAATAGCTAAAATGTTTAATTTTTGATTTTTATTTTTTTTTTATCAGAATTTTGTATGAAATGCATTAAATCTCTCATTTTCCACACGAAAGGTGAAGCGGCCTCCACCCAGCCATTATCTAGGTCCACCAGTCTAGATCCATCAGACCATACTCCTGTCTGGAACTAGAAACTCACAGTGGAATCTGTTACAGTGTAAAGAACTGATCTCTACACATTTTCTCTCTACAGACTCCACTGTCCAAGTTCAGAACAAGAAGTCTGCACAAACTGCAGGGGGCAGTGCTGAGCCGCAGTCTGCGCTGGTCTGTGAGCACTGCACAGGCATATTCACTCAACACAGCCACTTAGAGCTCCACCTGCAGGAACACTGTGACAACAAACCCAACCCCTTCAAGTGCAGCATCTGTGACAAGACGTTCAAGAACAAAGTGTATCTGAAGACCCACCAACAGCTACACAGTGACTCTAGACCTTTTTCCTGCTCCACCTGTGGGAAGGCCTTCAAGACCAAGTCGTACCTGAGTGCCCATGTGGCTGTGCACTCCGGACACAAGCCTCACCCGTGCTCTGAGTGCGGGAAGAGCTTTAGAAGCGCCTTCGCCCTCAAGAGCCACGAGAGCAGCCATTCAAGAGAGCAGCCCTACATGTGTTCCCAGTGTGACAAGAGCTTCAAGCTGAAGCGCTCTCTCCAGCTGCACCAGTCTGTACACAATGGCCGGAGCTTCAGCTGTGAGCTGTGTGGAGCCCGCTTCACCTTTCAGCAGAACCTCAAGCGCCACATGCGCATTCACAGCGGCGAGCGGCCCTTCAAGTGTCCCATCTGCAGCAAGAGCTTTGTCCAGAACAAGCTCAAGGCCCACATGCTCATTCACGGGGCTCCCAAGACCTTTATGTGTGACCTGTGCGGGCGCACCTTTCTCTACAACTTCCAGCTCCAGCGACATCAGAAGCAAGTCCATGAGAAGGAGCACCAGGGGGGAGTGAGAGGCAGGGGGCAGATTGGAGGTCAGAGCAGAGCGGGGCAGCGGCGGGTCATCCTGCGCCTGGACAAGACCACCCTGGACGTGACTCCCTTCAGCTGTGATACCTGTCACCGGAGCTTTGAGGATGCCAGCGCCCTGCACAAGCACCAGCTCATCCACTCTGACATGAAGCAGTACAAGTGCCATCTGTGTCCAAAGACCTTCTTCTACAAAGCCACATACAACTACCACCTGCGGCTGCACTCTGGTGAGCGACCCTTTCAGTGTGACATGTGTGAGAAGGCCTTCATCAACCAGCAGGCTCTGAAGAGCCACCGCCTGCAGCATACGGGGGAGAAACCTCACCAGTGCCAGCACTGTGGGAAGGCCTTCAGAGTCCAGGCCAACTACCGCAAGCACTTGCTCATACACTCAGGACACAAGCCATACGAGTGTGAGGTGTGTGGGGCACGCTTCAGACAGCTCACACATGTACAGTTCCACATGCAGGTGCACACAGGCCAGAGACCCTACTCCTGCTCCAGCTGTGGCCTAGGATTCTCTGACTCCCGCCTGCTCAAGAAGCACAGCTGTGGGATGCAGCAGCCCGGACTGTGGGCCCACCTGCCTCACTGAGCTCCCCTTACATGGAACATTCATCTAATCAACTGCTCCTCTAATTAGCAGCAAAAATATCTCCAACAACAAAAGGGTTGGGTTACAGTTCACACTGTCAACATAATTTATTTCAGCAATAAATCATTTTTAGATCAGAGGATATGGTTTTCTCCTATTTATGAGTGTTTTGTGGTTTTTACCCTGTAGAGGGCAGTATAGTGAAACATTTCCTGAATCATATTGATCAGCGCTGATAGAAGCCGCGGCTGCATCTCATTTCTCTTTCCCCAATTCTTTCTCTTTCATGATTCCTCACCTCGATTCTCCTTTTTTCAGCTGTCAATCAAATGTGTCATATTAATCGGTGTCCCAAAGAAAACCACAGAAGGAAGGAGTAACCATGAGGGAGGCTTCAGTAGGCAGCCATCAAAGAAAAGAATCAAACTTTATTAGTCTCAGTGAGGAGTTATATATCTCACACAGCGAATATCTCTTCGCTGTGTCTCCCCTGTGGGTGGCACTTCCTCACCCATTTCCTACAGGATCGAGGAGAGCGGTGCATCCAAAAATTGTTAAATGAACTTATTCCTGACATGCGTTATCATCCATCATGACAAGGACCATCCGAATTGATCAATGAGGTCAGGAAGGAGTAAGGAAAGAAGCAATTATGCTTCCTTTAGCATAGGAAGCTCGGGAGGTTCCTAACCAGCATTAAGGAGCTATGAGGAAACCCACAATCCACTGCGCAGATCAAACCAAACGTTTCCAAATACTCATTTACAAGCTATATACACAGATGCAAAATATTAATACAAATTTTCTGCATAAATAACATAAATTTACAATAATTTCTATAGAGCCACACCAGCTTGTTTGAGATTACAATGTGTTTAATGCAGTTTTGCACGCATTTGTTTATGATTTTACAGAAACAAAACTTTAAACCATGTGGCTCATTTACATAAACTGTAAGTGTTGAAAAAACATCTCGTTCCATGTGCACTGATGTGGTTCAGCTTCTGTAGGACTAAAGGACATGACTCAGTGGAATACACTGCTCACTGCTGTTTGGATCCATCAGATGCCGCCAGATTGCTTCTCAGATTCTCCAGGAGCTCAGTGATACCCTTACACAGATCTGGGAGGACATCCCACAAGACTCCATCTGTCACATTAGGAGCGGTCATGACATTGTCAAACATGCAGACAAGCACATGAGGGCCACATAAGATATTGAGAAGCATTTTGAGTTGCAGAAATAAATTTTGGCCAAACCTGACCTGACCTGCCACATCATTATTTCACTTTGATTTTCAGGAAGTGTATAAAGTTAAGCCCTTGGTAGACTGAACATTTCATTCCCTTTAAATGAGGTTACATCCTTTTTTTCTTCCCAAGACAGTCCCCTGTCCATATTTGTATAGATATCTAACATGTTTTTCCCATACAGATCTGATGTGTTTTCAAGGTGTTCCTGGCCTTAAGCTATGTTGGTGGAGTGTTACTTACAGGGCAGGCAGTCATCTACTAGATCTATGGATTTATAGTTGACCTCATGATATAGCTCTCAGAGGTCAGCAAAAAGGAGAAGGAAGGACAAGGGTCTCAATTCTTCCTTCTCAATTCTCAATATTTTATCTATGTCTGCCTTCTGAAGCCTCCTTCATTCCGTGGTTTTCTTTGGGACACCACTTAATATTTGATTGACATCTGAAAAATGGAGAGGAATCAAGGAGAAGGAAGTAAGGAAAGAGAATTGAGCGGCCAAGGAAGGAGGTATGTTTGCCCATTTTTGGATGGAGGCTAGGCGCCCTCCGCTTGGATTCGTACTGGATGGTTTAGGCCTGTTCTACCTTCTTTAGATTAGCCTTAGTTTCCAATAAGCCTAAGAGCTGACACGTGGTGATTTGATGCGATGATTTTTGAGACAAAATAGAAATGTTCAAAAGCTAAATGGAAGGGCAGTGTGCCTATCATAGCCTGTCTGGTGCAAATTTCAATCCACTCTCGTACGATAGGGGGCGGTAATGAGCAGTTGGTCGGTTGCCGCCCGTCCGAAAACCAGAGGCAGAGAATGGTAAAACAGAAGAAGAGCAAGGAGCAAAACAAACCGAAAGGAAGCTAGCACACCAACAGATCCCCCGTGTCTAAAGCATTAACGGCTCCAACGCGTCAGCGCCAGCTCAGAGCCGTGCCCACGCAGTGTCCGAGCAGTGTCCGAGAGGCGAATGCACTCCGGTGAGCGACCGGAGCGAGCTACACACCATGGTGGAGGTAGAGGCACAAGTGGCGGCCATCCTGGAGATGATGGTGAGCGCAGCGGTGTCAGAAGTGACCAAAGTGGTGGATGGCAGCGCGTTTGTGCCGGAGGACTGTGTGAGCACGGCCGCACCCGTGGACCAGAAGGTGAGGGTTCTAAACTGACCTTCAGCACACTTCTCTTGTTTTGGGAAGTCTCATGTTTGGATTTGCTTGCGGCCCAGGTTTTCCACCTCAGCCTCTGCTTGACCGCTCTGGCGCAGGACGCAGTGGAAAAGCTCTGCCTCCTGTTCCACGAGTGCTCCTCCGTGCTCCAGTCCAAGGTAGGCCTAACGTTTGCCTTTACAGAGATGTGAGGGTCAGGTCTATGTTCCCTCGTACCCCCTTTCTGGGAGTAGCGCGGAGTAGAGTATGCGCTCCTCCACGTTGAGAGGAGCAGCTGAGGTAGCTCGGGCATATGTTCTGGATGCCTCCTGTACGGCTCCCTGTGGAGGGGTTCCGGGGATATTCCCCAGGGCCCGCTGGAGGGACTGTGATCTCATCTCAATTCTCTTTCCTTGCTTCCTTTTCCTTGATTCCTCCCCTCAATCCCACAGGAAATGACTGAAGAAGTCCTGGCCACAGAGGAGACACATTGAGGAGAGTGGAGCAAAGGAAAGAAGCAGGGGGAGACATGAGCTGAGGGTGAATGGGACACACTTTCCGCAGGCGCTGGTTCTGTTCAAAATGGCCCTGCAGTGAGAACTTTACTAAGGATTACTTCAGGACTTTTAAATCAAATTCAAACTAACATATTTATTTTTTCAGATAAATGTAGTATAACATATTTTATGTGACATGTCAAAAATTATTTTCTGTTGTCCCTGTAGTTGTATAGCTGCAACAATGCAGACTACACTGTGAGATAAATGCACTTTGAGTATTTGATCTGATGTCTGCCTCCTAAACCCTCCCTCATGTTTCCTTTGTGGTTTTTTTCCCTCGTTTCCTCTGAGATTTGGTACACTGCTTAATCTGGAGCATTTGACTGACAGCTGAAAAAGGAGAGGAGAAGGAGACGAGGAAAGAGAATTGACACGGCCTTTATCTCAGTTGGCTTGGAATGCCTCTGGATCACCGCGGTAGAGCTGGAGGAAGTGTGTGGGGTGAAGGAACTTGGGTAGTTCCTGCTGTCCACACATCCCGGCCTTGGTTATATAAGTGGAAGAAAAGTGATATTAATTTATTTATTCAGAGAAAATAGATGACGATTTTTGGACCATAAAAATACCTTTAAGGCAGTTGAATCCCTATTCAGTCAACAGCATGTCTGATCTCTCTAGTTTTAATACCCTATTCTTATAGAACTGTCAGTGTGTGTGCTGTGGTGCGGGTGACTGAGGTGAGTGTTTGTGGTGCGGGTGACTGAGGTGAGTGTTTGTGGTGCGGGTGACTGAGGTGAGTGTTTGTGGTGCGGGTGACTGAGGTGAGTGTTTGTGGTGCGGGTGACTGAGGTGAGCGTTCATGTTGTGGTGCAGGTGACTGAGGTGGAGGAGCTGAGGCTGAGGCTGGAGGCAGCAGAGAGACACGTCACAGCCCAGGGAGCCCCGCAGCGCAGAGGTACAAGCCACCACCCAAACGCAGCAGATGTGTCATGCGTAGATTTCATTCCATCACTGTTACCTAGCAACTGTAATGTTAACAAGTGCTTAAACCTGTTCAAATGACACACTAATTATGATGAAGTTGCAGTGTTGATGGCTATGGGCAACAACAATGACAAAGTGTGTGTTTTTTTTTTTCCTTTTTATTGCCTAATTTCTGTGTATGGAACTATGTTTTTCACCTCACAAGAAGTATTTCCTCAAAGCACAAACTCAGAAACATGTGATTTAAGGAGAAAAAGGTTCATTTCAACAGAGTCTGATCCTAAGTCTGTGTCAGTGAGAAATGTGTGTGTGCAATGTCCCTGTGGTTTAACTCTTCACTGTTTTATTCCTGGTGTTACCTTGATTTTCTTGTTTTAAATGCCAGGTGAACTTATTTAGCATACTTGTAGACTTTTATATGTGTTATTAAATGGTTACAGCTCTCACATTTTAGGTGTAGTGTTTTGAGCTCATGAAATGTCATTACTCACATTGACACTAATAAAGTTCCAATGGTTGTGATGTCATCTACATGAGCTCGGCTGCAGTAAATAGGCATATGCTACTTAATATTTGCAGATTTTACTTCTAATCCAGAGTCTGTATCCTGTCTTCCACAGTGGTGATGATCTGTGACACGGCCTTAAAGCGCATGCCTTTTTTCAAGAGGTGGAAGTCCAAGAAGGTAAGCCCCCCATTCCCTTAGAGCAGCAGATGGACAGCTATCTCTGCCCAGGCTGAGGCCCATTAAGATAATTTTCCCAAAATTTATTACTTTTAAAGATGCCATATTATGCAAAATTGACTCTTTTAGAATGTTGTTACCTCCTCAAAAACATATCTTGAGTATGGTGTGGTGTTTTGTTTCATTCACACATGTTTGAGTAAGCCTGCATTATTAATCTGTCCACATCTCCAGTGCTCAAAATACTGTTTAAATTGTGTTTATTAAGAATATTTTTATTATATCCAATGCATTTGTATATATCTTTATTATATCCAATGCATTATTGTTGTTCTTCAAATATAAATTCATATATAACCCATTATTAGTTCACGATTACTTTTAGTTTGACCTTATTTACCCTATACCCTTAATTTCTTTTATTATAATTTTTATTTCTATTCTTAAAGTGCATTGTTTAAAGTGATCACTGCCTGTGGCAATTCTGCTGTGGCATCACACAGACCAAGAGTTTTCAGATTCTCTGAGCCTCGCAGGTACAAGAGAATTAAAAGCTGAGCTATGGTCCAGAAAAAGCATTCTGGCGTGGGATGTGCCCTTGTTCAGATGCTCATATATGGAGTTCAGAGCAAGAGCAGTCAGACTTTATCTTATATTGATGCACCACTTTATTTCTTATAGATTCATGATCTATAAAATATTTTATAGTTCGATTCAAACGCTGACAATGGGCTTTGATTTTGGCACAAAGTGATACTCTTCACAATGTACTTAAAGGCTATTCTGGACTGGGCAAAGTCCCAGTACCCGAAGCTCCACTGCAGTAACAGTGTGAGGTTTACTGTCACAAAAGTTTCATTTACAGAGGAGCTGGGTTATTCTGTGTCTGTCACAGGAGAGGGTCCAAAGGGTCACAGCAGAGGATGAGGAAGTGGAGGCTGCTCCTTCAGATGTGCCGTCAGGGAGTGAGGAGGGCCCTGTCCAGGAGGGTCCGACACAGGAGGACCCTAGTGAGCACCCTATCAATGAGGAGGAGCCTACAGAAGAGGGGCCTACTGAGGAGGAGGGTCCTATTGCAGAGGACAGTCACAACCATGGCAACCATGAGCAGGTCTACACTGCACACAGCCATTGTGACAGACTGTAGTATTGATGTTTGTTATATAGTAAAAGTACTGCTTTGAAATAAAAGAATAAATACACTTTTTTGGTCTCAGCCACATGAAGGAATGTGAACTTCTTTGTGTTTCAGGGTGAAGAGACCCTGGGGCTCTTTAATGCTGACACAGACTACATAACCAGACTGGTGAAGATTGCAGTCAGGGGGGGTCCTATGAAGGCTTCCAAGAGATGTAGAACAGCAAGGCCCAGTGGCCCTGGCCCCTCCGAGGCCCTCAGCTGCTCTGTGTGTGAAAAGGTCTTCACCAGACAGAAAGCTTTAGATGGGCACATGTTGCAGCACACTGGTGAGAAGTCTTTCTGTTCTCAGGCCTGTGAAAGCCTCTAGGGATGTACCCATCCGACACTGATATTGGATATCGGCACCAATACTGAAGAATTAGCTTCCAAAATTGGTTTATATCTTGGTTTGATTTATAAATTTATTTAATAATTTGTTGTTCTGTAGTCACTTGAGAGATAACCGCTACATAACATAAAAACAGATAACAACTGCATAACAAGTTTGGATCAGTTTTGTCTTTTTGTTTTCAGTCTCTGCTCTGGTATCAGTTGATATCGGGTATTGGCAGATATTTAAAGCCATAGTTTCAAAATTGGTATTGGAACAGAAAAAGCTGGATCAGTGCATCCCTAAGCTCTACACTGTCACTATTCATTTTCAATGTATTTTACAGAGCTCAAAATGACTACAGCTGTCGCCTCGCAGGGCATATCAAAAGAATTGATTTAACAAACACAAAGTCTGAAAATCAAACAGTGAACATCTAACAGTGAAATAGACAAGTACATGGAAAAGTGTCGCAGAGAGCCCTCTGTCCTTAGACCCTCCTGCTGGAACAACTCCCAACAAAACCCAGTGTGAAAAAGAGAAACCTCGAGGAGAACCAAAGTGAAGGAGAGATCCTTTCCTGTTTCACTGATTACATTACGCCAAACTCCAGCGCCAAAATGACCTAATGTAATCAACGAAATAAATAAATTAAAAATATTAAGGCAAAAAGTAAAATATTAACGGCACACAACAGCACAAGCAAAATGGAAAGAATGTAATGTTTTGCGAATTTTTTGCATGTTTAAACATTTTTGGGGGTGATGTCATCGGCCGAAAATAGCTAATAGCTAATAGCTAAGATCCATAAAAACACAAACAAACTTTTTGTAGCACTAAACAACACAAACAAAGCACAAATTACTGACACAATTTTGGACCATTTTAGAGCAGTTTGATGCTTCCTAGGGGGCTGGCTGACCCTAATTTGACCTATAAAATAATCGTTAAAGAGTCACAAATGAAACTTTTTGCAGCACAAAAACAGCACAAACAAAGCACAAATGACTGACATAGTAGGTTTGCGTTTGATGGGGGGCCAACCTCACTCAGGTTTCCCTCCACACTCTGTGGTGTTAGAGCAGCCTTAAGTCTCTGGTCCATTTCTGTAGAGGGTTTGGATAACCACATGCATAAGAAGGGCAGGCTTCAAAATGGACATGGTCCCACTGACAATATCAGTCAAAAGTGTGGACACACCTTGTGTCTTTATTTGACTGTGACTGGACTATGACTTTGTAATGTAGTAAATAAAATTCAAAATAATTCCAGACTGCTTTAAGATTTTAGATTTTTTAAACCCTGACAAGGCACAGCTGTGAAGTGAAAACCATTTTATTTTACATCATGAAGCTCATTTAAAGAAAACCAAGGGTTTGCACAGCAAATGGTGGATACTTTGAGGATTTAAATATAAAAAATGAAAAATATTTCACTTTCTTTTCTTAGCTACATAATTCCATATATCTTGCTTCATGTCTTCTGTATGTATATAAAATGTAGAAAATTGTAAACATGAAAAAAAGAAAATGATGAATGAGAAGGTGTTTCCAAACTTTTGAATGGTAGTGTGATCTTCTTAAATTTAAAGTTACTGTGACTGCCACTGTAAAGTTGTGTGTGCATGTGTGCCCATGTGTGTTGTCAGGGGAGCGGCTGCACCTCTGTGATGTCTGTGGGAAGAGCTTTACACAGAAGCAGAGCCTGACCACGCACCAGAGGATCCACAGCACCCTGAGACCCTTTAGCTGCCCCACCTGCGCCAAAACCTTCCACCGCAAATACCAAATGAGGCGTCACATGGTCCTGCACACAGGCCAGCGCAACTACAAGTGTCAGTACTGTGACAAGGCCTTCACCAATAACAACAACCGCAACCGTCACGAGCTGATTCACACCGGAGAGAAGCCCTATAAGTGCGACGTGTGCGGCCGCTGCTTCAACCAGGTACCGCAGGCCCAAGGCTATGTGTGCACGGCTACGTTTTATTCGACCATTTTAGATGGAGAGAAGTTATTCACTTAAGTTATTTGGTTTAAGATGACATCACAACATTCTATAGGACAATAAGATTTAATACAGATGGGGGGGCAGCTAAAATGAATATGGTTATGTAGATTTTGGTTGCAATTAAGTGAGTTCTTGGATCTAGTAACTAAGAGAAATTATCAGGTTCAGCATTAGCCATGAAATATCATTCACAAAGTACAACATTATCAATAGGGAACACTGTCTCTTGTTCCCATCTGGGACTATGTCATCATCACATTCTAGAATTTGGAAACCACCAATACAATTATGCTGATCAATAATAGGACAGACAGACAGACAGTCCTACAAAGAAAATGTGTTGTCAAATCATAACTATTGTGAAATTTAGACAGTTTTAGATCTTGTTAATGTTGTGGTTGCTTGTTAACATACATCTACATATGTCATATCTTCTGCCCGTGTCCAATCAGGAAGCAAAATTAATAACTTAACTTAGGTCGCAAATCTAGAAAAAAATGGACAAGATCTGTAAATCTTAAATCTAATGACTATGTTGTAGAGCACGATAGGTTAAACTACTAATTTCTGCCCTGCCAATGTGTCCCACAGATTTAGACTTATCTTTTTTGTTCATAGTCAGTTGTTGAAAAATTAAGAAATATTCTCCTCCAACAGTCTAGTTCTCTGAAGGACCACCAGCATCGTCACTCTGGAGGCAAACATTTTAAGTGCTATTGCGGCAAGGCCTATTCCCAGAAGAGCTCCCTTCGCATGCACACCAAGACCCACATGAAGATCTCTCAAACCTGGGATGGCACCATCTCCTGTGTGGCCTGTGGTACTACTACAGAGAGCAGAGAGAGTCTGCAGGACCACCTGGGCACGCACCGCTTCCCCTGCTCCTGTGTGCTCTGTCAGCAGCCTCTGGACTCCCTGTGTGAGCTGCACATGCACCAGCACAAGCACAGACGGCTACAGCCCAACCATTGCCACATCTGCAACAAGACCTTCCAGTCGTACACCTACCTCCAGGTCCACATCCGAGGACACCGGGGAGAGAAGCCCTTCGCTTGCCTCACCTGTGGACGTAGATTTTTACAGAAGGCTGCCCTCCAGACCCACCAGGTACTCACCTCTTTTTGTCTAGGTCTTTAAGAGCATTTCACATAGGGCTGTGCCAAAAATCAAAATATCAATAGATCGGGATTTAAACTTAGGTTGATCTTGATGATAAGACAAGCACATTTGAATCGACAGCTGGTCTACAGCCATCGTGTGACAGTAAGGGCACGTGATGCTGAAGGAGTCATCACTCTGTTGTTTAGGATAAAACTGACTTATGAGTTCTCACATTTCATAAGTTTTGACCATAGACTGTGTAAAAGAAGTGGAATAAGCGAGTCTGACGTCACCGATATTGTCCAGTGCCGCTCAAATGAGGCTCACAATGCTAACGATTACAGGACTGAATCTGGAGCCAGGCTATGTTATGAATAGGACTTTTTTGACAGACAAAATAGCAAAAAAAGAATTCAGGATCATGTAGAGCGGGTTAATACGAACATTTTAAGACCAAAAGGATGAGGCTCACTGCAGCAGGTACAGAGAGGGGCGACGAGATCCCAATGTAAGTCAGTTGGAGCCAGGGTCAGAAGGAGCTGGAAGAGCCTCCTGAGGAACTTCCTATTTGGCACGCGGCTAGCGCGTTAGCTATGTCCACTCATATAGAACATCTATGCTTTTGACTTAAATCTGCACAATTTTAAAAGTTCAGTGTCTCGTTCCCTCTGCCTGTATGTGTGCGGTGCCATCTGCCCAACTCCCCCTCCCTGCTTCTCTCTGATCCAGCTGCAGCTCCTCACTTTTTCTCCTCTTTCTCTCCTCTTGTGTTTCTTATCTAAATATCTAGGAATTATTCTGGAACCAGATTTATGTTTTAAAAAGCACATTAAAAAGTTAACAAACACTATAAAATTTTACATGGCCAATTTCAGGTACTCCCTAATTATTGAAGTCTCAGGTGCCTGTCTAAATGTGAAATGTTACTTCATTTCATTCATTTATTTATTTGTTTGAGCCAGGTACAACAAAAATCAAAAACAATAACAAAAAGTAGTGATATGTACATGAACATATTTGGGATCTGGTGCTCAAAAGGAGTAGCATGAAGTTTAAAAAACTTTTAGAGTCCTACCCTGTTTCCAAATGTGAAACAGAACATTTTAAGTTTTGAAAACCTGATAAATCTATGCAATGTTTGTCTGCTGTTTAAGATCATTTATGATACTGCTGCTCCTCCGCTAAAGCAGTTTATTTATTTATTTATTTATTTATTTGAGACAGGGACAGTGCACAATTTTCACATTAACCTTGACAGGAGAGATGCATTGTACATCAGGTTGTAGCATCAGTGCTAATTTCCACCTGTAGTCCCTGGACAGGTTCATTGATTGATTGTATTTAACTGACCTTGACTATCAACTGTTCTGGAGACCTGTAGCATGTTTTGGGTTGATGGGGGAAACCGGAGCACCCGGAGGAAACCCATCCAGACACAGGGACAAACATGCAAACTCCACACAGAAAGGCCCTTGGCGACCTGGGGATCGAACCCAGAACCTTCTTGCTGTGAGGCATGAGTGCTAGCCACTCAGCCACCAGTTTGTTTCCCTGAGCTCTGAAACAATCTCCCGAGTCACTCGATCCACGGTGCGCGGCGAGTGCAGAATCAGTACAAAATAATGTATATTGTGCACTGTCCCTGTCTCATTAATTAATTAAACTAAACCTGACTCACCTCAGGCACCTCTTCCAGGGTTCCCAGGCCAGCCAGTGTGTCCTGGGTTTTCCCTGGGTCCTCCTCCCGGTGGGACATACCTAGAACACCTCCTAAGGTATTGTAAGGGTATTGTAAGTAAGGAAGTCTGTGTTCTGGATCCCAGGCAAACTATTGACCGTAACTGATTAGGAACGATAGACATCACTTTGGCATTTTAGTCACAGAAAAAAGTAAGTGTTATGTCACTACAAAGCATTTAACATATTGTGTGTGGGGGGGTGGGTTTGTGTGTGTTTGTGTGCAGGTTGTTCACACTGGAGAGAAGCCCTTTTCCTGTCAGACGTGTGGTCACAAGTTTTCATATAAGGTCTCCCTGAAAGCCCATCAGGTATTGGTTTGTTTGGTGTATTTATATTTGGTGAGGACAGTGCATGTTTTCATGATCTCAAAATCTATCAAACACGTTAGAAAAAAATTATAATAACAAAACAGAACAAAACATAACCAAAGCAAGGTACAGTAGACAGAAAGAGAGAGATTTAAAATCTTATATTACACAAAATTGACTCTTGTGAGCTTGAGACATGTTATAATTGGAGCCCAACCGATATATCGGTTGGCCGATATTAGTGGCCGATATGGGCCCCTGATATGGGCCAATATTTCATATGGTCATGTTATATGTCGTTATAAAGCCTAGACTCTCTACATTATGTTAATTTAATCCAATTTGCATTACATTACATTTACATCAGTATTTATCTACGGAGTCATTTGTGTGTGTGTCAGTACTGTCCCTGAACACCCCCCCAGAGCCATGTCACTCGTGCACTTACACCCGCAGACATAGCTCCAAAATCAGAGATTTTTTTTTTTTTACGGACAATCGGTTTGAGTCTGGATTACAAGGACATTTCTTAGTGCAGACTCGTGATGTGAGGAGGAGCCTGTGTGAGCGCTGAGTGTTGGAAATATGTCGACTTTGCAGCTAGTTTTGGTCATTTGTTATTGGTTAGTGATTAGCTGCTGTAGTTCCCGCACATAAACAGGCTGTTTTCTATTGGCCTGTTGTAAAGTTAAATTGTCCATATATTTGTTACTGGACCTGCACTGATATGTAAATGAGCTGTGAATAGACGTGTGAATGATGAGATTTACACATATAATTAATTACTGTGGCACGCAGCATTAACAGCTAAAGGCTAATAGCGATAGTTTACTTTCTTCACTAGCTAGTAGTGATGGGTGGGTCGCAAACGAAACGGCTCTTAGAGCCGGCTCTTTGAAGCGAACAACAGGAGCCTGTTCCTTATTGGGAGCCGTGTTTTCTATTTTTCTCACTTTTTTTCTCTTCAAGTCGCGTGCAGACTCGTGGTAGTTTGACAGCGGCAGTGGCTGAAAACAAAACTTTCAGAAATCTGCGTGTGTATAGGAGAGAAAAAACACGCATGTTCGTCTGCAGTTCAGCATAAAATAAATAAACCAAGACTAATCTTGGGCTCGAGAGACGGAGAGAGATAGAGACTGCGTCCCGACACTCAGTCCTGGTTCAGTTCTGGTTTAGTCCTGTTTTACACATGGTTTAGATCTGGTTTAGACCTGCTTTAGTCCTGCTTTAGTCCTGCTTTAGTCCTGCTTTAGTCCTGCTTTAGTCCTGCTTGCAACAAAACAATCTGAAGAGCCCCTTGGGAGCTGAAAGAGCCAGCTGCTTTTAGTGAGCCAAGCCAAAAGAGCTGGTTCTCTAAAAAGAACTGAAATACCCATCACTAGCTGCTAGAATGTGATGCACAAATGCCATTAGGCTGAACTACTGTCTGTAAATAAGATGTAAAAAGGCAGAATAACAATAAATGTTGCCTAAATAAACCCAATTTAAAATCCACTAGAGCCAAACCTAAGTTTTTTAAACAATTCAAGATTCACAGTGAATTTTTACATCACTAAATATATTGGCGATTATATCGACTATCAGCAGCTCCAACTCCATTTTTATCGGTATCATATCAGCCCCAACAAAATCTATATCGGTCGGGCCCTAGTTATAATGTTGTTAGCTCCTCAAAAACAGACCTGGAGTTGTTTTGTTTCATTCACATATGTTTGAGTAAATCTTTATTATTAGTCTGCTAGCTCAAAATTCTCTGTTCCACCTTGAAAGGTGGATGTGATGTTTCAAGTCAACAGCTCCTTTTGCCTTACCTCATTTGTGAAATGGTAATGATCCTCACATAGGCTCTACTCTGCCTCCTAACCCGTGACCCTATGTGTTCTTTGCCATTGTATTTTTCTCCTTCTCTGACTGAGATCTCTCCTCTCAGCACATGGCGTGTTCGTGACTCTGAATAGTCCAGATTCTGATGATTTGACTACTACATGCATTGACAGTTATTTAGTTGTTTAGTTTAAGATTGAATGCGATGAGCTATTTGAGCTCTAGGATGATGTGCTGTGGTCTAACCTGCTCTGTGTGACTGTGCAGGCACTGCACACTGGAGAGCTGCCCTTCCCCTGTAAGAGCTGTGACCGGAGGTTTGCACATCCATACTCTCTCAGGAAACATCAGGTATGCAACCTCACTACCAGGAGCTTTTTACAAGAGTATGATGTAAATGGGACAACAATAGTATGAAAAGTAATAGTGGAGCTTGTGAAAGTGTCTAACTTCTGGACTTGTTGGTTCAGGCAAAGAGGTAATAGAGTAGCCAATAATTGTAAGAGTAACACTGCTTCAAAATAATATTACACAAGTAATAGTGGTAAAGTAGTGGTCCAAGAAATTACTCAAGTAAAGGTATAAAAAAGTATTTGGGAAATTTACTACTGAAGTAACTGAGTAACTGTCAGGATGCAATATCTGATTTATAATGTGTAAATGTAATAGGAAGGGCTAAGAGACACAAATGTCAAAATCATTTCATACTGTCAACATAAAGCTTCTGTAAACAAAACTTTTACTCAAGGATACTGTTACTTTAATAAAAATATTACTCAAGTAAGGGTTTGCTCTTAGAAAAGTACTCTGAAAATACACTTTCTTTAAAAAAGTTACTCACTTAAATGTACACCCACATGTATTTAGTTGGTGCACACTGGAGACCACCCCTTCACCTGTCCGACCTGCGGGAAGAGCTTCAGTAATCCATCCAACCTGCAGAGGCACTGTCGCACCCACAACAGAGAGAAGCCCTACCACTGCCCCTTGTGCGGGCGCAGCTTCAGTCAGAGCTGTGCCCTGAAGGCCCATCAGCGCACCCACAGCGGGCACAAGGCCTACGAATGTGAGCACTGTGGAAAAAGCTTCTCCTACCAGCGCAGCCTCAGGGACCACAAGTACAAGTGTGTGTGACCACTGGTACAGGTGACCCACTATGCCTGTTTCACTGGGGAACGTGTCTCTGTGTGTACTGTGTGTATTGTGTAGCTGAGCTCTGCACAAGTTTTTCGTACGAGGACTTTGACATGTAACAATAAACATGCCTTATCTTCTTTTTTACTGGCCACATTCATTTAGAAAATGATTACAATGAGAAGGTTGTTGGTGTTTACATGGAACACAGATTTGGAATGGCTCAGTGGATTGTGTAGGGCTCTTATGGAGGAGAAGCCTGCGTAAAGTACAATGCTCTGTTCATGGAAGCCAAAAGTGCGTTGTACTCATAGGGTCAGTGCCTGTGAACGTGCCCAGACCTGCCCTACTCTCCAGTCCATTTGAGTATTGATGTTCCACAGCCTGATGTGCACTCTGCTCCAGGCTCTGCTCACACCCTCCTCTGTCTGTGCACCATAGTGCACAGTCACTGCTCCACCCACCACAGTGCAGAGCCGAGCTGGCGTTATATCGCCTTTATACTCATTATAGTGCTGTTAGCGCATGAGTGACCGCTGTTTCCCACACTCCACAAAGACATCTGTTACTGGTCTATAAATTGCCCCTTTTATTAAATGTGAGAATAATTGTTTTGTCAACCTCTATGAGTAGAGTAGACACGCACACACACAGGGTCCTAAGGCACAAGTGAATGGTTGATCCGCCTCTACCAACAACAAATGAGAAATATGGATTATTTCCATAAACCTACAAGTGCAGGTCTAAACATCTATTACATGATGTAAATCGTCCGCTGGGGGCGCTAAACACGGGCTAAACTCCTATATTGTATTCTTTTCTCAACGCGTGTGATCCTGGCCCTTTAATTCTCTCCGCCGCGCTGTGAAGTCTGTGAGCACGGTGGTACAGTGGGTACAGGGCTCAGGGGCGTGTACAGATTTAGGACGGTGTCTGAGGACCGCGGGTGGACGTGGGGTGGACGTGGGGCCGTGGGGCGGTGGGGCGCGGAGGCGCACATAGATCCATGCGCTGAGCTCACAGACGGAGCGCCTGCGCAGCAGCCGTGTCAGTCCGCGGCCTTCCTCTTTCTCTGAGCGCAAAGGAGGAAGCGTCTGAGGCCGTCGTTTTCGGCATTAGAGGGCCCTGCAACACCCGAGGATCCAGAGCTTTCCTGACCGCACTTAATCGCCACGATCACGCCGACGAGGCGGAGCAGAAAGGCAGAGCCGCCCGGAGCCTCCCGCAGCTGCCGCCGCGGTGGGGGGGATGCACATCCGTCGCTTTGTTGTTGAGTCACCGCTTTGCCAAGGCCCTGCCATTAGAGGGAGTCTTGCATTTCAGTGTGGACTGTTCCACGGGGTCCCCTGTTTATACTGTTTTCTACGGAGCCGCTTCTGTCTCCACAATGGCGTTCGTTAGCTAACTGTTAGTGCCTTCTCGTGTCTGTGGGATAGTGCCCCTGCCCACCCCGCTGTTTAGTCGAGACGATGCTGAAGGTGTGTTCCGCGTCAGGACTGGAACCGGGGCCCGTCGCGCCTCGGTAGTGGGACAGAGAGGCCACACAGAAATGGTTCGATATTGGGTATCTGTCCGCATTCTGTGCTGTGTATTCGGACATTGACATGGAGACCGAGTGAAGGGTGTTCACCCGGGACGGAGCGAGCACAGACGCGCAGGTTTCTCCAGCGGCACCAGTTCACACCACTAACAGAACTGTTGTCCGGGCGAGATGTCATTGCGCACCGCGCTGCTTGGGAATGAGAGGAACCCGGACCGGGTAAGTCCGGGCTGGAGACCCCATCAGTATGAGATAGATAGGTCTCATGCTCAATCAATGCTTGACCAGAACGAAACCATTATCTTGTATAAATGAGTAGTTAGACAAACACAATAGTCCAAATATGTCTGTTCAACTAAACTGTAAGATGTGGACAAAAGCATAAACCTGTGTGCTAGTGTCGCGAGATGGCCTACAGGTTACACGATCATCACTGCTTTGCCCTGACTCGGTGCCACAGGTCCCCTCTGCAGCACCCAGTTGCCCGGGCCCCATGGGGCACTGCTGGGAGTCAGAGTGTCCCTTTAAACAGATTTGATCAGGGGGTCAATAAGGGCAGGGTACTTGGGCAGTCACATCAAAGCTTGCAGTGCTGCACTATGGTGTCATTTAAAGCTAGCAAATCAAATTGAGTTACCACATTCAGTAAACCCAGAGTGGTATCCTGGATCATTGCAGGAGTGAAACCACAGATCGAGGGCTGACTCCCCCCATGGAGACAGCACAGACTGTACGTGCTCAGCTGGGTGCTCGGTGCTTTCCACCTGGACAAGACCTATTATTCTGTTGACTTATCACTCAATATAAGATGGGACAATCATTTTTGAGGGCCAATACTACTTCTGGTACTATCCTTCAACTAGTGCAGAACTTTTTGATAACATGATTACATTAGAGATGTAGAGAGTTGAATCAATTATTTAATAAATAAGTTTTATGATTCATTATCTATACTAACTACATTATTTCTTTCTGCTATTTATTTGCTCGTGTATTTTAACTTTATGGTTCACTTAGAAAATGTTTTATGGGGTGATTCTGGTGGCACTAATTAGCCTTTTCAAATATGATTTTATTATTATTATTATTTATATTGAAATATCACTTCAACCTGGTATGGTGACAGGCCTAACCATGACCAGATCTCACAGACTCTGGTTCTTCTGGGGACCACAGTGCTGGTGCTGGGTTCATGCGTATCCTCTTTGGCCCTACAAAAGTTCAGCCAATTGTTTTTACCCTTGAGGAAAAAGAGGCGGGGTTCTGTCTGATTTCAGGAACAGGAAGTAAATAGGACACAGCTAAAAGCCAGAAGGAAGAAAAATAATGTTTATTTCTAAAGAAAGATATATTGCTAAAGAAAATACAGACAGTAAATGATAATATTGAAACTACTTTATGCCACTGAGCGAAAGTAAGAATCCAAGTGATTCAGTTTTGAAATAACCAGTACCATTAAAATGAGATACTTTATTGATTCAGAGGGAAATTCAAGAGCATGAGCTGCAACAAATTAATAGCAGAATGAACCAGTAAATAGTGCTAGAAGTTAATTATTTAATGCTCTAAAGCTCAAATCTAAAAAAAATAAATAATAATAATAATAATTCACTCATAGCCTCTGCAGTCTGACTTCAGATCAGAGAAAGACGATACAGTAATTACAACTGCAGTTAAAGGTCCTATTTTATGTGAAATTAACTCAATTTTTTTGTTTTTTTAGCAGTGTTATAATATTGATAGCTCATCCGAAACATACCAGAATTGTGTTTTGTTGTTTGAATAAGCCTTTATTATTAGTATGTCTATATCTCCAATGCACACAAAAAAATACTCTGCTCTACCTTGTGTGCGATGTGCTGATAAAATGAACAGTTATCGTATACCTTTTGTTCTGTGGATATGGGCAATTTGGAAGAATTGAACCTATCACTTTCATGAATATTATGAGTTAATAAAATGTTGAAATTATCCATGGGTGTCATAGATTATAAGTACAGAGTTGCAAGCCATGTTAGAATGCTGTTACCTCCTGTTTTGTTTCATTCACATGTTTTCAATTTAACAGCTCATTTTACCTTTTGTTCAGTACAGATTTGCAATGCAAGACTGAAATTATCAAAATGATTCTAGTGAAGGTGTATGGAGTTTAAAAAGTGGAGCTCTTCCTGTATTACATGACATCACAAGGTGGAATAGAGTGTTTTCTGTTTGAGGGGTTTGTGTGTTAAACATGTGAGAATGAAACAAAACAGAGGGAGAGAGATTTATTGATCCAGAAAGAAATTAAAGTTTTGCTGCAGCAACATTTCCACTGTGCATCTCAGTGTCCTTTGTGTCTCAGTCAAAGGTGTGAGGTCAGTTTAACAGGAGGACTGGTCAGGGAGGGTCAGCAGATCTGTGTCAGGACAGTTTGAGGAGAAGAAGAGACAAAAGTGTCCCTCCTCTGTGTCCTGCAGCGTCACAGCAGTGTCCAGGGGGAACCAGGTGAACACAACAGGACAGGCCTCATTTTTACTCTGCTCTGGCATTTCAGTCTGTGGTGAAATGGTTCATTTCCTATATATATAACACAACTCCGGGTATGGAGTTGGTGTATGGATGTGATGAGGAAACAACATTATAACAGATCAGAATATGGCATGATATGGGCCCTTAAGAATAAATCAGCACTACAATTGTTATCAGTAAAGTATTTGATTTGAACACGTTGACCTCGCATCTGAGGACACAGGTTATGTTTATTACATTTGAAATAGAAATTTGAAATTCTAATTTCCCTTTAACTATAAACCAGGACAAACATGAGCATTTTTGTTGCTTTCTTTAGTTTTAGGCAGTTTACAGGAGTTCATATGAAAGCTGCGAGTCTGAGAGAGAGTGCGAGAGCAGAGGCTGAGCCTGAGGCCAGTCATGAGCCAGGGCCATGTGAGGAGAGACAGTACAACCCACAGAACCACACTGTACAGCAGGGCTGAACCATTGGGAAAACATCGAATTGTGATAATCTGATAAGCTTTGCCATTGTGATTAGATTTGTGATTTATTATTATTTTTTAATAACAGAATTCTGACCAATAATAAGAATTGACCAAAGAAAAATCACAAATTTCACAACATGTTTGTACAGATCTAAACTACAGAGTTGGCAACTTTTATGCAGAATAAGACAGGAGATTTTATTATTTATGAAAAAAAATATGGTGTGTACAAAATTGCAGCCTTAGTGATTTGATAATTGCATCCATTTAACATTTTCCGAAATGCATGGGATACTTGGCTTAGTTTAAAGTACATATTTTAGTTTTCTTTGAAAAGTGACTGCTCCTGATATTAAAAAACTAAAATAAACACGTCTATTAAACACATCTATTAATAATTACGGAGACATTTTACATGACATTTTGTGTTTTGGCTGACTCAAACATCAGTTATAAAAAATCATTTTAAATAACGTAATAATAGGCTGAAATAAACTTGGAAATAAACCTAAAAGGACTGTGATCTGGATAGTCACTACAGAAACCTCAGCACCAGCAGCCAATCATGGATCAGTTCTAGTGCAGCCTCTGCTGCTCAGGGAGGGAATTCTGGAGGTTCTGAGCATTCACATGAGCAATGCGTTGTTCATATTATGTTTTTGTGCTTAGAATGTAGCTAAGGACACCCAGTTTCAGTTCTGATTTGGAGCTCTGAAATGTTAAGCTCTGAAATGTTGGTTAAACCTGTTCCTCATGGTGCAGTCCTGACTTAGGCCTAGGAGTCAGGAGCTCAGAGCCCAAAGTGGTGCTGGGTTAATCCTGTGCAGTCTGCTCCATCTGTCAGCCTGACGTCTGCACACTGGGTCACCACGACAAGAGCAGTGAGCGTCTTGACAGCTCATTTCAAGAACACAGTTCTTGTGTCTGCCATATCATTATAATTTCTGGCACCTGTGGATTATTTTAATTTCCACATATTAAATTGCAATATTCATCTAAAATGACATAATAAACGAAACAAGTCTACTGACTTCCACGTTAGAAAACTATTATGGCTGCACATCACACCATTCATACCAGAATGACTAGCAACTCTTCTGAATCCTGCACATATCACCAATTGAGAAAATAAAATTGGAGAGTGCTTTCAGACCAGAGCAGTGGACGTGGGTTGATTGGCAATATGGCATCTTGAAAATAAGTGATTAAAGATTGCTCAGACATGCACGAATTACTCCAAATACAACTTTGGGTAAGTAAGTGGTGAGTTGTGAGCTCTGAAAAGTCCATTTTGAAGAATAGGTCTGATTTAATCCTCATGTCAAACGGCATGAGTCACTGTGTCATAGTAACAGTGTATGAAAGTTTCATACTCAAAGTCTACAATAGGAGAGACACAGGAGAGGAGGAAGATCCAAACTGTATGAATGCATCATTAGCCCCAAGCGCCAGAGGCTGGCGAAGGGCCTATTGGTATCGCAAAGCAATGCTCCTAGTGTTCCGAAAATGTAGGTTAAAAAAAAGCGGAACATCACATCAGAACATTATTCATTGTTCGTCCTCTCAGTCGCTCCCAGCACGAACAGCAGTATCCCAGTGACCCACACCCAAGACCTGAGCCATATTTACTACTGCTAAAATGAATGGAAGTCAGTGGGAGGTCAGGGGGCAACCCTGACGAGATGGTGCAGACACGCCCGTCACTCACCAATGACCCCACGGTGACGTGGGGAATGTCAAGAGCTTTCAAAAAATGTATAATAACGCTGTTCCAATGTTAACAGATATATTGTTTTCTAAAAATATTCTTATTAGGCCCGAGCGCCAGAGGCTAGCGAAGGGCCTATTAGTATCGCAACGCGATGCTCCTAGCGGGTGGGAAGTGAAATGACACGATGTGACTCGCCCATAGTGACCAGGGACCCTCGCCATGACATAGCAATGTGCCAGAGGTTTCCGAGAATGTATAGTTTGTTGGCCAAAAAAAAGCAGAACATTGTTCTCGTATCAGAATATTATTCTGTCTTTCTTTCTTCTTTCTTATTTATTTAACTTTTGGCTATTTCCTTTTTCCAATAACTAAAATTGCTCGTCAGCGCCCCCAAACCTCTCAAAACTGCATTAGGGAATACAAATGAGGGCAAAAAATTTGACACAGAAGTCGATCATGTCAAGACAAGGAAAAAATATTATTACGGCAACACCGTGCTCTCCACCAGGGGGCAGCAATATTGGCATAAAGTTTGTTAAGCTTTTACAAACTCCTCCAAGGGTGTTCACCCGAACGAGCTCAAATTTGGTTCACATTATCTCACGAAGTGGAACATCAAACGTTATCCACATTTTTCACACTTTGTGACAAGACAATTTGTATGGAAAAATAACATTTTATTTGTCAATAGATATACAAAATTTGGTACCCACATTTGTGACATAGTCTCAATTTAAAAACTCCGTGATGCCCACACCCCATTTACATTGTGTTGCCATGGCGACAAGCCAAAATTCAGTCTTTGCCAATGGGTTGCTCTGACACAAACATTGACGTATTGTATATTGTGACCACACCACAAACACATGACCACAAACATTGTATATTGTGAACACACCCCTTTACAAACTGGAAGTCCGCCATCTTGGATTAAAAAAAAAAAAAAAAAGTTTTTAAATAATCACATGCAGAAATTTTGAAAAAATGGCAGGGTAAGGGTTACGGTTGGGGCTATGGTTAGGATTATGACGACGGGTAGGTTTAAGGTTAGGGTTATTAGGATTAGTGCGGGGCGCGGCGTTTGCCGGGCGCAGCATAGGAGCATGCAAAGGTCGATCATTGCCGCTTGAGGCTATATTTTTCATCATTCTCATTTTTGTCTAAATAATTTAAATGTAATAAAAAGTAGCTGACTGAAATTACATTTTAATTTTTTACAATTGTTATGTTTATTATGACTATACTGAAAATTAATGAAAGGCAAAGTGAAGAGTTTAAATTCACTTTTCAGTCTGGTTTTCAGTGCATCAACCCAGCCACATCCAGTGAACACGTCTGCACATGGCCCAACACAATACAGTTTACATACAGGTTATCACAACTATGAAACTAGTATGAATTTAATAGACTTAATTTGCGTAACACTTTTTCTCTGCTAAAACTAGACTATGACTAAAATAATTTTGCACATTACCGATCTGGTGAAACCCCCCCCCCCCCTTTTTTTTTAGTGTATATGACCCACAATAGGCCATCAAATTTATCATTTGTACTTTTTGTTGGCACAAAATGGAAAGATTTAGCTATTTTCAATAGTACAATAAAAATTAAGCTGTAGAAGCAGGTTCTGTAATTAACTTCCACTCTCTTTATAGATGATAAATATTGTATTTGTTTTGTAAAATTATATTGTTTTCTGTGATTTCTTTCAGTAACAACATATGCTTCAGAATGTACTTTTATGACAGAGCTACCCCACACATACTTCACACCGGGCTTTTCCCCCTGTGTCCAGCAGGTGTCACTGTCCGGGGGCCAGTCAGATAAAGCCAGTGCCTGGTCCAGCCGCTCTCTGGGGGCCCGCTGTCGAAACTCCATCGCCGTGTGTTCAGATGAGCAGCCCCACATCGGAAACTACCGCCTCCTGAAGACCATTGGCAAGGGTAACTTCGCCAAAGTCAAGCTGGCCCGCCACATCCTCACCGGCCGCGAGGTAACTGCCATCTGCTCAGCAAAGAATTCAGGTTCTAGCTTTGGTTAAATGACCTGAGTTCACAATATTAAACTGGTTTTAAAGGTACACTATTTTCTGGTACAGGGTCCACTAGCTGCTTGTCTCCAAGTTATTGTTTTGTGGCACAGTGGCTGAGTGGCTAGCACTCATGCTTCACAGCAAGGTTCAATATTTGGGCCTTTCTGTAGAGTTTGATGTTTCTTCCTGTGTCTGGTTTGGTTTCCTCCATCAACCCAAAACAAGCACAACAGATCAAATCCTACAGTGAAGGTAGTCCCTTCAAAGCCTGCCTAAATCTGATTCCCGGCCACTGTAGCACCCACTGCTCCTTGGTAGATGTCCCAGCAGCATTGAAGGACGGCTCAAATGCAGAGCGCGTTTCCCTATGGGGATAATAAAGTGTACGTTATCTTACTTAGCTAGAATGTTGCACAATATAGAACTTTTATCTTGTGTAACAAAACCACCAGTGATGACACAAATGCAAGAAAAACCTAGAAAAACATGCATTCATTGTGAGCAGAGTCACCTCACCACAAAGCAGACCCCTGCCCTGGTTGAGAGGCTGGCCTTGGCCAATAGAAAGATAGAAATTAGCTTTGGCTACAATCAAGTACAGGCTTTTTCTTTTGCATTATCTTGTTTTTTAATATGTTTTGTCCCTTTAATAAATAAATACAAATCCCTTGTCTCTGTGGAGATGGTGGCGGCCCTTAACCAAAAAGTTACATAGTGAATCTTTAAGACAACCTGTAAGATTTAGGTCATGCTTATTACATTTAAAAACTATCTGTGTCCCTAAATGCAACATGTTGAAATCAGCAAATCTTCTCGGTCTTAGTTTACTGATTAGCAAAGCAAGGGTTAGTTGAGCAGACTGCAGCTCTAATTGAACATGCATTGAAACTGAAGACTGCAGAAAACAAAGTAACCAGTGTCTCACTGTAGTTATTAAATGTTCTGAATGTTCTAGAATTTTTTTACAGTTCTGATTGGAATCTTCTCTAGGGCTGCAAGATTAATCACTATCAAAACAAATTAGCAAATCACAAAGGCTACAATTTTTGAAGTACTATGATTTATCCTTAGTCTTATTCTGACTAAAAACTAACCCTGTAATTTAGATCTGCACAAACATGTGCTGAAATGTGATTCTTAGGTTGTCATTTCTTATTTTAGTCTCTGTTTCGTCAGTTCTTCCGAACACGTTATAATTATGAACTTTGAACAGAATCATATTATTAGAGCATAAATCGCAAATCTAATCTCAGTGTAGAAAAATTGCAATCATATATTTTTCCCAAATCATTCATTCCTATTCTTCTCTCAGATTTTAGTGCTCTTGCCTGTGTATATGTTTTAAAAAAAAAGTTCTTCTGTGATGTGTGCTTTCTCTTGTCTCTAGGTCGCCATAAAGATCATTGATAAAACTCAGCTGAATCCTACCAGTTTACAGAAGGTAATTCAGAAACAAGCACACTGTAGTTATAATTTGAGCAGAGCAGGGTGTGTACTCCACTCAATCACAGTTCTGTGGCTAATTGAATAGGAAGGGCATCTGGTGTAAAATACTTTCAAATTGCTCTTTGTGGACACCATGAATAAAAAGAAGAAATGCAATTCGTCTTCAATTCACTTTGCATTGAAAAACATCACCCCTCTCTCTGTAACTGCTGTTGTCATGCGCTCATTTTGGTCTTAAAATGTTCATATTAACTCACTGTACGTGATCCTGGGTTTTTTATTTCACAATTTCATCTGTAAATGAGTTCCTATTCCTAATACAGAACTGTGCTCCAAATTTGCTCCATAATTGCCAGGCTCAGTGAGCTTCATTTGACTGGAGCTAAATGCTATCAGTGACATCACACTTTCTTTTCTACTTCTTTCTAAATGTAGAAGCACTTCAAGACCCAAAAATGTAAATTCTTCTTTCCCCATATACAGGATCTTGCCCTCTATCTGAAACTATGACAGCATATTGTTCAAGATGTGAATATTAAAACAGATGAATCTCTCTAGCTTTATTATAAATCATTGGCCCAAACTATTGTATATTGTTTGTGAGTGTTGCCAGGGCAATATATGATCCCTCAAATGGTGCTCACATCCACATGGTGATACCCTCTGGGTTTGACAGCCCTGTTCTGCTCTAATCGGAATTAAAGGATGAACTGAAAAACCAGGTTGTTGGCATGCGGGTGCTGGAGCACCTGTTTCTCCACCCCTGTCTCTTTCCCTGTGTCTGCTCCTGCCTCCTGCCCAAAGACTGTATAAAGAAGTGGACTAAGAGAGCGTGACAGCAAAGTCAAATGAAGCCTATTAGAGGCTAGCATTTATAGAAACAAATTTCAGGGTTTTCTCAGAGTTAGATCATTTTATTTGATAAAAATGTACACGTTGTATCTGCTTCTTCTGAAAGTTCACTTCATGCTGGTTAAATCCAAATAGTGAATGTACAATATCTTGACAATAGCAGGTCACTATGGCCTAAACCTATTACACACAACTCTTATGTGTTTGAAGTCTCTAAATATGTACAAATCCTGCAAAAAATACACACATCTGTCCATCTCAAGCTCCTTGACATGTTTAAAAGTTGGCCCGTGAACTGAATAATAGGGATGTAACAATGTCCAAATCTTGATATTTTCTTGATATAGAGTTCATGGTACAATATTTATTGCGATAGCAAAATTGTGAATGTGTAGCTTTTTTCTTTTATGATGCCTTTGGTTCTGACATAATTTAAAAAAAAAGATTTCTTCAGTCTGCATTGAAACAGAGCAAACGACCATGGTCTATGTAGTGCCCTCTGTTTTTTAGGTATTGCTGCAACACTGACTTTACGCAAAAAGATATATTGATATATATGACCCACATGTTACTGTGAGACTTTTGACGCTACAATATCATTATTATCTTCCCATCCCTAATATTTCCTCTGTCTGTCCTCAGCTGTACCGGGAGATGCGCATTATGAAGACTCTGAACCATCCCAACATAGGTGAGCTGTGTTATATCTTTAGTCTAGCCTGACCTATGACTTTTCACCCCTGACTTCTCATTTTTCCTTTACAGTTAAACTGTTTGAGGTGATTGAGACTGAGAAGACCCTGTACCTGGTCATGGAGTATGCTAGCGGAGGTGAGTCTGCACTCACATGTCTGCACATGGCCTTCTGTCTATCTTTAAATCTGATTAAATGCTAGATTATTTCATTGTGTTCTTCGCCTGCTGCAGGAGAAGTGTTCGACTACCTCGTGGCTCACGGCCGAATGAAAGAGAAGGAGGCTCGAGCCAAGTTCAGACAGGTCAGCCTCTTTCTGCACTCACACCATGCCAGGGTTAGAAAAAATGAGATGCTAATCTATTTTTAAAACGGTAGCAAAAGTAGATGCTCATTAGAGCAGTTATCGATACTAAAAAAGTCCTATTCATGGGACAGAAATGAATGTTTGCTGAACAGCTTTAGAGTGATGTTGAGCTGTATCAGAACAAGTAGAAGAGCACATAGACTAGTATACACACATGGACACTATGAACCTATCTAGACCACTGAGGGATTACAAACAGACCTTGTGGGAATAGAAAAGTAAGTAATACCATTTGATGCTGATGTTGCATTCTATTTTAAACTATTTTTCTATCTTTCTATTATCGTGGTATCTGAATCAGTATTAAGTATCGAGTAGATTTTTTAGTATCAAAATCGCTTTTAAAAATTTACACTACGGCATGCATAGACCTGCAGAGACTGCTCTTGTGTCCTGCTCTAACCTCTGTGTTCTCTACAGATTGTCTCTGCTGTGCACTACTGCCACCAGAAGAACATTGTCCACAGGGACCTGAAGGTACACATACCCTCACTGCACATGCATAATACCTACACGGTCTGCACATATCCACTGAAGGCTTTCAGGGGTGGGGCTTTCTGGAAACTAAGGTGGCAACATCTCAACATCTCCCTTCTCATGAGAGTTCAGAAAGATGTAGAACCTGTTTATCACACTGCAACTTTATTTACAATGAACAGTTTATGTGATTACATTGAGGCCTGTGTGGACACGTTAACACAAGGGCTTGCTGTCACAGGCAGAGAACCTGCTGTTGGATGCAGACGCTAACATAAAGATCGCAGACTTTGGCTTCAGTAATGAGTTCAGTGCAGGCAGCAAACTGGACACGTTCTGTGGCTCCCCGCCCTATGCCGCCCCCGAGCTGTTCCAGGGGAAGAAGTATGACGGGCCTGAGGTGGACATCTGGAGCCTGGGGGTCATCCTGTACACACTGGTCAGTGGGTCACTGCCCTTTGATGGACAAAACCTCAAGGTCAGTCATGCATGCTAACAGCATTTTCATAGAACTATAGTTACTACTGTAAAACTTTTCACATGAGTGTCATGAGCACCCCCCCCCTTGCTGTATGTGTATGCCTGTTGTAGGAGCTGCGAGAGCGCGTGCTGCGGGGGAAATACCGCGTGCCCTTCTACATGTCCACAGACTGTGAGGTCATCCTGCGCCGCTTCCTCGTGCTCAACCCCACCAAGCGCTGCTCTCTGGAGGTGGGTCTGTACATGTCACACTGCTAACAGCGCATGGTTCACAAAGCCTTATCCCTGTCCAACCTGCTCAGGCATTACTTAGACGCATGAACTGCATTACCACAAAATGCCACTGACAAATATTCCAATGTACAGAGAGAGGCACTAAAGGAATGTACTCGCCTCCTTCCTTAATGAATCAAGCTTTACATGTCATAACCCTTATTTCTGTTTCTTTGGGATCAGCAAATCATGAGGGACAAGTGGATAAATGTGGGCTACGAGGGGAATGAGCTGAAACCCCACACTGAACCTGCAGAGGACTTCAGCGACACAAGCCGCATTGGTGAGAGTCACACCTGCCCAGTCTGCACCTGCCCTATGTTTATCAGCCGTGCCTGCATCTGCCGTGCCTACACCCACTTGCCCTGTCTACTCCTGCCCTGCCTGCACCCGCCCTGCCTACCCATACACTGTATATATAAATGTACAGCACTAGCTGTCACGCTTGAAATAAGAAGTTTGCATGCCGGCTCTTCAGGCTCCTACTGATCTTGACTCCCATTAAGTTACTTACACTTTCACTCGCTTAATCCACTTTTATATACAGTCTATGGCCCTGCCTGCATCCGCCCTGCCTACAAGGGTCACTTGATGTTACAGTGACGTGTCTTGTAGCTTTACACAGATTATTCAGATTTTACACAGACTAGCACCATCTGCAATAGGTACACTATATATACACTTATGCCTTTCTGACAAATCCTTTGTAAGGTCAGGTATATGACATAACTGTGATATGTGACTGTGAATGTAGCTGACCATAAGCTTCTGTTGGGCCTGACTCACTGAGGGGGTGTTCTGTGCCTGTGTCCTGCAGATGTTATGGTCGGGATGGGCTTCAGCAGAGATGAGATCCAGGAGTCTCTGAATGGACACAAGTACAACGAAGTGACCGCAACCTACCTGCTACTGGGCCGCACCGGTCAGGTCAGTACCCAGCCTGCCTCTGGACCAGTACATCTGTGTCTTGTGTCTGCAGATGCACCACTGAGTTCAGCCCATTCATGTAGCCAGGCAGCCATGTTTAGGCCTCGTGGAAGGCTGGAAGGCAGCCAGAACCCTGTATTTTACTAGGAGTGTGTAGCAGTGCTCAAAATTTGCATTATTTATATAGCATTGTTTAGAGCAACTCTTTTGATAGAAAGAGGTTTCGAGCATGTAGTCTATAAGATTGTGTTTCAGATGTACTATGCATGTAGACTGTCGTATCAGTTGGTGTTATTTTGATGTACGGTGCAATAGCCCTACACTAAACCATAAGACATAATTTCAACTCAAATCAGAGCAGAAATTTGGAACAGCTAGAGTGCCCGTGTTTAACCATGTTATATTTTATTCAAAATGGCAGTATATTTCACACACAGAACTATAATAAAATCTGAAGGTGAACTCAAGATGACGCTTTCAGTGGCCTGTGCTCATTGGCTCATGGGACCAAAAATTATTTTCTCTTCCACATTTACTTCCTCAGTCCGGGCGAGCTCCACCCACCCATGTGACATCTGTAACGTGCACAGCGTGGAGTGTTTGGACCAATCAGAGCGAGAGCTGCTAGAGCAGAGCTAGAGCGGGCTCAGAACGAGGCTAGGCTAAGTCTTACAAAGACCTCTTGTAGAGTTGTTGATGCCCTGTCAGATGAACACCGCAGTTTGAATTTTCAAAGAATGCATTATGCGTGAAGAGAGAATTCTTTCTGGGCCCACACTCCTTGGAGCTGCAGTACCTAGTGCGGCCACTAGTTGGGTCTGGAACTGGGACAGAGGGGGAGGGGCTTATCTAGTTTTTACAGTAGATTCATGATTTCACACAGCAAATATTTACAAAACAAATGGTGTTTGTGGAAAGTTAGCAACATTCACTCTTCATGCTCTCTGTTTTTCCCATCTATATTTTCCTATTGTTTTATAGAAGGAAGCCAATGAATCGCGCTCTGGCAGCACCCTGAGTTTAGCCCGAGCCCGCACCATCACCAATGGGACGAGTAAGCTCCCCTCCTCTTCTTCCTCGGGGACAGCCTCCTCCAGCCATAAACCTGTGCGCAGTGCCTCCACGTACCACCGCCAAAGACGCCACTCAGACTTCAGTGAGATCTGCACCCCCACATGTGTTCTTGTTTGCCCGTGTGTGCCCCATGTCTCCTGCTCCTCTCACATTCTGCTGCTGCTTTCAGGTGGCCCCTCTGTGCCCGGGACCACACAGCCACGTCGCAGTCCCAGTACTGTGACCGAGGGACTGAAGGAAGGACGCAAAACAGGGACCCCCACCCCCCCAAGCCCCATGGTCAGCTCTGCTCACAACCCCAACAAGGCAGAGATTCCAGACCGACGCAAGGAGGCCAACTCCACCCCAGTAAGACCCACTGCCATGTCGACTGTGTCTGTTCCAAATGTTGGATAATGCACTCAACATTCAAATATGACCAGGGTGGTTCTGAGACTTAGGCAACTGTTCTGTAGAGAATGAAACCAAGAAGAGATGAAGGTTCAATCAGACAGATGCTTCACAAAATAAGATTTTCAAATTTTATGATTTACAATCATGGAAGTATTTTAAGATGGAAGATGAACCCAAAATGTGGTGTTGTCAGTGGCCTTTGTTCACTGGTGCCAAAAAGTTTTCCCACATTACTTCCTGAATGCTGTTCTGCCCACCACGTGATCCCAGAAATGTGTAGTTATGGCAAATCTAACACATGTTGTATGGTTCTAGTAATAGAGTTTAACCTATTCCCCATATAGGCCCAACTGGGACTGGGAGAAAAAAAACAATCAATCAATCAATTTTTTGCCCCATATTGATCAATCTCAATTTTTGATTCAATCTTCTTCCATCTTATTCAAAACAAAGACATGTGGACAGTGAGTGTAGACAGTGTGTCAGGATCAGTATAGTTTTTATTCTGTGTTAATAGGACCAGTTCCAGAGAATTTCACATTTAAAGTTTACAGGACCACCTGTACACACTATACACAGGGAGAGATCACAGTACGCTATTATTTAACCAGCATAAAACGTCTAATATGACATGGCATTGGAACGCACTGCGGTGTTGTGTCCTGTCCCAGAGTTGTGGAGCTGCTCTACTATTAGTCTTTTGTTGCCATTTCTTTCACACACCCAACATTTGAACTCCTTTGGCAGTTTCTGCTCTGTCTTTCAGATGGCTCATTTATAAATGAGACAGCCACACTTTTGGGGAGTGCAGAGACTTAACATGTTCATGTTGATCAATCACATGTCAGAACACAGCACATAGACACAGCTCAACCTGTCCACTCACAAGGTCTTGGGCCCATTTTCCTGTCTAACAGAAGAAGTTAAATGTACTGTGGTGTTCTGAAATAATCCTACATTTGGCCCTTTGTGAGTCATACAAGGGTCAAAATTATTGTACAGATATCAGTTATTGTAAATCTGGCTTGAAACATCAATTGACAGGCACATTTTAGTACAGTGTTGACAAACTACAAAATAATGTACTGACTGTATTAAAATGGTTCAAATGAAGACGATAAGGATTTGTCAGCAGTGTCTCTCCCTACAATAATAATAATGAAGAGGTTTGACCTGTCAGTTGGGTGTGCCCCTGATGTGGCTCATGGCTCTTTGCAGGTGAGCGCTCCTTCGAGTGGTATGACCCGGAGGAACACGTACGTGTGCACAGAACGCTCTGGCTCTGACCGGCATGCGCTGCTGCACAATGGGAAGGAGAACAGGTGAGCCATAGGACACTAGCAAATCTTATACAGGTTGTATGGTTCTAGTAGTAGAGTTTAGAATAGCCCCACATGTACTGTCCAAACCCGACCTATTCTCCTTATAGGCCCAACAAGGGCTGGGCGATATGGGAAAAAATTAATCAATCAGTAATTTTTTTCCCCCATATTTATCAATCTCGATTTTTTTATTCTATTATTATATTATCTTCTTCCATCTTATTAAAAACAAAGACATTCAGACTTCACATATAAAGAGCAGAGTGTCGGGTTGTCGAGTGTCGGTGTTGATGGGACTAATAATTCCAGACAATTTCACATTTAAAGTTTGGAATGAGTTTGTACAATATATTAAACCTAAATGCATACACGCATTACTGCTATCAACAGAAACATGTGCGATGTCTGTGCGCTAAATTAGGACTTAATTTTCACACATAAATGGTGAGAAAATAGCTGATTACTATTGGAACTTGGATTATAATGACAAGAAGCACCAGAGGAGAGAAAGAGGTGAGGAGCTGGATCAGAAAGAGAGAGACAGACGCTCACACAGAGGCAGAGAGAGACTGGACTTTTGGTCAAATTGTGCAGATTTAAGTCAAATCGTGGGAAACGTGAGGAAACAAAGATATGCTGTGGCCCAGACTGCTTTTTCCCAAACAAGACAGCGTTGATCCTCGTCAGCACCACACGCTCTTACTGTTACATGCTATTGACCTGTTGATTAAATTGCACTTGCCTTATCATCAAGATCAACCTAAGTTGAGATCGCGATCTTTCAATCTTACAATTTTTGACACAGCCCTTGGCCCAATCCAAGTCTACGTATTTTGGCAGAGGTACTGGTTGCTGCTGCAGTGCCATAATTTCAGCAGCAGCACCAATGAATAACAGCAAAAAACATTTAATATAATACAGCAGTCCATCCCCTTGCAATCATCAGCTATAGGGATGCATTATACAGACATATGGCATGTGGGACAAATGACTTCCAGACTCTGTCTATGGAACACGACAGGGACAACAGCCTGTGCCCAAAGGTGCTCTCCTGTCCAGTGATGGTGCTGTGCAGGAGGTGCTGGGGGTTCTCCAGGTTGGACAGGAGCTTGTTTAGGGCCCTTTTCTCAGCCACAGATGTGAGTGACCAGTCAACAGCTTATCCAACTGCACCGCATGAATGGTCCCCATCTGTGGCCTAGTTGCACTATAGTGTTTAATGGAGCGTGTTGGCCTGTCCATGGCCTGAAGCGGACTCTGCTAATGCACCAGTCCTCAACTGTGCCGCTTACCAGCAGTATGTGCTGTGAAGATCCTTACACAGGCAGTCTAAAACATCTTGTGTATGTGTTATTATGATGTAGACGTGAGATCGGGCCTAAAAAATCCAGCCCGACCCGACCCGGCCCACGGGTATTAAAACCCGACCCGGCCCGAGCCCGACCAATTAACTTGATTTGCAGGCCCGAGCCCGAAGCAAACCCGAAATGTCATATTTTATTTGTGAGGACTCGGGAGGAGGAGCAGTGCTCAGCGTCGAGGTGCCAGTCTTTTTGCTCTCGTATGAAAGCAAAGCGCCACATTGACGACATTCAGCGAAGCCAACGCAAGTTTCTGTAGCATTTTCAACAATCAATTTGAAGCTTTTCCACACCTCACTCTTACCGGTGCGTGTTTGTCTTTTCAGTTCTCCTGCCTTTAGTTTAACTTCTTGCTCCTCCATATTGGGGATACCAGGTCAAAATAGATGCAGACTTGCGGAGGGGAACATTATTCAATTAAGAGGGGGCGTTCACGTGCGCAGAGCTCTGGCTCTGCGGATCCTGTTTAGTAGTTAAATAGCAATTACATTACATTACTTCTCTGTTTTATCCATATTATTTATTTTATAACAAGTATTCCTTAGTTTAGTATCCACACATCGTTTTAGCATACATTTTATAAACATATATTTATTTGAAGCCCAAGCCCGACCCGACCCGAAGTAATGATTGACATTTTAGGCAATTCGGGTCGGGTCGGGTCGGGCTTGGGCTCGGTCTTAAGATCTTACCTCTATTATGATGTGATTTTAATGAGTATGACTGACGGCTCATGTCTTCTTCAGCTCTGGGTCCCACCGCTTGCCCCCTGCCTCTCCCTCTACCCACAGTATAGCAGGGGCCTCTGGCGTGAGCTCCTCACGCCTCTCACGGGGCTCCACTGTTCGGAGCACCTTCCATGGGGGCCAGCTCCGCAGACCTCCAACACATGCGCCCCCCTCCTCCCCCACGCCATCCCATGATTCCAGCCTGACAAGTAACGCCCGCTCCAGAGGCACCACCAACCTGCTGAGCAAACTCACCTCCAAGCTGAGCCGCAGGTAAGGCCCGGGCCCCAGAGCCCACTGTGTCACTGTCCGATATGGGCACACTTTATTCACATGTAGAATTTGCTGCTGATGCCCTCCCAGATTTTAACAATACTAAACCATCAGCCTCAGGAGGTCTAACAGCTGCACATGGAAGAGCTCCTCACTCAGTGCCTGGGACTGAACTGCACAGCCAAACTAACCAAAAGCCTGATGATTTTAGGATCATCAGAAAATTTGTTTTTGATTGACTTTAGGCAAACTTTATTGATCCACAAGGGGAATGAAACATATGCACTACGTATATGTTAAAAACAGCAAAAATGCAATGAATATGTTATTATGAGGGACATATTATTTCTAAACCATCCTATAGTCAGGACTGTTAACAGCACCACCTAGTGGCTCAGCTGCAGAATGTCCCCACAGGGCCATTGTGTGATTGGCTCTGTGTCAGACCTGGGTCTATTTCCTTATCCACAGATGGATGTAGGCGTCTTTACAGTTGTCAACCTTTACTTCTTACCGACTATAGAGGTTATGCACTGACATGATTTTATTTGATACTCCAACTGAGAGGCATAGAGGCAGAACTATGGGTAGCTCATTTAGCATTTTCCATTTTTAGCTTAGTTAACTTGTCAGTGACTGCGGGAGATAAAGGACACTTCAACACGCTCCACAACAATTAATCTCCTCAACACAAGACTCAGGAACATGTGATTTAAAGAGTGAAAGATTCAGTTCAAGGGAGTCTGATCCAAAGTCTGTATCAGTGAGAAATGTGTGTGTGCAGTGTCCCTGTTTCTTGTTTTAGACATCATTTACAACTATATATTTAGCAGAGTTGTAAACTTGTATATTTGTTGTTAAACTGCAACAGCTCTTACACATTTTAGATGTAGTGTTTGGGGCTTTTACAGCAGAAAATGTCATTTCTCACATTGACACTCATATAATGTTGCCACTCATTCTAAAAATGCGGAATGTTGTGTTGTCATAAGCATAACCTCTATAGACATAATGGCTGTTGTACTGGGCCTGTCGGGAGCTGTAGACCCAGGGCTGCTTCTCTGGGTTTGCTCTGCTCACTTGTGTTCTTCTGACACATGTGCTCTCCTCCTCTCTTGTCTCTGTCCATCTGCTCCATCTGCCTTCTCTGGACCATTCCTCTCTTCTCTTCACTGTTCACTTCTTCCTCTTTCTCTCTTTTCCTAGGGTCACTCTTGACCCTTCTAAACGTCCAAGCTCAAACAAGTCCATGTCGGGCTGCACCCTTCCCCTGGGGACAAAACCAGTTAGTAAGTTTTCCTTTGCTGTGTTTGTGCTGCTTCTGTCTGTCTGCACTGCCATGGCCTCTCACTGTCTGCAGCTCCACTCACACTGTGGCTCATGTTCATGTCAAGTATTTTGCAGTAATGTGGTGTGTGTACATCTGTGTGTGGGTGGGGGTGGATGTGTAGGAGGGGATTTAAAGATCATGTCAAGTGTGTGAAAGTGATTTGATCCTTACGTTTGTCAAGACTCTAGTGCCACTGTTGTTCTTATACATGGCACATCAGTTGAATCCATATTGTGGTGATTGTGGCATGCTATCAGATGGCTACTGTGAAAAATATATTTTGCAAGCCGTATTATTACCAAGAAGCACAAATAATTTCTATAATATTACAATAAGCAAAAGTCATTATTTTAAACACCAATCTGTTGTTCAGCTTGTTTTAAACTATAGAGGCAACATTGAGACTATCGGGGGCCACCATTATCTCCCTTATTCATGAAAAGCAAAGAATTGTCCAACTAAAACTTAAACTAAATCCACTGAGTGGTTCTCCACATTTGTCATGGTCAAAGTGATTCATCAGAAACATTTTATTAGACCAGACCAGGATGTTTAGTGATTAATCTGCCACCCATAAACCCTTCAGAGAGTCCCGAGCATTTTGGTTTGACAGTCACACCAACATGCTGCTGCGTCAGTAGCACATCAGCTCATCTAATCCCAAGAACATGAGGAGCAGTGGCCCTCAGCCTATTCACGCTCATGTTCTGACCTGACACATGCACAAGCTCTCTCTCTCAAGAGAGCCACTATGTGTCCAGTGTGCTGTGTCTCCATCCATTGATGCTGTAGCCTTTGTGTGTGGTGTGCGTGTGCGTCTGTGTGCGTCTGTGCCAGTAACTGCGTCACTCAGATTTCTAACTGTTCGTTGTGTTCCTCTTGAGGGTCACAGACGAACCTGAGAGAATCAGCAGATCTCCGCTCCCAAGGTTAGTTTGTTTTTGTGTTTTAGCTTTAGCACAAACATATTCATTAGCTTTAGCATTAGCATTAGCTTTAGCTTTAGCATCAGCATTAGCATTAACTTTAGCATTAGTACAAACATAGGCATTAGCTTTAGCATTTGCATAATTATATGTACTAAGTTTAGCATTAGCTTTAGTATAAACATAGGCATTAGCTTTAGCATTAGCTCACAAACATATTCAGTCCATTTGTTCATGTGTTTACCTGAGGGTCCATAAGAGGGCAGTGTGCTGATGTGAGCTCTGTGTTCTGCAGCGCTGGCCCGCTACGACAGTGAGGTCAGAGGCAGCAGGTAACTGTGTACCCTGTGTGCCCTCTGTGCCCTGTGGGCCTGTGTGCCATAGAACGTAGGCTGCAGGAGGATGCACTCATGTCCTCATTTTCAGGATCAGGCCATTCTCACGTCCTTGCATTAATACTAACATATGACTAAGTCAGAGTCTGAAGCGTGCCTCCTGTTAGCGGCCTGGTGCTGTGGTTTCCTGTACAGACCGAGCTCAGGGTGAGGATGGGTGCATCCTCTCTGTTGTAGGACTGACTGCTGTAGTTCTTAAATAACAAGTGTTTCTTTTTCCCTGCCTCCTCCATCACATGACCCCCTCTCACTCATCAGTCGCCATGTATCTGGGCATCAGAAAGCGAGCGAGCCCCGGACCCCCCGATGTGGCTGGGATGTGAAGGTGCGGAGCCCGAGGGACCCTGCGGAGGTGGTGCTGGCACTGCGGGAGGCCGCCCAGGCCTGCGGCTGTCAGGTGCATGTGGCAGGGCCCTTCCTCCTGTCCTGCACGCACGGGACCGCTGGGGCCCGGGTGGCCTTTGAGGCTGAGGTATGCCAGCTGCCCGGCGGGCCGGGGCGCAGCAGTGGTGTACGCTTCAAACGACTGTGGGGGGCACAGCTGGCATTCAGGGACATCGCCACCAAAGTGTCCAAGGAGCTGGAGCTCTGAGGGCCATGGTGTAGGTACGCTTGGGCAGCGTGCACCCAGGCAGCCAGTGCCTGTGGCAGGCAATCTACAGACTACAGCACTGGCTCTCTGCAGCTTACTGAGACTTGTGTTTGCTGCCCCTGTCTCCTGGATGACCTGCAGACAGGACATGTGTAAAAGGGACCTTGTGAAGTACATCTGTTGCCTGTGGAAGAGGGGCACACGCTGTATACAGTCTTTAATTTAAGAATGGCAGATATCTTCTTGAGCACTTTTCTATTTGTTTTTATATCTGCTACATTTTCTTACTACACGTTTTAACACAGAGGGCAGTGTAGAGGAATTGGCCACTTCTTGATCCATATAAAGTTTTTCAGATCTATGACAGTCTAAAAGGAGAAGCAATAAAAAAGTGTTTGGTTTCTGTTTCCTTTGTATTTATGATGTCCAAACTTCCCCTTTTTTGGTCGTCTATGAGATTTGCAGGTTTTCATATTGTTTTTTCTTAAGTTAACAGCAAAGTCCAAACAGCATTTTGATTTTACAGCTCTGCTCCGGCATATTAGAACCACGTGAATAGAAATGTCCTCTGGATTTCCTCAGGGAGGTTTGGGCAAGTCCACTTTGGGGACTCCTGTATGTCTGCAGGAAGCTGCTTTCTTTCAAATGTGCCATTATCAAAGACGAACTGCTGTGAGTCCAACTGAGCAGCAAAGTCCTATTCTCTAAACAGTGCTTAGCACCTCTAGTGTAGCATATTAGACTGCTGCCCTGCTCCCCATGTTCCCCCAGTGTGGGCATCCCAGAGTGAGTGGGCAGAGACTGGATGTCCCAGAGTGGGTGTCGGCACCATGTTGCTGTGAGTGTGCATGTCCAAAATCCCACAGGCACAGTGAACAGCACACAAATTAGGGCCCCTCAAAGGTCTGAGCCTCATATTGTAGCTGTCCACTCTGCTGCGCCGCTGCCTTCCCTCGTGTCACTAGACATGCTTCAGAAGGAACCCTCCTGACCTGACTTGAATTACACATGGAGTGACTTGATTTGGCTCTTTCTTTAGATTGTTCAATAACTGAATGTTTTTCTGAGCTTAGGCCCTCCAGGGGCCTCGTGGTAGGCTTCACCTGTCGTAAGTCTTTGCTATGGTAGGCCTCCCATGTAGTAGGCTTGAAGAAACCTGAGACTTGCATGTCTCTTTGAATCATGTGGCACTCAAATAAAAACTTGTTCAATATGTTGTCTGTACTCGGTTATTTAAATGGTTTTCTGTGCTGAAATGGTATGTAGCAGAAAAATATCTAATGCCTTTCACTTTAAAGTTGTTTCCAAGAACCCCTGAACACACAACACCCATATTTTACTCCGGTGAGTAACATTAAAAGCTAGCGAGAGCCTATTACACATGTTTGTACATATGTTTGAAAATCTAATTGTCACATTTAATAATAGAATAATTATCTATAAAATTATGGAATTTAAAATGATAGAATTTTTCAAAAAGTCTATGGGAAGAATGTATGGAAAATATACTTCTGGAACCAGAGTGGACTTCAAAGTCAGAACTGTGGATCTCTTTGTTTTGATAAGACCACAGGCTGAGGACAGACCATGTCCCTGATTAGCTAAGCTACCTGTCACATTCATCTGAACTTTGGGAGGTTCATCAGTGCCCAGACTCTCAACTTCAAAGGCGCTGGAGACATGTGTTCTAGATCCCAGGCAAGGGCATCACCTATATGAGTTGCATGAATGTAAACTGTAAAGTACTTTGGATGTCTTGAAATGTTCTGTATAAATCAAGTGCTTTCTTCCAATCGTTGCTCTGCACTGTATGTGCACACAGTTTTAGGTGTAGGACCAGAGCCTGTGAGGAGGAGGATATGAACATTTTCCGCATGAAGATATGAGCACTTCTCCAGTCTCAGATAAAAACTACACCACACATTAAACATCACATTAAACATCTGCATCTTTAACTCTAAATCCCACTTTAATATTAGGCTACTGTATCTGCTCTAGAGCCCAGTATTTGAACATTGTCTGACTTTACTTGTGCTACGTAAATGACATTACTTGCTTGCTTGCTTAATCAAAAATAGGCCAGAATAGTTAACAAGGGTACTATTTCAAAATAGCAGTGTGCAGTGATTAAATCAATTGGGCACAAAAAGTAATTTTGAAAATCACAACTATAGAAAACCAAATCATTTTAATATAATGGTAAATATAATGGTTCTAAATGAAGCATGTCGCTCTGGCTCCATGACCTCTGTGACCTTTGTGCTTGTAGGTTGAGACAACAGCAGTCTAACTATGAACGAGTCTGCCAAACAAAGTCGAACTCCGTTATTATTTGCAAATGAGGCCACTGAAGACGGGAGACCGCAAAATCACCCTCATACCACATGCTGGCCACACATGCACCTGACCGAGTATGACAAAAATATATCCATGTTTCAAATATGACACATACGTCTTCTCCCAAACACTGTCCTAAGTCAAAGTGAAGGATTTGAATTCTAAGTGAAGCAGACCTGAACTCAGTACATTAGTGACATACCGCATGAAAAAGCGTGTTTGATATGACTTGTTTCTCTTATTGCACAGGCCTGAGCCTAATACTGCTAGTCCATAAAAGTAGAGCAGTATTGTATTTAAAGACACAGAGAGGTGGGTACCATGGGGCATGTTTTAATCGTCCAGTTACATTTACAGCCAGTATGTTGCTGGGTTGTGCAGACACAGGCTCCATTTGACTGTGTGGATTGATCCCAGGATGTAACAGAGGATGGCACTAACAACAGGCCACAGAGGAAAGACAGAGTAGAAAAAAGGAAGAGAGAGTGGTTGAGAAGAAAACAGGCAGTAGCCAGGAAGAGAAGTTTACAGCGAGGCTACTGTAGGTGTCCTCATACAAAAACCTCAGTCCTTTACTTCTGAGCGGGAATCATGCCATCGATGGACTCTCCCTTCTCCAGCTTCTTCTCCATCTCCACCATCAGCTTGACTCCATCCACCACGAGCTGCACCTGCTCTACCTCAGAGGAGCCCAGACGGTCAGCATTGGAGATGTCGAACACTCCACCCACGGAGGCAGTGTCCACACCACCTGCACACAACAACGTGATCAGATTGGGCTTGTGTAAAAACAGGTTAGTCCCCTGGCTGAGGCCTGTAGTAGCTAGTGACCGCTGACAGTGGACCTGTGCTAGAGCTGTCTGTGATCTGAACATCTGAATCTCTCTCTCTCTCGCTATATATATATATATATATATATATATATATATATATATATATATATATATATATATATATATATATATATATATATATATATATATATTTATTTATTTATTTTTAGCTTTTTGGGGACAAAAGACTTCCCATAGATTGTGTTTAGTGCTGGTACCTGTGCCACGCTTCTGCAGACGCAGTCTGGTCAGGATCTCCTCAAACTTGGCATGTGTGCTGAGCTTGGGCAATTTGACGTGCACGCCACCGCGGAGGCCAGTGCCCAGGTTGGAGGGGCAAGTCAGGATGTAGCCCAGATGCTCATTCCACATGAAGCCATGGTTGTGCTTCTTGAAGATTTCCTCAATCTGAGAGAACAGACATGGGGGAGGAGGATGAGAATGGGTTGAGCTCTCTAGCATCAGTAAATGGCAGATGTGTGTACATACCTTCTGCAAACCGACGCAGAAGCGCCTGAACACCTCTTTCATGTTTCCGCCCTTCTGCATGGAGATGACTCTCAGGTGGTCCTCCTCGTTCACCCACACCAAGAAGGTCTTGTTGTCATTGTGCCTGCACAGCAGAGAGGTCATGTGACTTACATAAACAGAAAATGCTTTGTGCACTCATGCTCTGCTCAATCTGACAGTCTTACCAGATGCCTCTGCCATCGGGCCAGTCACGGGCCATACCAGCACAGGTCAGCAGGGGGGACACAGGCTTGTCAAACAGGAAGTGGTCAGCGATGAGCTGCTCCTGCTCAGCATCACTCATGCCGGTCAGAGGGTAGTACTTTCCCTTGAACTCTCCCTCCAGGCTGGACAGGGCTGTGGAGGCAGAGGTCAAATGAGATCAGATGAGGTCAGATGAGGTCAGGAGCAGGCAGTAGGTGGGGGACTCACCCTCAATGGACAACTTCTCGATGCCTCTGCGCTCTCCACGGCTGTTGTGGGGGGGCAGGGTGAAACCCTTGATGCTGCGGCCAGTACGCACACGGCTGGACAGCACATAGTTGGGGTCCAGGTCATCACCGCCCTGAACACACACACAGTTTAAAAAAGTTTCAAAATTAGCACTTCCTGGACCTCCAGAGGATACACAGTAGATAGAACTCAGTGGTGCTCTTTGGGAAGGGAAGCTAATTTAAAGATGCAAAAAACACACAGTTTGTCACTCTGTCTGCACTCTGCCCTGCTTCACACAGGCCTGCTCCACACTGGACTGACTCTTACCTTCAGGTTCTCGAAGTTGAGGTCGGTCTTGTGCTTGTCGGTGGGTTTGTATCCACCATGACGGTCAGAGATGACGGGGTCCAGCAGGTCCTTGAACACCTCGTAGGACTCCTCATCACCAGCGACGCAACCCACAGTCATGATGAAGGGGTGACCTGGGGGGTCACAGAGGCCATAGTGAGTTATGTAACTTCTACCTTCATATAAAGGTACTGTTGTTGTGTAAATTATGTGAATGCTGCCTCACCAGGGTTGTCCACTCCAGTCTGGATCACATCATCCAGAGTGAAGCCACTGGGGGTGGACTTGCCTCTCAGTTTGCCATAGATCTCCTTGTTCAGCACCTGAGGCGTGATGAGAGGGTCAGGTGGAGTTCATATATGACATATGTGTAGTATAGATGAAGGCTGCCTACCTTAGCCATGTGATTATTGTGCTGGGACAGATCTGGATACTCATCATCCACCGAGAACTTCATTTTATAGTCATTATGGCAGTTCTTCGTCATGGCTGCGATTCTTACTCCGTCTGAAAAACAAAACAAAAAAACACAATAACTACAAGAGCAGACATGAACCCCACTCTCCAAAAAACAGTGCCATTTTCTACATACAGACCAGCAATGAAATGTACATACAAGCATATGAACAGTCTCATCATATCTAAGGAAACCTAGTCAAATAGTCATATACAAATCTTTTCTCTTTGACATCTGCACAGAATTCTCGTCACTGACCCAGTGTTTGAATAATATCTGTTCTGTCTCCCTCTTGGCCCATTTTCCTCCTCCACGTCTGCCCCCTGTTGGGGCCGTATTGGCCACGAGCATGGTTCTCAAGAGCTTCACATAATGTGCCACACTTGTACTGAGAATGGAGCAGCGTAACAGTGATACTGGGACACCTGTTCCAGCTAAAGGTCAAACTAAATCAGGCTGGGCTCATGTGAGAGCACATGTCCTGCAGGTCCTGCTGGTGTCAGCAGCAGCTGTCCCTCTCTCCTCAGAGCCTTCAGCAAGAGCCTACATGCCCAAGTCCCATATCCCTGAGTCTCATGGCCCACTATCTGAGAAAAGCAGCACCACAGTACATTCCACTGTAAACATGCAGAAGAATCCAAAAGTCCATTTCAGCTGAAATTCAACCTCTTTTGAGGATGAGGACTGAATAAGAGCTCCACTCCCAATGTTGAATAAAAACACACTCATGGCCTGACTGATTTTACCTGCTCAGGAGAAAAGAAGTAACAGATCCTGGGATCAAGTCCTGTCCACCCAATGTAGGGTCGCCCAGCTCTGCTAGGTCATGCACTAAGTATTTATACCCCCATGTGTGTTTCCATTGGCCATCTCGGTGTGGGGACTCCTCTGGTGATTGGTCATGGAGGGTCTATGGTGCCGGGGCATGTTTCTAAAAGGCAACAACCAACATCACAGGGAGACACAGGGAGACACAGCGACAGCTGCAGCTCCCCTTTCATTCCCCTCTGCTCCAGTCAGGAGGTCTCAGTCTGATGGGCCAGGCCTCCATAATGCTCATTATCAATGAACCTGATACAGGATACAGGCTGATTGCCTGTGTCATCATACAGAGGCCATTTGTAAGGTCTGTGTTTCACATGACATCATGAGCCTGCAGAGGTTATACAGCAGTTATGAGCTGCTCAAGTGTCTGTAGTCGTACACTGTTTTAGCAGTGCACTGGAATGTCCGGTGTGCTTTTGTACTTTAAATGACTGCAGATGAGTGTTTGAGGCTCTTCTGTAGATCCAGTTTCAGGGCTGTTCTGAACAGGCACACACAGGACTTTCCAAATTGATCCATCTGCAAGAGGCTCCAATCTCAGTCTCATAAAAGAGATCAGATCCACTTTGAGGTCCAGACTGGACACAGGTACCTGAGGTCCAGTGCTTGTGAGAGCTGTGCACTGGTACATGTGTCTCAGTGTTTGTGTAGCGCAAAGGCCAGTGTGAGTGACTTTAGGGGTGTCGTGTGCATTCACATGGCTCTGGTCTGTATGGCAGAGCTCCAGATCCCAGTTTAGTCTGTCACTGTATCTCCGTGCTCAGTGTTCCCTGCAGCCCTCACAGCTGCCTCAAGCTCCACCCTTTACACCCAAGGACAGTTATGTAAGAAGTGATCATTGGAACAGTGTGATCTAAGTGTCAGCCCTGCGTTTACACTGCAATGCCACACTTGTGGGCTTCATAATTTTATCAAGTAGGTCCCGTGAGCACCCCTGGGGCCCACAGTGGCGTTTGGCACACAGCACCAGGGACACAGCAGAGGAATCTATGGGAGAAAGAATTTCCTCCTCACACCACTGTCCGCAGGGAACAGTCCAGGGCTCCTCACATTCACACATTCACATCTGAGCATTGCCAGGAACAACATGGCCCCTGAGTGCAGACTGTATTGTATCATCAGAGACCAGGGGCCACAACAGCCTCCCAGCAGGGAGCCTTATGTTCTGTGTACCTTGAGGCCATAGCCATAGTACACACATAAACATGATCATTGTTGTTCTAAGTAGTTCCCATTCCACAGAAGCAAACTCAATATGGAAACCAGACCCTTCTGAGCCCCTTGTATTCATTAAACCCAATAAAGAGTAATCAGTGACTAGAACTACAGCACAAACTAAAACAACAAAACCTAATTAATCAAAGGCACAAGTGGAATAGTGGAATGAAACAAGATTTAAATGTCCCTTTCTGTCACAGAGCCAAACAGAAACAAACTCAACATCAAAGCTAGACGTGGGAGAAGACTCATAAAGCACTGCCAATGAATTTGCAGCCTTGTAATTACTTTTTTGGTGCTATGGACTGTACATTTCCTGTATGTCTTTTCATCTCTCTGTTCTTGCCTCCACAGCATAAGCTTTCCACTAAAGCTCTATATTTACACCCAAGGGAGCCATGTGGGAGGAGCGGGGCAAAGGTCAGGCCCCTTCTGCTGGACACTTGTGATCTGGCCCTGAAAAAGTCATTTTAAACACCAGCTACAAAGTGTGTCAGCAGTTTACGCACACTGCAAATAGAAAATGGAATGTGAAAGACGAGCTGTGGAGATGTGACTGTGAGGGGTGATGGGTAGTGGGGGGGTCCAATGGGTCCTCAGGAGTTAATAGTGTTCAGTGGGCCCTGTGGAGGAGTCACTATTTTTTATGTATTTATTTTAATGAGACAGGGACAGAGCACAATTTACATTAACTTTAACAAGAGATATGTACCAGGTTGTAGCACCAGTGCAAATTTCCACCTGTCATCTCTGGGCAGGCTAATGGATTGATTGTATTTATTTGTTCTTAGCTATCAACTGTTCTTCCTGGACACTTGTGTAGCATGTTTTGGGTTGATGGGGAAAACCGGAGCACCCAGAGGAAACCCATCCAGAAACAAGGAGAAACATGCTGGGTGACCTCGGAACCCTCTTGCTGTGAGGCATGAGTGCTAGCCACTCAGTCACCGTGCAGCCACTAGTACTGCACCCCATGGTGGAGTCACTAGCCTTCAGTGTGTAGTTTCAGTCCTGGTCTTTTTCAATGTGCATCCATGGCTCTCATTGTAGATCAAGGCGGTGGTGGAGTAGTGGCTGTGGTGGAGTAGAGGCTGTGGTGGAGTAGTGTCTGTGGTGGAGTAGAGGCTGTAGTGGAGTAGTGTCTGTGGTGGAGTAGAGGCTGTGGTGGAGTAGTGTCTGTGGCGGAGTAGAGGCTGTGGCGGAGTAGTGTCTGTGGCGGAGTAGAGGCTGTGGCGGAGTAGTGTCTGTGGTGGAGTAGAGGCTGTGGTGGAGTAGAGGCTGTGGTGGAGTAGAGGCTGTGGTGGAGTAGAGGCTGTGGTGGAGTAGAGGCTGTGGTGGAGTAGTGTCTGTGGTGGAGTAGTGTCTGTGGTGGAGTAGTGTCTGTGGTGGAGTAGAGGCTGTGGTGGAGTAGTGTCTGTGGTGGAGTAGAGGGTAGAGCAAAGGCTGTGGTGGCGTAGAGGGTGGAGTAGAGGGTGGAGTAGAGGGTGGAGTAGTGTCTGTGGTGAGCGCGGCGCAGAGGGGGTCTATGTTTAGAGGTGCACTCTGCTGATTGAATTGCATTGACTCAGCTGTGTGTGTCACTGCTACAGCGACTGACCGTTCACCCTGGTCCCACGGCTGCAGCAGACTGGATCACTGTACACAAGTCACAATCCACAACTGAAAGAGGATAGGACAAAACAAAGCATCAGCAGAGTAGCACAGGCAATGTACATAGTTATGCAGTAATATCAAAGCAACATTTCACAGTATCACTGTGGACAAACTGTGGAGTTGAGAGCTCCTGGGCACTATTGCAGTAGTTGAAATATGTAACAATGAGTGCAGTGAGGCACTCATAGAAAGGAACATGGGGCTTAGTAGCAGCTTTGGAAACAGAGACGAGATCTTAATGAAGAATGAAGAATCTTTAATGAATGAATTGAATTTGTTGCCTAGGCGACGAATGGTGCTCACAGAGTCAGACTGTACTTGGTTTTTCCTACTCAGCAAAAAGACACACAAAGTGAGATGCACCCAACGAAAATGGTAAAGTACATCTTAGGGCAATCCTGCAAAATGAAAGGCCTACTTTATGCACAGGCAAAGTTGGCTTCTGGTCCCTATCTGTTTAGACACATCTGGTCCCTGGTTAATGTAATCATTCTTAAGGGTCATCAGGGTGTTATCAGACACATTATTAGAAGTAGTTAATATAAACTCAGAGGCTCCCCACTCCTGACTACTGTGGCCTGCTCTGGGTGTTACCTTTGTGCTCCATCATACATTCACTGTTTATTGTTCTAATCCCATTTCACATAAAACAACCTTCTGCTGGATCCAGAGATCCTCTTGTTCAGTGTTGTTCTATTGTGTTTACGGGCTTTGGGGGCTTGTATGTCTGTTACTGGGAGGTCATGCTGGGAAGGCAGTCCTGGGGAAGGGTCCTGGGAGGGTCCCGGGGGAGGTAGACCTTATAAGGGTACAGGCCACACTCATGGATGGCTCAACAGCTGAGCCATCCATCATGCGCTCATGTAGCCTCCACAGTGCGACTCTACAGTGCCTTCTAGTGACAAAATAGAGAAGTTAGAGGAGTCGGACAGTTGTTGAATTGATCCCTGTGGAGAGCAGCAGAAAGCCCAAAAACTACCAGAAGATAACTTTTTCAGTCCAGGCACCCTCACCTCAAAGGGTGATCTCAAAGGGTCTCTTTGAGGACCTTTTGAGATCCCTTTGATTTGACTTATTAGCATTAGTTTAGATTTTAAATGTAGTTAATTGGTCCACTATCAGTCTAAGGCTTTTATTTTGAAGGCCGTGAGCGGATGTCATGGCGGAAGTGACGGCCTGCAGCAGGTGGTTGTTTACCTCGGAGTCGGACGTAAACGCGGATCGTGGAGTACCTGATCGTGGCCCACGATTGTCCGAGCAGCTCTCACAGGACAGGGCCGCTCCGCGTGGATGTGTGTGGCACATGTACGCGCTCAAGGCCACACGGAGCTACGCCGGGACAGTCAGGTCAGGTGAGTTGGGAGTACTGTTGGGAGTTGGGACAGTCTGTGACCTGATCCTGGGCGTGCGTCTGTCGTAACCACAGCAGCACAAAGCCATAATCCTGACGCACTGTCACCTGAAGCTCTCCACTCTCCTGCGCGCACTATGCGCTCCTGTACGCATGAGAGCGCAGGAGCGCACACTCCTGCGCTCTCATGCGTGGTACATAATCCTAAGAATGTATTATTATTACATTGTTTTGTTTTGTTTTTTTATTGTTATTGCGAAATTAATAATAGATGTGTGCTCTCTGTGTTCTCTCTCTCTGTTCTCTCTGTGCTCTCTCTCTCTGTGTTCTCTCTCTGTGTGCTCTCTCTCTGTGCTCTCTCTCTGTGTGTTCTCTCTCTCTGTGCTCTCTCTCTGTGTGTTCTCTCTCTGTGCTCTCTCTGTGTGCTCTCTCTCTCTGTGCTCTCTCTCTGTGTGCTCTCTCTGTGCTCTCTCTCTGTGCTCTCTCTGTGTGCTCTCTCTCTGTGCTCTCTCTCTGTGTGCTCTCTCTCTGTGCTCTCTCCCTGTGTGTTCTCTCTGTGTGCTCTCTCTCTGTGTGCTCTCTCTCTGTGCTCTCTCTCTCTGTGCTCTCTCTGTGTGCTCTCTCTCTGTGCTCTCTCTCTCTGTGCTCTCTTTGTGTGTTCTCTCTCTGTGCTCTCTCTCTGTGTGCTCTCTCTCTGTGCTCTCTTTCTGTGTGTTTTCTCTCTGTGCTCTCTCTCTGTGTGTTCTCTCTCTGTGCTCTCTCTGTGTGCTCTCTCTCTCTGTTCTCTCTCTGTGCTCTCTCTGTGTGCTCTCTCTCTCTGTGCTCTCTCTGTGCTCTCTCTCTGTGCTCTCTCTCTCTGTGCTCTCTTTGTGTGTTCTCTCTCTGTGCTCTCTCTCTGTGTGTTCTCTCTCTGTGCTCTCTCTCTGTGTGCTCTCTCTCTCTGTGTGTTCTCTCTCTGTGCGCTCTCTCTGTGCTCTCTCTGTGCTCTCTCTGTGTGCTCTCTCTCTGTGCTCTCTCTCTGTGTGCTCTCTCTGTGTGCTCTCTCTCTGTGTGTTCTCTCTCTGTGCGCTCTCTCTGTGCTCTCTCTGTGTGCTCTCTCTCTCTGCTCTCTCTCTGTGTGCTCTCTCTGTGTGCTCTCTCCGTGCTCTCTCTCTCTGTGCTCTCTCTGTGTGCTCTCTCTGTGTGCTCTCTCTCTGTGCTCTCTCTCTCTGCTCTCTCTCTGCTCTCTCTGTGCTCTCTCTGTGTGCTCTCTCTCTGCTCTCTCTCTGCTCTCTCTGTGCTCTCTCTGTGTGCTCTCTCTGTGTGTTCTCTCTCTGTGCTCTCTCTCTCTGCTCTCTCTGTGCTCTCTCTGTGTGCTCTCTCTGTGCTCTCTCTCTCTGCTCTCTCTGTGCTCTCTCTGTGTGCTCTCTCTGTGCTCTCTCTCTCTGCTCTCTCTGTGCTCTCTCTGTGTGCTCTCTCTGTGCTCTCTCTGTGTGCTCTCTCTGTGTTCTCTCTCTCTGCTCTCTCTGTGCTCTCTCTGTGCTCTCTCTGTGCTCTCTCTCTCTGCTCTCTCTGTGCTCTCTCTGTGTGCTCTCTCTGTGCTCTCTCTCTGCTCTCTCTGTGCTCTCTCTGTGTGCTCTCTCTGTGCTCTCTCTCTCTGCTCTCTCTGTGCTCTCTCTGTGTGCTCTCTCTGTGCTCTCTCTGTGTGCTCTCTCTGTGTTCTCTCTCTCTGCTCTCTCTGTGTGCTCTCTCTGTGCTCTCTCTCTCTGCTCTCTCTGTGCTCTCTCTGTGTGCTCTCTCTGTGTTCTCTCTCTGTGCTCTCTCTGTGCTCTCTCTCTCTTTGCTCTCTCTCTCTCTGTGCTCTCTGTCCTTACATACTCTGCGCTCGACTCCTCCATTTGGCTCTTCCTCTCATCTGCCTCGGAGCACTTGAGATTGCCCACAATGCACTGCAACTTCATTTTTACAAACTTTATTTAAGCAGTAAAGTGTATTTTAATAAAATTAAAGAAGTAAATAGTTTTTGCTGTTTTAGCTACATTACTTCAGATAACGCTTTTATTAGATCAAATTATTTCATATCAGGATCCATGCAGCATATTGGGCAGAATCTTTTTAAAACAGGCTATGCATTTCTTCAGGCTGTGCATTTATTTATTTAATGATCAGCCTAAAACACTTATAACAGATGATTCACTCAGCCTTTATTATTCATGCTTTAATGCACATGGACGCATAAAAACACTTTATATTTGTAGAGGCATTGATGTTTATTAAAACTTATTGCGTCTGATCAGGTCATGTGACAGGTCAGTTGCCTCCCAGGAGCTGTGAGCGTTGGCTTAGCATTAGGAGTGTTGCAAAGTGGTCTTTGGAGGAAGGATCCTGGGAATTGAGAAACACTCTGTGATAGTGTTGTCCAGTTCCACCTGCCTATGTTGTAGGGAGCATTATCCCTCTGATGAGTAGGACCAAGAGCTGCAGTGTGTGCCCTCAGTACAGCACAGAAATGGAATTGCTCTAACAGCAGGTTGAATTTTATAATAACAAAAATCAGACACACAAGGAGAAGGAACTCCTCCACTGAACGATCTAGTGTGACTAATAATGTCTACAATGTTATAACATTGTCCCCTCATCAAAAACATGTGTGAAGAGAGATTTCAGAGGTTCCCCATGCTCCCACATGACAATTCTCAATAAATATAGAAAAACATGACACAAAACTGTACCCAGCAACTAGACAAACCTGATGCGATGTACAGGCGGAGTGACTTAACACAGAGAGCAAAGGCAGGGGAGACTCGGAAAGTCTAAAAAGAAAGTGAAACTTATTAAACATGTTAATACATTGGTTTTGGCGAAAATGGCACTTTCAAATAATAAAATGTAACATGGTGATTAAAACCTCATAGACCCCATCTTTAACTCAAGATGTGTTATGAGTAACATAAAAAGAGAATGTATTTGTCTCATGCAATGGCAGCACTGTATGTTCCGTAGACAGTGTTGGGAAGTAACTGAATACATGTACTGAGAATACATAGTCTGAATACTCATTTTGTGTAACTGTATCCCAGTACAGTTACATTTGACAGTATTCAAAATACAGTTAATTTGTGTCGGCTTCAAACTGCACACGGTCGGTGAGAAAAAACAACGCTCCTATAGTAAGTGCATGTGTTTTTCCATCTCCAATTTGTGATAGGAAATGCATAACAGTGAAACCAATAGAAAGCTGTTTTTTAATGCTATGTTGCATTTAAATGCACCTGAATGTAATGGAAGTAATAATAATATTAATAAGTTTAATAAGTATTCAGAATACATTACATTCAGATTGGACCATGTATCGGAACGCTTCACAAAAGACATTTGAATGCAGGTATTTTGAACTGATCCTAAATACAGACGTGGATAAAATTGTCGGTACCCCTCTGGAAAGAAAAGAAAAATCACTGAAATAAATTGACACTATTAAATGTGAACTTGAAGGGCGAGGAACATCAGCGTCAGATCACACCATCCATCACTGTTTCAACCAAAGTGCAGTTCATGTGAGGACACCACTGTTGAGAAAATCATAAAAAAGTGAGACTGGAATTTGTCACAATGCATATTAACAAGTCACAAAGCTTCTGGGAGAATGTCCTTTAGACAGATGAGGCAAAACTGAAGCTCTTTGGCAAGACACATCAGCTCTATGTTCACAGATGCAAAAATGAAACAGACCAAGAAAAGACCACTGTCCCTACTGTGAAACATGGAGGAGACTTGGTTTTGTTCTGGGGCTGTTTTGCTGCATCTGGCACAGGGTGTCTTGAATCTGTGCAGGGTACAACGAAATCTGAAAACTATCAAGGTATTTTGGACCAAAATGTGTTGCCTAGTGTCAGAAAGCTTGATCTCAGTTGTAGATCATGGTTCTTCAAACAGGATAATGGCCCAAAACACACAACTAAAAACACACAAGAATGATTAAGAACAAACACTGGACTGTTCTGGAGTGTTCTTCTGTGAGCCCAGATCTCAATTCTCTTGAACATCTGTGAAAGGAGCTGAAACATGCTGTCTGGAGAAGGAAGCCTTCAAACCTGAGACAACTAGAGCAGTTTGCTCACATGTAGTGGGTCAAAATACCTGTTGACCAGAGCAGAAGTCTCATTGACAGTTACAGAAATCATTTGTTTGCAGAGTTTGCATCAAAAGGTTGTGCAACAAAATATTAAGTTAAGGGAACCATAATTTTTGTCCAGGCCAGTTTCATTATTTTTTATTATTGCTTTTATCAGTTTCAAGTTATTTCAGTGATGATTGTCGATTTTTCTTTCATTGTCAGAGGGAACCAACAGTTTTGTCCACGACTGTACATTTTCATCTATTCTTCCCATCACTGCTTGTAGGTCAGCAGGAGCCATGTTGTCTGCAGACGACATCTTGAGCAGCACACAGCAGGTTATGGCAGGGCTGGAGGCACTCCGAGGGGAAAACCACAGCCTGCTCCTGAACCTCCAGCAGACTCTGGAGAGCCAGTTGTGCCAGGACAGCAGTGTGGAGCAGGAGAAGAGCCACATGGTACAACAGTCTCTGGAGAGGATCGAGCTGGGGCTGAGCGAGGCACAGGTAGGACACACGTCTACTGCCTGCCTACCTGGTGCTGTCACAATATTAAAACTTCAAACTTTCAGTTTCACTTTTCAGTTTCAACACTCAGATAAAGAATGTGATTTTCAACATAAAATGTTAGTAATTTATCATGTGGCTTTATATCTGTGTAATCCAGGTAGGGAGGTTCCATAGTGGTCCATGGGTGTCTACTAATTTATGTGGTTTTAAAATCATTTTAAAGCTATTCAGGGAAGATTCATTTCTGTCCTGTCAATGTGACTTTTTAGGAACAAAACCGGCTCAAATGAGAATCTAGTTTCAATACCAGTTTTAGTATTGATCAGTATCTGATATTTTGACAACCCTATGCAAACCTCCTGTGCTTTCTTCATTTCTGTGTTGTTGAGGCTTCCAGCATAATTCTGTATCATTAAATAAATCATATTCCATTTTTGCATTGTAAAGCCATGTACACATACAAAAGCGCCAAGTCGTGCCAGAGCCAAAGCCAAAGATGGATGAACTAGGTCTAAGCGTGAGATTGGTGTTAGATCGTGGATGGTCCCGGTCTGTGGTCTTGTTTACCCTTATTTAACATGAAGCAGTTGGAGGCGGTTGGTTTACTGAGGCTGGAAACTTTTACTGAGGAAAAGCCTCACTGTTTCTGGCTCAGCAGTGCCGCGGAACACTCTGCCCAGTTTTTGATTGGCTAGAGCCCTGTCCTCCGCTCACTCTGCACTCAACCAAAGACAGTCCTGCCCATTTGCAGGATAATCTCCATGTTTTGTAGATCAAACATTCTTCTATATGTGTGGAAATCCTGGAGCAGAATCCAAAGTTTATGGACCTGATGGAATTAAATGAAAAGTGAAAATTCTCGGCGCACATGATGCAGAGAACACACTGGATGAAATGGCCCTATTGTGGATATAAACTGATGTTTTCTTCTTTAGAGATATGGTAAGTCACGCATCTTTTGTTCCTTTAGCCTTTGTTTTTGCCTGAAAACATTTTTTGTTAGAATGGAGTTCTTATAAACACGATTTTTGAATATAGGAGTAAAACTGTTTGACTTAAAAATTTGAGCCCTCGCAAGGTGAAAAATTACTGCTTTTTTTTTCTTTCTTTTTTTATTAATTTCAATTCTCATTTAATTTTTGTAGCTGCAGGAATTTTGAAATTTGAGGCCCATAAATGTTATAGGGAAACCTATATTAGATTGGCTATATGCTTGGGGAAAGATGCGAAAAGACTAAAGAGGTCACAAAGATGGTTAGCCTGTTAAACGTCTATCATTGCACATGTTACAGCTCAGAGTTTCATTGACAACCAGGGACTTTTTACTTGGCATTTTAAAAATTTGACACATAGCATCTAAGTTAGCGCAGAATCATCTGTTTAAAGTTAGGCTGCGTGATTGATGCGTGATCCAATAAGGCCTGTAGGAATTACACCGTATATATACTTGGAGCATGTTGGATGCTCCTTTGGGCTGTAGCAGTTTAACCGCGTGTCAATGTGCCTCTACATAGAGTTAATATGGGAATTGTGCTTTATACTTGTGTAATTTGCATGTGCCGCATCCCGTGTATGTACTTTAATGGTGAGAAAAGGTTAACCAGATTTGTCTTTACCAAGGACACCATGCAAGTCTTGAATCAAGTACACCATATTAAACTGTGCGAGGGTACATGCTAGCAGTGCAAAAAAAAGTACTGAAAATACTCAAGAAATAGTACAGTTACATGGCTAGTCATTTACTTGAGTGAAAGTATCAAGTGTATAATGTGTTCACATGCCGGCAGTAAGTCTGTGTATGTTCCCAGTGCATGTTGGACTGCACCAGGGCTGTCCTCTGTCACCGCTTCTGTTCATTGTTATTATGGACACTATTTCTAGGCGCAGTCATGGGTCGGAGGGGGTCAGGTGTGGATTTCATCTCTGCTGTTTGCAGATGTTGTTGTCCTGATGGATTCATGGAACCAGGACCTGCAAAATGCACTGGGGCCAGGTCTGAGGTAATGGCCGAAAGAAGAAGATCGTGGATACAAGTGGTTGAAATGAGTTTCTTCTGCAAAGTGACTGGATGCTCCCTTAGAGATAGGGTGAGGAGCTCAGTCACACAGGAGGTGCGCTGAGCAGAGCCACTGCTCCTCCACATGGAGAGAAGCAGCTGAGGGGAGGGCATCTGTGTTGGATGCCTCCTCGATATCTGCCTGGGGAGGTGTTTGCTCCACCGGTAGGTAGACCCAGGACACGCTGGAGAGACTATGTATGGGTTTGCCTGGGAATGCCTTGGGATCCCCCTGGAAGAGCTGGAGCTGTAGTGTGCATGGAGAGGGAAGTCTGGGCCTCCCTGCTCAGACTACTGACCCCGCGACCCGGCCCCGGATAAGCAGAAGAAAATGGATGGATAAAACTATAAAGTATACATGAAACATACTACTCAGACTATTAGTTCCTTTTTAACACAATTTTAGAAGCACTTTAAATCACGCTTTTGTACAAAACTTGATCAGTCAAGCAGTGTGAAACTGAATTTAGTTGTCTTACACTGCATGAAATATTAAACCACATATTCTCTGAACTCTGGCCCATCAGAGTACTGTTATGTGAATATGGAAAGAGCCAGAGACAGCCGTCACACAACCATGGATTGGGACAATACAACTGTACGGCTTATGCAGGACATTTACATTACATACATTACACAATTACCCCAAATATCTACTCAATTGCAGTAAACTGAGTATTTGTTATTAGTTACTTTCAACCCATAGACGCTAGGCTGAGCTGAGACAACATTCTGACTGCCCATAAATTTGTACTGAGGCACACAGCACAAAATCAGAAGAACCTTCCTTTAAAATACAGTTTAGACTGTAAAGCTCCTATTACACAAAATGAATTCTTGTGAGCTTTAAGCCATGTTATAATGTTGTTATAACGTTCTCAAAATACCTTGAGTTGTGTGTTTGATTCACACATGTGTGGGTAACCCTTTATTATTAGTCTGTCTACATCTCCAAAGCTCAAAATGCTTTGTTCCACCTTGTGATGTCATGAAGTGGTAGTTTTCAAGTTAACCAAGTTAACAGATCCTTTTACCTTTAGTTCAGTAAAGATTAGCAATTCTAAAAACACAGTGGAGCACTTGATGTATTACCACATCACAAGGTGGGATAGTGTGGAAAGTGTTTTGTGTTTGAGAGATGAACTCAGGCTAAATGTGCAGGGTTTGTGTGTTAAACATGTGTGAATGAAATGAAACACAACTCCAGGTCTGTTTTTGATAAGGAAACAACATTAGACCATAGATGAAAAAATTTTGTAATATGCCTCCTTTATGCTTTACATTGGGGAGGCATTATCCCTTAGAACCTTAAGCCTTAGCATGAATAATTCTAATAAATGATTGAGAATCACCGGCCAATTTAAAAAAAATTGATGGACAGGCCCTGATATGGGGACATTACAAGGTGATGGTGATGTGTGTAACAGGCTGTGTGTGTGTGTGTCTTCAGATGGTGATGTGTTTAACAGGCTGTGTGTGTGTCTTCAGACGATGTGTGTAACAGGCTGTGTGTGTGTCTTCAGATGGTGATGTGTGTAATAGGCTGTGTGTATGTCATCAGATGATGTGTGTAATAGGCTGTGTGTATGTCTTCAGATGATGTGTGTAACAGGCTGTGTGTCTTCAGATGGTGATGGCTTTGTCGGCTCACTTGAATTCTGTGGAGGCTGAGAAACAGAAGCTGAGAGCTCAGGTGAGGCAACAGCACAAGTCAGGTGTGAGTTTTAAGCACTTGGGTTTGGAAGTGATGCAAACACACATATTGCTTATCAGGAGACCACCATGGGTACATTTGTGGTCTATCCTTTAATACCCACTGCTGTTCAAATTTGTGTCTAAGTTAAGGGAATTGAATTTTACTGGGCTGATCAAAATGGTAAAGCCCAGTCAGTTATAAACTCCAGCCATTTGTTCTTTCAAAGCTCAGCACAGTAAAAAGGCATAATAGGCACATGAAATGGGCTATGTACACTGATATTGGAACTATAGTAACAGCCTTTGCCAGTTTATGTGTCCGTCCCTCCTCCCCACACACATGCACATTTTGTTGAAGCCTAAAAGAAAACAAACTTGACTGTCTTGACTTGATTGTCATGACCTTATCTTGACTTGGCAAGATGAGGTCTAAATAGGCCGGGAGCCAGGTCCACCCCTCAGGATGTTTTTTCCTACCTTTTTTTCACTATTATTTCCTGTTATATTATATCTTGGGCCATAACGAGTTGATAGGGACCAACCCCAACTTGGCCCCGTTTGGTCTCAGGGCCCAAAAAACACACTTTTTAAGAAAAGCTATTTGCGAAATTATGTAATTGTAAATATTAAGGTACTGAAACCGCATACATGGTCAAATAACCCTAAAATTTGGCATGGTGTATCCTGACACATGGGGGAAACTAGCAGAAAAATATTTTGGGGCTTGCTGCCTTTTTACTGTCAAATATCACCCTCAACATATCCTAAAAGACCAAAAAAATGTCTGTCCGCCTGACAAATTGTCATCAAAATTGATCATTTTCAAGCATTTTATTGCATTTATCACTGCCTCAAATGTACATGAAAAACTTCCCATGTTCATAAGCTTCAATTTAAGCCCAAGATGACCTTTGTATCTAGAGGGAAACTGCTATGACCAAAGTTCGTCACTGTACCTCAAATCGGCAGGAGGCAGAACTTTCAGGCTTTACCATTACTTATGGGAATAAGCAGGATTTTTTTTATAGAAACAATATTTGAAAAGAGTTGACTTATGTACTGCTGTACTATATGAAGTGAATTACATTAAAAGTGAATAATATTCATTACATTAATAGTGAATAATATTAAAACTCATGGTCAGAGTGCAAGATAAAACTATGGTAACCAGGTTACACATACAAACACACACAACCCACACACAACCAACCAACATCCTGACCCTTCATGCAACATCCCATCAGAAGTTATTTTCCAAAGACAATTGTGAGAGACGCTGATCATTTTTTCTGGTTATAAGAAGAGATTGAGTCTATTGGGAGATTGGTGTCCTTTTATAGGCGTCCATGACTTCTAGACTGAACATGAACTATTGTCAGATTGTGAGATAACAACCAACCAAAGTAGATGTGGGAGACAAAGTATGGTGTGTGTACGTGTGCGTGTGTGTGTGTGTGCGTGTGTGTGCGTGCACATGTCTGTGCGTGTGTCTGTGTGTGCGTGTGTGTGCGTGCACATGTCTGTGCCTGATTTCATCAATAAGATCAGTTAAGTTTCTGTTTGAGGCTAAACTTCAATGAAATTGGAAACATTGGGTCTCAGTTCTTGTATATTTACACATTGTATACTGCACATTATTTCATTGTTGTAATGAATACACTGATTTTCAGATGGGTGTAATGCAACAATATACTATTGAAAGCAGACAACATGCCAAAGAAACAACAAAATGATGAACTGGACAGCTGGTCAGAGTTCTTCAAAGCAGAAACCTCCACCTCAGCATCTCTGCAAAACTACAGCCTGCATAGTTACAAGGGACAGTAAATGATAGGTTCATACTTTTGTCTTCTAAGACTGATCCAATGAGTGCATTTACTGTTTTTCCAAAATGCTAACCGTGCTTTAAGCAATTGGTTGGTTCAGTTCTCGGCCCCCTCCTCTTCATACTCTACATCAGGTGTCTCCAACCTGTAGCTTAGGAGCTACCAGTAGTTCTCCACCCCATTTCAAATAGCTCACCAAGGTATTGTTGAATTATATGTATTGTGCTGAATAAGTACAATTTGATTAATTACCATTGTAAATCTACAATATTAATGGCCAGTTTTGTGCACTAATAAATGAATAATGGTTTATATGTCATCTATCTAACTGTCCCTAATCTAAGGCTGTGGCTCTTATATTTACTACATTTCTTGCAACTGTTAAAATAAGTAGCTCTTTGGCATTTTTGTTTTGTAAAGGCTCACCAGAGAAAAAAGGTTGGAGACCCTTTCTGTTCATCCTCCCCCCTGGGTCATAATAATCCTTCCCCACAGCCTCCAGTTCCATTGCTTTGCAGATGACATGGACTCTGCCTGTTCACCAAATCCATAACCCCAGCCACACATTCCACCCTCACAAACTGCATCTCCAAAATAAAGTCAAACTTCCTCCAACTCAGCTGCTACAAAACAGAAATAATCATTGGCCCCAAAAACACTCGCCAAAACCCACAATAACTTCACCCTCTCCATTGACGACTCCTCAGTCTCCTCCTCCTCACACCTCTGTAACCTTGGTATCTTTGACCAGACCCCATCTTTTGAACACCACATCAAACACATCACCAAAACTGCCTTCTGTCACCTCCAGGACATTGCTCGCCTCCACCCATCCCTTTCCCCTCAGTCTGCTGAAACCTTCATCCACGCCTTTGTCACCTCCCGCCTTGACTGCTGCAATCGCTGCTCTACGGTTCACCTTCCAAACTCCTCAACAGACTCCAGTACATCCAGAACTCTGCTGCCCGCCTCCGCACCTGCACCTCTCCTCCCATGAACACATCACCCCTGTCCTCAGAGATCTTCACTGGCTCCCCATCCTTCAGAGCATCCAATTCAAACTCCTCACCACTGTGTACAAGTCCCTCCATAATCTGGCCTCCACCTGCTTCTCTGAGCTCCTCCACCACCACACCCCAACCCATGTCCTCTGATCAGCTGACGCCAACCTCCTGTGTCCCCCCAGCAGGACGAAACATAAGACCTGGGGGGACAGGGTCTTCTCCACTGCTGCCCCCACCCTCTGGAACTCCCTCCCCAAACACATCAGAGACTCATCCACACTCCCCATGTTTAAAAAAAAAAAGCCCTAAAAACCATCTCTTTAAAACCCGTCCATCCATCCATCCATTTTCTTCCGCTTATCCGGGGTTGGGTCGCGGGGGCAGCAGCCTAAGCAGGGACTCCCAGACTTCCCCCACCCCAGACATGTCCTCCAGCTCCTCCGGGGGGACCCCGAGGCGTTCCCAGGCCAACCCAGAGACACAGTCCGTCCAGCGTGTCCTGGGTCTTCCCCGGGGCCTCCTCCCGGTGGGACATGCCCAGAACACCTCCCGAGGGAGGCGTCCAGGAGGCATCCGGAACAGATGCCCGAGCCACCTCAGCTGGCTCCTCTTGATGTGGAGGAGCAGCGGCTCTACTCCGAGCTCCTCCTGTGTGACTGAGCTCCTCACCCTATCTCTAAGGGAGCGCCCAGTCACCCTGCGAAGGAAACTCATTTCGAGCGCTTGTATCCGCGATCTCGTCCTTTCGGTCACTACCCAGAGCTCATGACCATAGGTGAGAGTAGGAACGAAGACTGACCGGTAAATCGAGAGCTTCGCCTTTCGGCTCAGCTCCTCTTCACCACAACGGTCCGATACAGCGACCGCATCACTGCCGAAGCTGCACCGATCCGCCTGTCAATCTCACGCTCCATCCTCCCCTCACTCGTGAACAAGACCTCTTTAAAACCACCTTTAATAATAATAATAATAATAATAATAATAATAATAATAATATGTGTCAAGCAGAGAATGTCTCCATGAGACAGAAACGTGAGTCTGACACTTCAGCTGCAGAGTCTGAAACAGCTACAAAGAAGGCACTGATCAGTAAAGCTTTTAGTTGGGTGCATGACCAGTTATGGAAAAGGGTCAGGTTGTTAAACTTGCTCATCTCACAGCTTTGTGTAATGAAACCTTAACAGAATTCAGAGAAGCGGCTGTTGCTGACATCACTAGTCATAACCTCAGACAAAAAATGGTCAGACTGTGCTTGTGTTACCATGTACTGTTTGTGACAACATTCATGAAACTTGCCTCCTTGGCAAAAAGATCAACTCCTCTGATTGTGCACAGCAGGTCTTCATCACTGAGTTCCAGAGCTTTTTCTCTACATTTTTGTATACACTTGATTGGAAGCTATATCTCTTGCCGGACACTTACTTCACTGCACTACTACTGCAAAATATGCAATAACTCCTGAACAAAACTAAAGAATCCACAAGCTCACGTTTCTGTCTCATTGAGAAATTGTCTTGACACTTGCTTAAAGCATTGTTAGCATTTTGGAAAAAACATGTGTTGGCAGCTTTTATGGTAGTCATAATCCAAAGACATCAGTAACTGATTCAACAACATCTTGCTAACCAGCACAATCAAATGTTTGTGTGTGAAGTTTCTTTTTTATATCATGGATCGCAGTAAATGCACTCAGTGGATCAGTCTTAGAAGACAAAAGTATGAACCTATCATTTACTGTCTCCTTGTAACTATGCAGGCTGTAGTTTTGCAGAGATGCTGAGGTGGAGGTTTCTGCTTTGAAGAACTCTGACCAGCTGTCCAGTTCATCATTTTGTTGTTTCTTTGGCATGTTGTCTGCTTTCAATAGTATATTGTTGCATTACACCCATCTGAAACTCAGTGTATTCATTACAACAATGAAATAATGTGCAGTATTCAATGTGTAAATATACAAGAACTGAGACCCAATGTTTCCAATTTCATTGAAGTTTAGCCTCAAACAGAAACTTAACTGATCTTATTGATGAAATCAGGCACAGACATGTGCATGCACACACAGGCAGACATGTGCATGCACACACACGCACAGACATGTGCACGCACACACACGCACACACACGCACACGTACACACACCATACTTTGTCTCCCACATCTACTTTGGTTGGTTGTTATCTCACAATCTGATAATAGTTCATGTTCAGTCTAGAAGTCATGGACGCCTATAAAAGGACACCAATCTCCCAATAGACTCAGTTTCTTTATAACCAGAAAAAATGATCAGCGTCTCTCACAATTGTCTTTGGAAAATAACTTCTGATGGGATGTTGTGTTCTGTGTGGGTTGTGTGTGTTTGTATGTGTAACCTGGTTACCATAGTTTTATCTTGCACTCTGACCTTGAGTTTTAATATTATTCACTATTAATGTAATGAATATTATTCACTTTTAATGTAATTCACTTCATATAGTACAGCAGTACATAAGTCAACTCTTTTCAAATATTGTTTCTATAAAAAAAATCCTGCTTATTCCCATAAGTAATGGTAAAGCCTGAAAGTTCTGCCTCCTGCCGATTTCAGGTACAGTGAAGATCTTTGGTCATAGCAGCTGTTTCCCTCTAGATACAAAGGTCATCTTGGGCTTAAATTGAAGCTTATGAACATGGGAAGTTTTTTATGTACATTTGAGGCAGTGATATATGCAATAAAATGCTTGAAAATGATCACTTTTGATGACAATTTGTCAGGCGGACAGACATTTTTTGGTCTTTTAGGATATGTTTAGGGTGATATTTGACAGTAGAAAGGCAACAAGCCCCAAAATATTTTTCTGCTAGTTTCCCCCATGTGTCAGGATACACCATGCCAAATTTTAGGGTTATTTGACCATATATGCGGTTTCAGTACCTTAATATTTACAGTTACATAATTTCGCAAATAGCTTTTCTTAAAAAGTGTGTTTTTTGGGCCCTGAGACCAAACGGGGCCGAGTTGGGGTTGGTCCCTATCAACTCGTTATGGCCCAAGATATAATATAACAGGAAATAATAGTGAAAAAAAGGTAGGAAAAAACATCCTGAGGGGTGGACCTGGCTCCCGGCCTAAAACAGCAGATTTAAGGCTCTACACCTGACCGTCTAAGGTGTTACAGTGGGTGTTTGGCAGGTGCGGCGGCTGTGCCAGGAGAACCAGTGGCTGCGGGACGAGGTGGCAGGTGCACAGCAGAAGCTCCAGGAGCGAGAGCAGGAGGTGGTCAGTCTAGAGGAGCACAACCGCCACCTGCTCTTCATGTCTTCCATCCGCAAGTACGACCAGGACCAAGAGGAAGCGCTGGTGAGAAAGCACAGTCTATTTGCCCTGCACAGCCCATGTGTCATGTGCATGTCATGTTCTAGGAGGATAAAGGCATGTGCTGCACAGGAGGGAGCCTGGAGGACCTGTTTCCTGAGGACCAGGAGCCTCATGGTGAGCCATTTTGCTCTCGTTTGTCTGATGTCTACAACATTGAACACTTACCTGAGGTCACGATTTGGTTTGTTTGGGTTTTGTGTAGAATGAGCCCAGCCTCTGCCTGTTGTGAGTTGTAGAGTCAGTACAGTCTGAGGCCCTCTCTAAACTCTGCTCTTCTGTCTGCGAATGCTGTGGCTCCGTTGGCAGCCATCCACAGGGGCCCCAGCAGTGCAGAGGTGGCAGCTCAGCAGGGGGGCTATGAGATCCCAGCCCGCCTGCGCACACTGCATAACCTGGTGATCCAGTACGCCTCTCAGGGACGCTACGAGGTGGCCGTGCCTCTCTGCAAGCAGGTGTAGCACACAGCTATATGTCCCACTGCTCCACACACACGCGCACACACATGCACACACGCGCGCGTACACACACACACGTGCGCACGCGCGCACGCACACACACACGTGCGCACGCGCGCACGCACACACACACGTGCGCGCGCGCACGCACACACACACACACACACACCTTCTACTGTGCCACACACACACAAATCCTACTGCTCCACACACACACACACACAAATACTACTGCTCCACACACACGCACACACACACACACACATACACACACACACACTCACATTCATAAAAGACTCTAAACAAACATGTTAAGTGAGCACCCCCATTGAACTTAACACCCCCACTGAGCCCTTAGCTCCTCCAACCAAAAATGTCTGGCACTGCCTTTGTTTCCCACACGTCTCACGCTTGAGTGACTCTGGTGTCTTCTGAGCAGGCGCTGGAGGACCTGGAGAAGTCTTCTGGACACAACCACCCGGACGTGGCCACCATGTTGAACATCCTGGCTTTGGTGTACAGGTGTGTGCTCTCTGCAGTCTGGTCCTCCTGTTTACACTGGGTTTCATCGATATTAGGGCTCTAAAGTTAGCATGTAAACTCATGTGACTAAGAGACATTAGATGAGTGGGCCACTGTAATACACCTGAAGCTCTTTGGGTGTCTGATGTAAATGAGACCTGTGACCTTTCTCTCCAGGGACCAGAACAAATACAAGGAAGCAGCCAACCTTCTGAACGACGCACTGGCGATCCGAGAGAAGACCCTGGGACCGGACCACCCTGCGGTAGGTCCTGTGCTGGTGGTGTATGGAGGACCACCAGAACCAAGCTAGAAAAGAGAGATTTAATTAAAGGAGTCTTTAAGACAGGTTATTCATTAAATGAATTGGTAAAGGCTTTTATTAAAGCAGCTTTTAAAACATGATCTGTGAAATTATTTTATTAAAACAATATGAACAGAACCTTTAATAAATGTAATGAAATGAAATACTTTCAGTAATAGTTCTGAACTGATTTGACTATAGGTTCATTCCATGCCAAATGGCCCACACAAAATTCTATGTTCCTGGTGCCTCTGGTGGTGTGTACTTGCATCCTGAGGCTCTGGAGCTGTTTTATTGTCACATATAACATTTCCCCACACTCCGCTTTGATGCCTGGTAATAAGGCAAAGATTGCAGACTTTACCCACACTGGCAGTGCTTTTAAATTCCACAGTGGTCACAGGTTGGTTCAGATGCCATCAGCATGTGCACTTGTACCGTCCCACTCCAGCCTCCAGCAGCGAAGTACAGCCCCACCTAGACACACTCACTTGATCTTAGCACTAAAGACTGGGGGCGAGATCGGGCCCTGCATGTTAAAAATGGAAAAAAATACATTTGGTGCTATCTTTAGCATCTTATACCAAAACATGACAGCACCCACCAACATAAAATGGACTGTTTTAGAAAGATTAGATGTTTTTTTAACATATCTGTAAGCGCCATTTCATAAGGTTTACATATTTGCATATAATTAACAATTCATAATAATTCATTTGTATTTTTGTTTAAAAGGCACTGTAGTATGTTTCGGTACATGATTTATGTTTGATTTAAAAGAAATGGTAAAACAACCGTGCTGCTCCAGTCATCTCTTCTCTTTTTCTTTTCTCAACGACATCAAGTTGTAAACGCGTAAGACAGGCTCATTAATCATCCTTCTTGTGAAGAGGTTAAATTAGTAGCAAGGAGAAAACGAGTCAAAGATTAGCCTCTACAATATACAAAATTTGTGATGGTGTTCTGCCTTATTTTTGCAAAATGGATTTTTGAAAATGTGGTGTCTGCATACATGCAGAGCATTCATGGACTATGAAGGCACTTTCAAAACTAAGAAAACAATATTTGACACACAGCTTAAACTCAACAAAATGTTTTTATTTGATTCCTCAACTATTGTAAATTATCTAAACTCATTGAGGAAACCAACTGATGTGCTGGTGTGACTCTCCTGAATTGTATATAAGCATCCTGTTGTAGTGCTAGGAACATCTATTTTAGAAGTGATGTGCTGTAAAGGTGCCCGGCAACAGTCTATGGAAGCCCTGTGCTGCAAGTGTAAATGGTCACATTTTTCTATAGTGCTTTTCCACCTCCAAGGCACTCAAAGTGCTTTACAAGAAGGACCCACTCACCCATTCACACACCAGTGTACGCAGACACTGTGGGCAAGGTGGGTTAAGTGTCTTGCCCAAGGACACAACAACAGCATTCATCTGTGGGAGCTGGAATCACATCAGCCAACCTGTGAGTCAATGGATCTGACCACTCAACCTGTGATGTTGCTGTGATGACTCAACCTGCCACCCTATATAGGATAGGATAGGATGTAAACAAAATTATAATAATAAAATAATATATATATTTTTGGGCATATTATCTTGTTATTTCAAGATATTATCTCATTATTTTGAGATATTCCATGAATGTAAAAAAAAAAAAAATCCTTAAAATTTATTTTTGTTTGTTTTTTTGAGATATTATCTTGAAATAACAAGATCATATCTTTAAAAAAAAAATAAATAAGAAAAATATTAATATTATTAATATAAGTATTAATACAATAGTTAGTTAGTAGTTGGGTTTTTTTTTTCTGTTTTTTTTTATTTACACTTGCAGCACAGGGCTTCCGTAGACTGTTGCTGGGCACCTTTACAACACATCATTTCTAAAATAGATGTTCCTGGCACTACAACAGGACGTCTATATACAATTCAGGAGTGTCACACCAAAACATCTGTTGGTTTCCTCAAAGAGATTAGATAATTTACATTAGTTAAGTAATCAAATCAAGCATTTTGTTGAGTTTAAGCTGTGTGTCAAATATTCAGAGTGTTTTTCTTAGCTTCTGAAAGTGCCTTCATAGGCCATGAATGCTCTGCATGTATGCGGACACCACATTTTCTTCACAGACGGTCAGTTTTCATCACAGAGGGTCAATTTTAAAATACAAAGTCCACAGTGGCATGTGTGGGAAGGTGTATGTTCAATATGAAAGTTCTGTCTTTGAAATTGCACTTTCCACAGTCCTTCAAAGATGCCCTGATATTTGAAGAGTAAATTTTTCTAACAAATTCAGGCCCCCAGAAATCTGTGATAAACCAAAAAGCACAGTCCAGATTCTACAAGTACATTTGGCAAATTTTAACCCATGAAAATTTGAAGGACTTACCTTAAATAGTTTTTTAGATACAGCAATCTGAAAGTGGCTCCTCGGAAAACTCTGCTCAAAACGGGTCAGGGGGGAGTTGACAAAATATTTTTTAATGACAAAACTATAAGGGGTTGGGAGCTAAAATTTTGAACTTTTGCTATTGGAAAGTTTGTGAACCTCCTAGAATTTTTTCAGTCAAATCTGAGATGGTTGTGCGGGGACATTCGGAGATTTGGCGTGGAATGGCCCTAGTCAGGAGGACCAGTAGAGCCACATTTTGGATGAATCTACAAACTCACTGCAACATCTGTGTACAGGTTGCAGCCACACTCAACAACCTGGCCGTGCTGTATGGAAAACGTGGCAAATACAGAGAAGCTGAGCCTCTGTGTAAGAGAGCTCTGGAGATCCGTGAGAAGGTGAGCGGTTCTGTGCAAGTCATTGGTCTGAGTCCTCCTCAGGACCATGGGGGAAACTGGCTTTGGTTCTGGTTCTCAGGTGCTGGGGGCAGATCATCCAGATGTGGCCAAGCAGCTCAACAACCTGGCCCTGCTATGTCAGAACCAGGGCAAGTACGCTGAGGTGGAACAGTACTACCAGCGCGCCCTCCACATCTACCAGAGCCACAGGGACCCCAATGACAGCAATGTGGCCAAGACCAAGAACAACCTGGTCAGTATTGTGGTCAATCAGGTGGTCAGTGGTCAGTGTGGTGTAGTGTGTAGGGCTGCAGCGATTATTCAACTAATCATGACTAGTCCACTATAAAAAATGAGTGACATATTTTAATAATAATAATGTGTGTGTATTGTATGTGGTGATGTAGTGTTTGTGTTCTGCAGGCCTCGTGTTACCTCAAACAGGGCAAATACCGGCAGGCTGAGGCACTCTACAAAGAGATCCTGAGCCACGCCCACGCCAAGGAGGGCTCCACTGTGGAAGGTCTGTTCCTTCATAGTACATAAGAATATATCATAATCATATATTGTCTCACAGTGAGGATTGATTTTCATTTAAAAGCCCTGGGCTTAAGATAGGTTTGTGCAATCAATATAAAAAGAGCTAAAGTACATCTAGTCCGCACTCACCCATCCTCCTGGAGGAGGTAATAAATTTTAAATTTCAGAGACTATCTGTGTCCCCACATATGAACTGAATATGTCAAATATGTATGTGTAAATCAAATATAGCTTTTATTGATAACTATTGTGATGGTGATTTATTTTTACTTACTTAATCATTGGGCATGATGTCCCATTTATTTATTCTATAATTTGGTGTTTTGGTTCATCATTATCCAATCAGAAAGCTGAATGAGCCTCACATGAGTCTCAGTTTTGTGGTTACCAGTTTCAACCCAGAAAAAAGTTGGTTTAAACTTAAGAGGCTGCAGTTAGTTCTGCAATGTCCTCTGCAGAGATTGTCCCCACATGTCCCTGTGTCTTCACTGGGGTGTTATATCTCACATCAGAGCATGCATGTGGAGAATGGAAATGTAATGTAATTACTGGTTTAGTGATTCAGATTAGTCTTCTACTGTTTAAAGGAACAAGATGTAGCTCTTACAGTTTAATGGTACTAATGTCAAAACTGAGCATTCCCAGTTCCTTAACATCCAAGTGTGTCTCATTCTCAGTATATGAACAGGCTATGCCTCATGTGAAAGCTCAGAACCTCCCGAATTCCATCTAGAATGAGCATAGGTTCAAAGAAATGTGTTCAGAAAAAGTTCTAGCGGCAAATTTGGAAAAGTCAGTAAACGTGCTGTTTCCCATAATTTGAGGGTGCTGATTCCAAATATTTTGTTTACCAAGCTGAATTTTGAGTTTTAAGAATGCTAATTCACATAATAGCATAGACGCCAGACTAATCAAATTAAAGTTATTTTAACTGAATGCATTTCATAAAAGTCCACAAAACAAATACCAGTATACTGTAAATATATCAGGTAAATCAGGGTCAAGTCACCACATGACCCCTAATTAGCATACTGAAATAAAAACAAGGCTATACTGCAGCTTTTTAAAGCTAGTGTCCTTCATTTCCTTCATTTGATGAGCAGAAAAGAAACAAATTCCTATTTCAGATTTCTACTAGATTTGGAATTTAGGTGACTGCTTTCCTGGAAGTCATTTATCTCTGTTTGCTATCGACAGCTTTCATTCTTTATTGAGAATATAGGCCACTGTTATGTTTTATATCACAACATTTCAGTAAATGTTACTGAGGGGGTGAGGTAGGTTTAAGTGTCTTGCCCAAGGACACGACAGCATTCACCTGTGGGAGGTGAAATCGCACCACCAACCTGTGGGTCAATGGATCTGATCTCTCTACCAATGATGTTTATGTCGAGAGCGGGTTTCGAACCACCAACCTTCAGATCAGCTCTGACCAACTGAGCTACTGCCACAAAGATACAAGAGCCACTCTTTTTTTCAGACATCAGGGACCTGAGGCTCTGTCCCCTAAAGTGCTGCTGCTCATGGCCTATTAGAAGAAACATTACCAAGCTCTAGTCCGGAGACAATCGAACAGAACAAATCCAGTTCTGCCACCTGTAGAGGAAATGGAATGGAATATAATCAATGAAAACCTGGAACCCAAACTGATGCAATCCCAAAAACCTGCAACTTGATGGTTACCTGCAGATGCAAGTACGACTGTAAGACAAGCAAATGCAGTTGTCACAGTGCAGGTCTGTTCTGTATAAGTGGCTGCAAATGTAGAAGTACGTCCAGATCAGCCATGCCAGAATGCTGCCAATGCAGACTAAAAATACAGCCATAATTAAAGTAATGTAGAACTTCTTTCTCTAAACTCCTTATCTCACATATTAAACACAACATAAAAGAGCACACATTAAAGACAACATAAAATCCTGATGTGTGACTTTTTGTGATTTTTGCAGTGACTCCAAGGAAAATGGTTAATGGTTAGTGTCTCCTAGAGTTGGAGAAGAACTAAAAATGAACTAAAAATGCTGTAAATAAAAATTCTGTAAATAAATTAGATTTGTATTTGTTGGATTCATATCCATTCTTAGTTTGATTTCCAGTTTAAGACTAATATTTTTTTTCATATGTGATTTGCTTTGTCACCTTTATCCCATTTAGAAATAAAAAAAAGTTGTTGGGTGGTGGAAGGAATTCTTTGAGGATCTCCTCAATCCCACCATCACGTCTTCCGAGGAGGAAGTAAAGGCTGAGGGGGGGCTCGTCCATCACCCTGGCTGAAGTCACTGAGGTTTTTTGCCAATCTCCGGAGGTGGATGATCCGTCCTGAGTATTTTAAGTCTCTGGATGTTGTGGGTCTGTCAGGGACAGTACCTCTGCACTGGCAGACCGAGGTGGGGGTCCCTCTGTTTAAGAAGGGGGACCGGAGGGTCGGTTCCAACTCCAGGGGAATCACACTCCTCATCCTCCCTGATAAGGTCTATGCCGGGGACTGAAGAGGAGAATCCGGCCAACAGTTGAACCTTGGATCTAGGAGGAGCAGTGTGGTTTTCATCCTGGCCGTGGAACACTGGTCCTCTACACGTGTCTGATGTTGTCCTGATGGCTTCATCAGACCAGGACCTGCAGCACTGGGGCAGTTTGCAGCCGAGTGTGAAGCGACTAGGATGAAGATCAGCTCTTCCAAATCTGAGGCCGCAGCTCTCGACCGGAAAAAGGTGGCTTAAGCTCCCCAGGTGGAAAGTCCCTGCCTCAAGTGGAGGAGTTCAAATATCTTGGGGTCTTGTTCACGAGTGAGGGGAGGATGGAGCGTGAGATTGACAGGTGGATTGGTCGACAGTGATGCGGTCGCTGTATCGGACCGTTGTGGTGAAGAGGGAGCTGAGCCGAAAGGCAAAGCTCTCAGTTTACTGTCAGTCTATGTTCCTCCCCTCACCTATGGTCATGAGCTCTGGGTAATGACCAAAAGGACAAGATCGTGGATACAAGTGATCGGAATGAGTTTCCTCTGCAGGGTGGCGCTCCCTTAGAGATAGGGTGAGGAGCTCAGTCACACGGGAGGAGCTCGGAGTAGAGCCGCTGCTCCTCCACGTGGAGAGGAGCAGCTGAGGGGAGGGCATTTGTTCCGGATGCCTCCTGGATGCCTCCTTTGGGAGGTGTTCCAGGCCCGTCCCAATGGGGTGCTGGCCTGGGAACGCCTCAGGGTCGCCCTGGAGAAGCTGGAGGAAGTTTCTGGGGTGAAGGAAGTCTGGGGAGTCCTTACTTAGACTGCTGCCCCCGCGGAAGAACATGGATGGTTGGATGGATGGATAATATACTCATAAATTATATATATCATTAATATGCAAATGAGAAGGCTTAGAACTCAAAATCCAGCTTGGTAAACAAAATATTCTGAATCAACACCCTCAAATTATGAAAAAAAAAAATGGTTTACCGACTTTTCCTAAAATTTGCCGTCAGGATTTCTTTTCTGTGAAAATATTCTAATCCCTGAGCTGCAGTCAGGAATGGCTGCAGGTGCTGGGATTTAGGTCGTGAATGACCCTTCAGATCAGATAGAGTCCTGTAAACTAACTGTTGTGACTATTCAAATGATAAACCTTTAGAGGTAATGCGCTATGATGTATCCTCAGGTGAGGCCCCCCCCTGCTGGTCCGGTGGTCCCGAAGGAATGAGGCGCAGCGGCTCCTTCACCAAACTGCGTGAGTCCCTGAGACGCAGCAGTGAAAAACTGGTGCGCAAGCTAAAGGGTGGGGCCAATAAAGAGCCACACCCCCACAGTGCTGGGTAAGCAGGCACCTGAGCTACGTACACATTGTGTGAAAGGATTCGTCAGAGTAGATTAAAGGTCCTGTATTAGCCATGTTGCCATGCTGTTACCTCATCAAAACATACCTGGAGACTGACTGTTGTTAATTCTAATGCTAAAGCCTAGAGTGACTCAAACACTGACTTTGGAGACCCTGCAGAGGCTAAAACTCTAATATTGACAAAGAGAAAACGTGAGCAGTGGAAGCAGCAATAACTTACAGTTTGAGCTGTAAATATTATAAAAGCCTCCTTAAATAGTCTTAAAGAGGGGGTATTTTTTTCCTGTGGTACTGTATGACAGAACAGGACAGAAATGACGAGCTTGAGTGGTATCAGAACAAGGGCACATAGACTCGTATACACCCATGGACCATTATGGGACCTACCTGGACCACAGTGGGATTGCACAAATACAGTATAAAGCCACAGGGTCTAAACAAAAACACTACCATTTAATGTTGAAAATCACTTTCTATTGTCTAAAGAAAGATTATCATTGTTATATATTGGAATTCCATTGTATTAGAATCAGTAATGAGTCTCGAGTCTGTTTCTTAGCATCCTAATCGAGTTTGAAATAATAGATTGAATCTTGAACAATGGGGTGTCTCTCCACAGGATGAAGAGGGCCAGGTCCCTGAATGTGCTAAGTGTGGAGACGGGGGACCAGAAGCAGGTAATGCACATGCCATTACTGTTATGGCCTTAAGGTGGGGCTGTGCAAGCAAGAGAATTTTAATGAAGTTGGAGCTTTCAATGGACAATGATCTGCATGGGTCTTTTTAATGGAGAGGTCTACAGCCAGTCCCCCAGAAACTATTAAACTGCCTCTAGTCTTAATTCTAAAGGGTCCACATTACACTATGTGATGAGGAAAGAACATTATAACATTGACCAAACAGACCTGGAGTTGTGTATTATTTTTCACACATGTTTAACACACAAAGCCTGCATATTTAGGCTCAATTCTCCTTTCAGACAGTTTGTTCCACCTTGTGATGTCATGTAATAATACAAGTGTTCCATTGTGTTTTACACCCAATGCCCCATTATCCAAATTATTATGATTCATTAGAATCATCTGGACTATCATCTGTACTACACAAAATATAGGTCATAGTTAACTTGAAAACTACTACTAATAAATAAATTTTAAAAAAAAAAAATATATATATATATATATATATATATATATATATATATATATATATATATAAAATAAAACTATATAAATAACTGCATTTCCTCTTTTGATCTAAGAGTTTGCTGCAGCAAGACTTGCTTTATTGATCCCAAGGGAAATTCATCTCTCTCCCTCTGTTGTCCTTTTGTTCAAAGCGCTGGAGCACAGCAGACGGGATGGGCTCCAATACACATGGGACCAGGCGCGGCTCCTACAGTGGGACCAACTAACCCTGGATCCTAGGTCCAGTCCTACAGTGGGACCAACTAACCCTGGGTCCCAGGCCCCTGTACCTGGACTGAACTGTGAGTGTGGTACAGGCTTTACCATGTTGTTTAACCTTCATTTGGGTCTGAAGAAGTTTGGCCTCTATGCACAGTAGCAGAGGAGAGCTGTGTCAGTGATTCCACATATGACCACACCTTCTTGACCACAGCGCACCTGGTTTACAGAATTTGTTTACCTGTATTTACTTCCACATCGCCTTTTCCCTGTGTATTCTGGCTGGCTCCTTTACCTTTTATGGTCACAAAGGGATCACAGCCCCCCCATGATCTCGTGTAGACACAGAGCTGATGAACATTCCCTGGACATCAGATGTGAAATCTGATTTTATCAGATTATTTAGGGATTATTTTAGGGATCTTGTTTGCACTTGCACTGGACTGTTACAGTTTTTAATTGTATTTATTCATACTAGAAGGAGGCGGGTAAACCTCTGTTACATTTGTGTGAATAACTTCTAAAAAAATGTACTTGAGTACTGTTACAAAACTTGTGGTTCCTATTTCCACTGTAAGTCTACAAGTGACAAAAGCTTTATGTTAACAATATTTTCATATTGTATTAGTTTGTCTCATTTTTGTGTCTGTCCTTTGAAAATACCTGATTGTGTGCATTATTTGATGTTACATTACAATTTACTTGAGTAACATTATTTTTAAGTAATACAAATACTACTTAATGTAGTACTTAATGTAGTATTTGTATTCTTACACCATATTTTACACCTACCTGAGTAATATTTGAGTTGTTACTTTGAAATCACATTTCATGTTTTTCCTGCTCCTTCAGATATGATTTCATGTATCCATGTATCATTCTGTCCAGATTTTGTGCATTTAATTATCCAAATATTTCTTTATTCTTACGTGTTAAGTGTTTTTGGGTCCCACCTCTGATAGCTCTGTTTCACTACTTTTGGGGCATCTAGAGGTTTGGTCTCTTTGTAAAGGGAACCGTGTCATACCTGCTGGACCAGGATATATAGTACAGAGGCTGCTTTTTGTGTTTGTCATGAAAATCTCTTTTCGAACCACAGATGCAAATTAATTTGAAAAGAAATTGTACAAAAGTCTTTATTTTTAATAGGATTGTGGTAAGTGGTTGTGGTAGCGTTAGTTCTGGTGGGCCATCTGAGTGATCTTCTGTAACATTTCCTCCGACTGCAGCTGCTCCAGAGTGAGCAGAGACAGGCCCAGCTGGTCCTCCTGCACACACACATGAGATCACAGTCTGTAGTAAGATGTTAAAATAAGTTTATCTTGGTCTGGACGTCACCATGAGTCATAACTGGCCCAGACTGAGGATATATGGGTCTTTATACCAGTGTTAGATCTGTGCATAGATGTATGTGAGAGTGCAGAGCAGGGCACCTGTCTGAAGGGCTGTGCCATCTGTCGGAGGAAGTGTTTGGCGAGCTGCACGCTCTCGTCCACAGTCAGGTTGAGGCTGCCTTCACTGATGTGCTCCTGGATCCAGCGTGGGAGCTTGCCCCTCTTGTCAGCCCGGGCGTACCGCTGCAGTGGTGCACATGGTAATACAAAGTTATTCTTCTGCCTCTGTTAGAAGATTACTAATCAATAGTATATAGGTCACCTTGTCTGCAAAGATCATGAGTCCATAATCGGTCTTGCCTCGGATGGCGCGCCCCACGCACTGTGCCGCGTGCCTCATGGCGTCAAACGTCAGAAAGTCATTTTCTCTGATCTGAAAGTGGTCCCTTAGGTACTCCAGGCGAGCCTGGGCACGGGGCACACAGGAGACATTGGAATGCAGACAGGACAGATGGGTACACGAACACAGGGTAAATACATACAGCACACTGACCTTCAGGATGCGGCTCTGAGTGTAGACATATGGCACACCAAACATGATAACTGCCCGGCCAAAGTGGTGAACTGCACACAAGGCTGTTAGTCAATACAATAACATGTCCATGGAGACAAGCAGAGCCCCCAGCAGAAAAGTTATTTGGAGCACCTTTAAGCAAGTGAGAAACATACATACAAACTACTATACGAAAAGTCAGGGACACACTGGGTTGCAGTGAGAGAGCACATAGAGTTCACAAAAGCGAAGTGTGTGGTGTTTACCAAAGTCAATGCCCTCAGACACCTTTCCCCGGGCCACAGACAAAAGGATGGCCCCTCTGCCGTTCTCACATGCCTGAAACATACAGAACCACAGAAGCACACACAGAGTCAGCTCAAACACACACAGCAATGTCAAATATATTTATAAATACATAATATATAGAGAAGTATGTGTAAAACATCAGCTGATCAAAGTGCTGTACAGGCACTAAAGTACAGAAATATCAACCAAGGTGACAACCCAAGATGCTGTTTGTCTAAAGACATTCAGAGCAGAGTGGACATGAAAGGGCAGGGTATTCCACAGTTTAAAGGCCATCACTGGTTGCTGATTATAAGATGACTTAAATGACATGTCAACTGCAAAGTGTGATGTGAGTCATCAGAGGGACTATGATCAGAAAGAAATTGGATGATTTGGCTTTTACATTTAAATAATGTTGTAAGAAGCAATATTCCATATTTATTAGATTCTGAGTATGCATGTAACAATAACCACTGAAAAGGCTCAGTCTCCCCTGAGGGGCCAGCATAACATTTAAAATCAATAATATGTTGAAATGTATTCTAAAGTCTAGGGAAGACAAACCAGGAGTTCTGTGCCCTGTTTTCATGTTCTTGTCAAGTGGAGCCCTGCAAGCACATAGAGATCTGATCTAGGCCTACATAAAGAGAGCTGTTTTAGTCCAGGCTAGACATGAATGAATGAATGCATGGGCAGCCTTCTCAGACTCCTCCCATGGATGGACAGATCACACATCTCATGTGTCTGTCATGTACACACCTCCTGGTACTTTTCCAGGGCCATGCTGGTCTCTGCTGCATCCTGTGTCTCAATGAAGATCAGCTTGTTCCTCTGGATGTTCTCAAGGATGCGCTGCAGATTAACCATACATTATTATTATTATTATTAACATTATTGCAATTTAATGACTGGCATTAAAAAGGTACACTATGTAAATTATTGCTTTGCCTGAAATGTTCCACAGTAAATTACAAAGTCAATGCATGTGTTTTTATTCTTAATATATCCCATGTGTATCACCAATTAAAAATGAAGAAGAAAGTAAGCACAGTGCACTGACAGTGTACTGGTGTCAGAGAAAAATGGGGTAGATCGGAGCATGCAGGAAAATAAAGATTGCTCAAACATGCATGAATCAATCTAAATATAACTTGAGGCAGGAAAATGAGAAGGAAAACAACTATAATATGGTTAAAAGCTGAAAAAACTTGATTTTACTTAATAGGTCTACTGCTAATAGGTTTAATCCCATACTGTTGAACATTACAGACCAAGTAATACAATTTCCATGGAGGCAAACAGGTGACAGAAAAGTTCTACGGTGTCCCTTTAAGTGATCTCCCAGTGGTATTGATAGGAGCAGTCCCTCAGTGTCTCTCACCTGCTCATACCAGGAGGCCACGATGTTCTCCATGTACACATAGCTGGTGAAGAAGGCCACGATGCCATCAGGAACTATGGCTGACATCTCCAGTAGCAGGTTGCCATAGTTACGAATGACCGCTGCAAAAGACACCTTTTAAAGGGCCTATATTACACAACTTTTTGATCTGTGTTATAATGTTGTATCTTCATCACAACCATACCTGGAGTTGTGTTTGTTTCATTCACATGTTTAAACACACAAATCCTGCATATTTAAGATAAAAACACCTTGTAATGTCAGTGAATGGTGATACAGGGAGAGCTTCACTGTGTCTTTAAACCTCACACACTTCATTATCATGTGGATCATTTTAGCCCTGGAATTGCTAAGTTTCATCAAGGCTCAAACAATAGCTGCAGCTGCAGTCACTTCTTGTTGGACCAGAAGGTACTGTAGAATTCCTGAGGCAATCTCAACTATACAAAAGATAAAACTTTACAATACATTAGCATAACCATAAGTTGTTGCCTTTTTTAGAGTAAAGGGTAAACTTAGAGTAAACTTTAAAACTTCATGACATTACAAGGTGGAACAGAGCATTTAGAACTGCGATACTAATAGGCCCTTTGCCAGCTTTTATCACTCGGGCCTAATAACAACAACCACCGCACTGAATATTTTTTTATCTGGTAATAAAATAGTCAAATATTAAGTTATTGAATATGCATACCAAAGTCTTCTCGTGTCTCAAACTTGGAGCTCAGAGCCACCTGGTCATTTCCCCGGCCCACGATCTACAACACACAATGGCCAAGTGCATTAGATCAGCCATAACGTAATGTCAGAATGTAAAGAGTAATCATCACAGGGTAGGCTTGACACTATAATTACTTACTAAAATGACTTATCATTCAATATATGAAAGATGAAACAATATACACTGCTCAAAAAGAAACTAAAGGAACACTTTGAAAACACATCAGATCTTAATATAAAAAAATATATCCTGGACATCTGTACAAATATGGACAGAGCAATGTCTTAGGAACAAAAGGATGCCACCTCTTTTAATGGTAATATCATTTTCATCCTACAAAGGGTTTAATTTTATAGACCCTAAAAATCAAAGTGAAATAATGCTGTGACAGGTCAGTCCTTTTGACCAAAATTTTATAAAAAAAATTTCTGCAATTCAAAATGCTTCTCAGCGTCTTGTCTTGTGTGGCCCCTATGTACTTCTATGCATCTCTGACAACATCATGGCTCACTCCTAACAAGACAATGGATGGAGTCTTGTGAGATGTCCTCCCAGATCTGTGGAAGGGCATCACTGAGCTCCTGTACAGTCTGAGGAGCAGCCTGCTGGAGTCCGATGGATCCAAACATAATGTCCCAGAGGTGTTCGATCAGGTTTAAGTCAGGTGATCATGAGGGCCATTCAGTTCCAGGTTCTGCCTGCAGACTCTGGCCACATGAGTTTGGACATTGTCGTGCATCAGGAGGAACCCAGGACCTACTGCACCAGGGTAGAGTCTAACAATGGGTTCAAGATTTCATCCTGATACCTAATGGCAGTCAGTCTGCTGTTTTCTAGTTGCAGAGGTCTGTGTGTCCCTCCATGGATCGGCCTCCCCAGAACATCACTGACCCCCCACCAAACCTCATGCTGAACCATGTTGCAGGCAGCAGAGCATTCTCTTTGTCTTCTCCAGACTCTTTCATGTCTATCACAGGTATTCAGGGTGAACCTGCTCATCTGTGAAAAACACAGGGCACCAGTGGTGAACCTGCCAATTCTGGTGTTGTCTAGCAAATGCCAGTGGAGCTCCATGGTGCTGGGCAGTGAGTACAGGACCTACTACAAGTGGTGATAACCTCAAGCCACCCTCATGAGGCTGTTTCTCACATTCACACAATCACACACACAATACACAACTAAACACCTCAACAAAACATTAGGTATATAATGGGTTTCATCTTATAAAATACATATTAACATATTGTTTCGACATTTCACAATGCCATCAATATATGGTGCTTGATAATGTGTTATCATGACAAGCCTATCAGAGGGGCAGAGAGACACGTACCAGGGGACAGAGGCATGTCCGTGCCAGTGTCATGGTGAAGGAAGCCATGGTAACAGGCCGGAAGTCCAACATACGGGGATAGATGTCCAGAGGAGACAGCGTCTGAGGGAGTCCATACAGGTACGATTTGAAAAAATTAAAGACATCAACATTTAACAACAAAAACAAACAAAGGATGTACAGTTAAGTCTCAAAAAATATAATTAACAAACATACTCTGGCTGTCTAAGCACAATATAGGACTTCCCATATTTGGTCAAATTAGAAGTCTGTCTATTAGTCTGTCATGAGGTG